TGGTATACAGATACATGATACACAGATACATGGTATATAGATACATGATATACAGATACAAGGTATATAGATACAAGGTTTACAGATACATGGTATACAGATACATGGTATACAGATACAAGATATACAGATACAAGGTTTACAGATACATGGTATACAGATACATGGTATACAGATACAAGATATACAGATACAAGGTATACAGATACATGGTATAAAGATACATGATATACAGATACATGGTATACAGATACATGGTATATAGATACAAGATATACAGATACATTTTGTACATGGTATAAAGATACATGGTATACAGATACATGGTATACAGATACATGGTATAAAGATACATGGTATACAGATACATGATATACAGATACATGGTATACAGATACATGATACACAGATACATGGTATATAGATACATGATATACAGATACAAGGTATATAGATACAAGGTTTACAGATACATGGTATACAGATACATGGTATACAGATACAAGATATACAGATACAAGGTTTACAGATACATGGTATACAGATACATGGTATACAGATACAAGATATACAGATACAAGGTATACAGATACATGGTATAAAGATACATGATATACAGATACATGGTATACAGATACATGGTATATAGATACAAGATATACAGATACATTTTGTACATGGTATAAAGATACATGGTATACAGATACATGGTATACAGATACATGGTATAAAGATACATGGTATACAGATACATGATATACAGATACATGGTATACAGATACATGATACACAGATACATGGTATATAGATACATGATATACAGATACAAGGTATATAGATACAAGGTTTACAGATACATGGTATACAGATACATGGTATACAGATACAAGATATACAGATACAAGGTTTACAGATACATGGTATACAGATACATGGTATACAGATACAAGATATACAGATACAAGGTATACAGATACATGGTATAAAGATACATGATATACAGATACATGGTATACAGATACATGGTATATAGATACAAGATATACAGATACATTTTGTACATGGTATAAAGATACATGGTATACAGATACATGGTATACAGATACATGGTATAAAGATACATGGTATACAGATACATGATATACAGATACATGGTATACAGATACATGATACACAGATACATGGTATATAGATACATGATATACAGATACAAGGTATATAGATACAAGGTTTACAGATACATGGTATACAGATACATGGTATACAGATACAAGATATACAGATACAAGGTTTACAGATACATGGTATACAGATACATGGTATACAGATACAAGATATACAGATACAAGGTATACAGATACATGGTATAAAGATACATGATATACAGATACATGGTATACAGATACATGGTATATAGATACAAGATATACAGATACATTTTGTACATGGTATAAAGATACATGGTATACAGATACATGGTATACAGATACATGGTATAAAGATACATGGTATACAGATACATGATATACAGATACATGGTATACAGATACATGATACACAGATACATGGTATATAGATACATGATATACAGATACAAGGTATATAGATACAAGGTTTACAGATACATGGTATACAGATACATGGTATACAGATACATGGTATACTGATACAAGATGTACAGATACAAGGTATACAGATACATGGAATACAGATACATGATATACAGATACATGATACACAGATACATGTTATATAGATACATGATATACAGATACATGATACACAGATACATGGTATATAGATACATGATATACAGATACATGATACACAGATACATGTTATATAGATACATGATATACAGATACAAGGTATATAGATACAAGATATACAGATACACGGTATACAGATACATGGGATACAGATACACGGTATACAGATACACGGTATACAGATACACGGTATACAGATACATGGTATACAGATACACGGTATACAGATACATGATATACAGATACATGGTATACAGATAAAGGTATACAGATACATGGTATATAGATACAAGGTATACAGATACATGGTATACAGATACAAGATGTACAGATACAAGGTATACAGATACATGATATACAGATACATGGTATACAGATAAAGGTATACAGATACATGGTATATAGCTACAAGGTATACAGATACATGGTATACAGATACATGATATACAGATACAAGGTTTACAGATACGTGGTATACAGATGCATGGTAAACAGATACACAGTATACATGTAAATGACATACAGACACGCAGTATACATATATGTACATACAGATACTCGGTATAAAGATATACACATTAATGACGAAGTACCAAATGGATGGATGTTACTGTACCAGCGAACTCGTCAGGGCAGTGTTCTTGGTCCGTCATTATTTGTAATATACATCCACCAACATTCATTTTTGCAGTTGACGCTAAAATGTATAATCACATCGAAACTATGAAGCTGCAAGAAGACCTGGACCATATCCAAATATGGTCAGATAGTTGGACATTGAAATTTTTTTCCCGGAAAAATGCAAAGTACTTCAGGGAAACTATCAATACCGTAAAGACACCAATGAAAGGGAGATCAAAGTCCTTTTGGAAAGCGTTAACAAAGAAAAGGAACTTGGAGAAAGTACAGATAACCAACTTAAATCTAATGATCATGTAGAAGAATCGGTAAATAAAGCAAAAAGGATTATGGGAACAATAAGAAGAACGTATACCTATATATTAAGACGCATCAACGTTTTGACTACTGTATATACGGAGCTAGCATATGGAATCCATACATTAACGAAATTGAAAGTGTACAAAGGAGAGGCACAAAACAGATACCAGGAATGAAAGACCTAAGTTATCAAGACAATTTAGGGATTTTAAAATTACCAACTTCAAAACATGGAAGATTACGAGGAGATATGATACAGGTTTAGAAACTAATACATGGATAGTTATATATAGTATGACACTTCTGTAGCTGAAGGCCTTTTAAATATAAACGAGAACAAACGAACAAGAGGTCATAGTCTTCGACTTGAAAAGGGAATGTCTAAAGTGAATTTGAAGAAAATATTCCTATAAAGAAAGAGTGGTCAATTATTGGAATTCCCTGCCTAATCACGTCGTCACATCACCAACAATAAAAACGTTTGAAGCCTGCCTGGATAAGCACTGGGAACAACCAGAATGTTATTATAATCATGAACTTGAGAATAATGAGCTTATTCACCGTCGGGCGTCAGCATAAATGCTGACAATACATATATATGATCTGGATATATAGGATTTTGCCTGCGTCCAGTAATATTTTATTATTATATATTTACTATCATATGCGTAAAACGGCTGCCTATACACTATTTCGGATGCACGATGATTTTATGTTTTTATTGTATGGTCTTCAAAGTTCAAATATCGCCATAATTGAGTTTTAGTTAATTTACCAAATCCTAACGATATATACCAACAAAACACTATACATATATATATACATTCATTCATTTCTTAAAATGTGTGTTTCTAAAAGAGATTGATTGAGGACCTGTGTAATAGTGCATGGGATTCATTGAAGAATATACAGTAACGTGCTATAATTCTTTCATGTTGCGTTGATTTCCATTAGTTTAAACAGTATTTTATTCAATATATGGCAGTGACAAAATATTAAAACAAAATCAACAAAGAGGATTCGAAAACAAGTACAAAAGTACTTATATTAATTCGTCTCCTTATTAATAAACCTGGCAGTAGGACGACACTGTTACATATATTTTGATAGGATAACAGACAACGAGAAGAAGAAGAAGAAATCAGCGAGGGGACGGTGGAAGGGGTGCATCAGGAAATGAAAGAAAGTGGTTATAACAATAACAAGAATAAATAGGAGAACTGCATTACTTAATTGAATCTGGTTGGAATGTGATTCATGAAAAGGTAACCCTAATGAGCTCTATATAAGGATGCATTAAATACATTGAACATCTCTAAATTGCTTTACGTTGATTCCAAACAAAAAATATACTGATGTCCTGCAAAATGCAAGAGTGTTGTAGTCTATATTAATTCCAGTATCAACAAAACTCATTTAGTCTAAATATCATACTGACGTGTCACAAGTGTTGTCGAACAACATAGGTTTCAAAGTGAATGTACATTGTTTAAACAAACGCAAAAATTACATAAGAATAAAATAAAATAAATAAATCTTGCACTAAAATCGTTTCGTCTTACAGATAAATTTTTGGACAGAGTCAAACATATTTAAGTTATATTGATCTGGCATATCAGGATTTCCATACAGCAGTAGATTTAAATTATACCCATCAGGAAGATTTCCATGTATTGTACAATGTACGCATACCTTACCATATGTCCAATAACATATACATTTTTTTGTCATGTATGTTATTATTCATTGTTTTGATTTTGCTAGTGTATTATTTGGTCTTTATTAATATGAAATGTATTTTAATCTTCATTTGGAGGAAATAAATATAATAATAATAATGGAATTCTATGTTAATTTACTTTTTTTCCCAAGCTGTTTGTAACTTCGTTTGATCTAATTTTGATATAACTTGACGTCCTGTTTGAGATTTATGTACTAATGTATTCGTCTCTTATACTACTGCAAGTGATAGCATTGCCTAAGTCAAGTTTTTTGAGGATTGAGGCAAATCTATACAGGGCAAGCATATACCAAGGGAGACAATTTGTACTTTTGCCTAGGTCGATATTGTACCTTATCGTAGCTGTCATCAAAATTATAAAAATGATGTGGACATTTTACGTCATACATGATTCATGATGCTAACACTTATTTTCTTTAAAATAACCACTGAATGAGCGATTTTGATGGCGGCCACCGAGACTCGTTTCGTTTAATTACTATGTAATATTTCGATTTCGTAAAATGTACTCAACCTCATTACTACGGCATAAATTTCCACTTCCTGTTCCAAGAAGCATCAAGTATCAATTCCCAACAGGAGTGAACATTCCGAAACAGGAGCTGTCAAAACAGCGGATACATACACGTTGTTCACTTCTCTCTTAGTAAGCACTCACTTTCTATATAATATATCTTGGTGTCGTACAGTCATGTGTCTTGAAAGTGTTGCTAGTTTTGTTTTGGACGTAGACCACGAATGACGAATCGCGTTATGATCCAGTACCACGGAATTGTTATATAAATCTAAGTCCGTGCCAGTACAGAACACAAAATCCGGATGTACTTCGGTACGCATACACCCAATTAAAGAGTGACAATTATTTGGGTATAGAATTGGTTATATACCAGACACAACTCGTGACATGGCCACACTATAATATTTAAGCGTTCGTAATAATAGCCAGGGTCGACACTAACTTTAGTCCGCTAGTCTTGGACTAGTATATTTCAGCAAGGACTAGTGAATCACCTACCCTAACTGGTCCTTTGGACTTGTGAAAAATATGATTTATCAAGAATATTACTTTCTAAAATTTAGAAAACTGCTCGAAATAAGATAAATTGCATGATAATCGTCAAAATTTACCTAAAACTTCCCCATATTTTTATGGCAGTAGACATTTGAAGTCCTCTACAATCGATTACTTTTGATGTTTTGTGCTCTATATCGCGATGTTTCCTGATCAGGAAATCTTGGACTAGTTACATTGACGAAGGACTAGTAATACAATTTATTCAACTAGTCCTGTGGACTACCAAACAAAAAAAAGTTAGTGTCTATCCCTGATAGCTAGAAACACAACACGTTATTCTAGACGGGGTCCTTAATTATCTTATATCCTGAGGCACAACAGAAAATCTAATGTCGTTACATACAAATTCATAGATAAGTGCATGACAAGAACACGTTCTTCTTGCAGTTCAGTTTAAATTGATAACCTATAACCTAAGTAGGTTAACCAAGGTTGAGTAAATACAAACTTTTGGATACAGAAACTCAAACATTATGATGTTTTCCATTATTTTTTGCCACGAAGACTTTTAATATTATCTATAAACTTAGCACTTACTCATAATAATATGTTACCACATACCTAACCGCTAGGTATGTGGTAATATATTATAGTAACCTATTACCTAAGTAAGTTAACAAAAGGTGTACGCATCATCAGTTATTAATTTATATACATATATGTTACGATGTAGGAGTAGAATTTGGATAAGAATATGGAGGTTCAATCACAACACAACCTGATTTACTAAGTTTTGCCCTAATATATACAGTAGATATATATTTTTAAGTTATATAAATCATTTAAAATGTTTTTCATGGATTGAAAAAATAACTGTTTTCATGCTTCACACACACTTATGTTGGCGGAAGAGTTTTATGCAGGTGTATGCGACATTGTATGTACATGTGCAGATCTGGTTGACAGTAAGAATCTAACAAGTCTTAATGACAAAAATAAGACCAAAGGAGACTTACGAAAATTTCAAATGAAACTGTATTCTAGCCATACACATCTTAAAAGTGTGAAACAACCCAGGGCAAACAGGAATTAGGGCGAAAAGACATGACACCCTTTATGAGAAGATTAACATATTATAGCTGCTGGCGCGGTTTGCCATGAGGACGGCTTTTGAAAGTAGGCCTGTGTTGTGTTTGACTTCCATGTATAATGTTAAATTGAACACCCATGCTGTAGAACTCGTCAAAATTACTGTCAAATTGTAAGTTGCAAGTCAACAGCTTATGATTATAAAACTCTTAGAAATTACTTAGACTTCAAGGCATGCATTAGTTGACACAGGGCCTTGCATTTTTGTTCATTAGCTCGACATCCAGTGCCTGTAGATTTATTGTTGATCAATATTGGCTTAGTCCACATACCATGAATATTATTCTTAGATGGAGTGCCAAAAGTAACAAAAGTGGAATAATGTATTGTAGCCGAACTGGACTGGGTCGACCGTCGGCGACCAGGTAGCTCAATTGGTAGAGCGTCTGTCTAGAGTTGGAGGGTCCCGGGTTCGAACCTCGGTCTGGTCGTGTATTTTTCCTCTCCTGTTACAGTATTAATCTTATTTTGGAATGTTAGTTTTAAGTTTGTATTCACATTAAAGTAACTTTTAGTAGCTTATCCTTCAATAATCAAATATATATATATGGTGTTTTTTCTGTACATGCATAATATGACAGAGACAGAATACATGTTTTTCATAAGCATTAAATGCCTTGATAATAACTGATCATTTTTTTTTTATTACAGACATGACAGATCAAACCTGAATTTGGACAAAGAAGAAGAATATTCCATCCATGGATCCAAAGAATAAAGAGTGGGAAAGCATCATGCCTGGGCATGGGTCTCCCTATACAAGGGAGATAATTTTCATCCTATCAAGGGAGACTATCCATCTTTAATCAACTAGTTCCAGGGAACTGAAGGATGGACAGTCAAAAGAAGTCTGCTACATTGCCTGCAGGAATGGCGCCACCTTCTTCGGGATCACATGGTAAAGCTCAGCAGAAGCTGTCGTCTCATTCCTTTAGTGGTGGCTTTTTAGGTAGACTGAAGCGCCGATTCAGGCTCAAAAGCAAAGGGTATGAACTTCAACCTGAAAATCAAGCTGCTGTCCAAGGAGTTCGCTTCCAGCAGTGCCAAGAGAATCTTGCAGGTCAGAGGTTGCAAGAAGAAGGATCAGCAGCAAGGGGGCCTGCACCTGCAGATGTTGTGAGGACTCACTCAGACAGGCGCACTGAAAGACCCCCACAGTTCCGGGGTGGCCACAAGAAGGATGAACGGAAAACAAGGTCTGATATGCTGTATGATTCCAATAGTGCTGTACAAAGAAATTGTTTAGGTAAAGAAGTGAACGTACCAAATGAGTATGTAGTGTCTGACACCAACGTTATTGACCTTGAAAGTGACGGTGGGGGCATTACAGGTGATATTTTTGATGAAATGGATCCCGGCTATGAGACTCTAGATGAAGTTCGTAGAAAGATGCAAATGCAGTTTAATCAGCCGCAGAAAATGAACGGTAGTGCTTGCCTGCCTGAGACAGAACTTGTGTGCCAACGATCGAAAGGTCCTCAACACCGACGGTCACAGTCCACTGGTCATCCTCAAATGGCACACCCTGGCGAATTCTACGGAATGCTGGACAGTGGTCTTGGAAGTCCGCTAGTGTCAGACAATTCGTCCAGTATGAGAGCATCGGACATTGTGACAAAATCTCTTTCAGTTGTTAGTGACACTGACATCAGCGCTTATCAGAGTGTGAATTCTGTAGGTTATACACACCACGATAACTTCCTTAGTCCCTCAAACCTACCGTCGATGAGGATGAACAGTTGTCCAGGTAACACCTATGATATGAGTCCAGGGAGGTCACAGGATTTACTCTGTCCTAGGGGGTCACAAGGGGTCTATAACTCTGACACATATCTACCAGATCATGAAGTAAGTGAACTGTATGCTAATCCAAAAATATTGATGCGGAAAAAATCTCAAAGGGAGGAAACCGAGGCAAAACTGAGGTTATCAGGCCATGTGTCAAATAGAACTTCAAGTAATGATTCTGATGAAGGAAACACAAGTTTTGATACAGATGGTAAAAGATCAAGTACGGGTGATAATCAAATTGAACACAGAGAATTTGAAGAGGAGTCTGTGCCTCCGATTCCGGAACGTAAGTATAGTTTGTATTTAAATCAACAAAATAAGAGACAAAACTCACAGGATAAACATGTCAATACAATTTCGGTGGACTCTAGTTATAGTTCTAGTGTTAATGAGTCCCAATCAAACGAATCTACTTGTGCAATGGCAGAAAACAGCATGTTTTCAGACCACAGAGGTCTCGCAGATAGTGCCATAACAGATTCTGTCTCTTCCCGAATTTTGAATCAATCAGCTGACACCTTCGGTCAAGATTCTGGTTTCTGGCTGTCAGAGGATGATGATATTTTGAGGTCATGTGATACCAGTATCCATGGCGATAGATCAGACATTGACAAGTATATTCACAATACATCTAAACAACCATCACCAGCTATCCGATTTGAAAACGATGAACGAGTAATTCTCACAGGAGATGTTAGAACAATAGCACCAGAAAGTGCCAAATCTGTGACTGACAGTGAAAACGTGCAATTTGAATTGAAGAAGAAAGGGGAGATAATAGATAATTTAAAGGAACATATTTCACAAAGGGAAGTAAGTGATGATTTGTATCAGAATCCTTGGGATGTTATCAGTGATTCAAAAGGACAGAGGAGGGATATAACAAGTGCCATATTAAGACGGTCAGATGACAGGGCTGTTGCATCATACAAGGTTCAAGGGGAGGTAATTCCACACACGGTCGAAAGGGAGATAATTGATCAAAATAGCAACCAAAATGATCATCAGCTTCTTAAAAAAAGAAATTCATCAGGTTCAAGAATTTCTTATAAAGAAATGACAGTTTGCCAAAGTGCTAGTCTGGAAAAGCTTGCCTTTGAAAACACAACAGCAAATACTGGGTTATTATCAGATCAAATGCCATCAGTGCAGTCAAGCAGTAGTGTAAGGACAACTGATAGTGCGGAAAACTGCTTGGGCCAGCAAAGAGACAGTGTCGTGGAGCATAGAAACAGTGTCGTGGAGTATAGAAACAGTGTCGTGGAGCATAGAAACAGCATAGGAGAGCACAGGATCAGTGGTGGGGAGACTAGAAACAGTGGAGGGGCAGGCAGATATTCTCAAAGTGTTAAAACAGATTTACAAAATACAGTGCTAGATGCTACTAATCAAAAACAATCTAACATACATATCATCAACAATAAACCTGTGTGTGCTGATAGTACTATAAAAGACCAAAGAAATGCTAGAATATCAAACGATACTCACTCACAAATACCCAGCAAAGGTAGGGAGTGCCCTGACCAGTGTGCAACCCCTTGTCTCAGGTCGACTCTAGGTCTGGAAAATAATAGTGTCGATCAGTCACTTTGTGAGAGGGATTTTGAGTCAAGTCTAGATGGCAGCACTGAGCCCTCTATTGACAGTCTAGGTGGCAGCACAGACTGTTTGAGTGAGAAATCCATTGAACAGCGTGTTGTGTCATATGAAGATGATGCTGATGCCGTGCTAGAAAGCATGGATGTTCAGAGTGATTCATTTGCAGATGAAATGACCATGTCTATGGCTGGAAGTGTAAGTGTTCAATGTGATTCAAACAACCAAATTCTGGAGGGCATTCAAGGTATGAACCTTTCACAGGACTATGACCCGCCATCAGACGTATCAGAAACGCTCAAGACCGACTCAGCTGAACAGGAAACGGAATCCATTTCTGATCCAAGTGATGATATAGTTTCTTCAGCATCAACCCTGAGTCCGTCTGCTCGTCTTCCTGACTATTACTACCAGGACACTGAGCCTGTTCACATGTCTCTTTCTGAACTAGGTATGTCCGATGAACAGTGGGTTGAAACTGAACCCATTCACATGAGTGTTAACGAACTCAAAAGATCAAAATCTCATTACGAGGGCGAACGTGAACATCAGTCTCATTTTCATACTCCTTCACCATCGCTTTGGCAGTCCCCACAGGACTACACGACAGAATTACGCAGCTCCAATTCAACACAGGACCACTCGCTTCTTCCTTCAACACAGCAATGCAGCAATGTTTACGAAACTGTTGACGATGATGATCAGCAAGATTTGGAAACAAATGTGAATGTTCGGCGTCACGGCCATCCCGTAATGCACCCTGCTTACATCAATAATCATGGAGCACGACCGCGCAGACCATACTCTGTGGAAGTGTCATCTTTTCAGAATAGAAGGGATGAAGACTTTATGAAGCGTCTTGACTCGCGACCTCCGGCTGTAATCCCAAGGACTAATCCAGAGGAAGGTAAGGAATCAAATTCAATCATATTTAAAAAAAAAAATTGAAGATCAAGTTCAAAGTTTTTGGAAAAGGATCATGTATATACATATATAATGAGTACCTGGCAATCAATAGGCAACTGTATGTTAATTTATATATCACTTATAATATATTCAAATGACACTAATTGTTTTCCTTTGAAAATATTTTACAGTTTGAGATAGAGAAATATTTTGTATTTGTAAATTTGTATTTGATATCCTAGGGAATATTTAATTTTGTATTTGTTAATTCGTATTAAAGATTCTGGGGATTTAAATGTATCATTTCAGAAAGCCAACGAGACTTCATGGAAAGCATGCGCCAACTTAAAGATGTAAGTATATAGCCTACTGTGTTCATACAGTTTATATTTTAAGGTTAAGAATACCAACACATTAAATTATATTATGATATTTCTGTCAGAAATTGTGACGGACATTTTTATGGTATGGGGAGCGTCCGGAATTATAGTTGTTCAAAATTTGAATGTTTGAAAACAGATATGATAAATAGAAAACAGCATATATATATACTTCATATTACTTGCCAACTTTTTAAAAATGCCATGGGGGAGATTCTGCCTGCTCAAATTAAAATATCAATAAAATGTGTATAGTGCTGTATATACCCCCCTAGAGACAAAATAACCAGTTAAAATGACATACCTGTATTATGAGTTGATCTTTCAGATGAAATCATTAGATCGTAAAACATAGAAATAGTTTAGCAAATTCATGGTTGAAAATACTGAGTTGAAGGGTCCAAAATCAGGAGTCTTCATATGACCAGTCAGCATAGGGAGAGTTGGCAAAACCTACACTTTAATTCATCAATGTTATGAATATTTTTTTTAGCTTGAGGAAGTTACTGTAAGTCAGAAAACTCCTCCTTGTTACCTATAGAAGGGAGAATACTTGAAGTATGTACCCACGCACATACTTCAAAAATTTTACAAGTCCCTTGTCCATCTACTATATTTTTTCACAGTATACAATGAAAATTTTCTCTTGCCTGGCATGAAATATGTCCCACTCCAACCTAGCCTTGATCATTTTTCGAGATATTTTGGTGGGGGATTCACATTGGCTCTGTCATTTCATAAAATTGTACAGCTTCTGTTTGGCAGCCGCCCGACATATCCCAATTTATTTTGTTATTCATAACTGTATATTAATGAACTCTATAATCAATTCAATTCACCGTATGTATTCCTAATCCATTTCTGAATAAAAATTTAAAGAAAAGATTGGAGATTCCAGACAAGCACATGTGCTTAGGATTTGAATTTGGTATTTTCTATTAACTAGAAATGTGTGTGTTAATCGTGAATTATATTATTTTAATCAATTGTTTGTATTTAAGCTCTGGCAGAAAATTATTTCATATGGATTCTGACTTCCAGCTTTCCACGTTATTAACAGTGATATTTATCCATGTGTTGTCTGTGGGATTTATGACCTGTCTATTATTTGTGACATACAGTGTGGTTGGTATTGGGGGCCGCTGAGTTGGGATGAAGCAGAGATCAAACTGATGAACAAACCAGACGGCTCTTTCCTGGTGAGGGACAGTTCCGATGACCGCTACATCCTCAGTCTCTCCTTCAACATGCAGGGGCGGGTCCACCACACACGTATTGAACATCACAAAGGTAGCTTTTAATTAAATTGAACAGTGCCTAACTTTAATTGAACAGGACCTAACTTTAATTGAACAGTACCTAACTTTAATTGAACAGTACCTAACTTTAATTAGACTGTACCTATAACTTCAATTGAACAGTACCTAAATTTAATTGAACAGGACCTAACTTTAATTGAACAGTACCTAAATTTAATTGAACAGGACCTAACTTTAATTGAACAGTACCTAACTTAAATTGAACAGTACCTATAACTTCAATTGAACAGTACCTAAATTTAATTGAACAGTACCTAACTTTAATTGAACAGTACCTAAATTTAATTGAACAGTACCTAACTTTAATTGAACATAACTTTAATTGAACAGTACCTAACTTTAATTGAACAGTACCTAAATTTAATTGAACAGTACCTAACTTTAATTGAACAGTAGTACCTAACTTTAATTGAACAGTACCTAAATTTAATTGAACAGTACCTAAATTTAATTGAACAGGACCTAACTTTTATTGAACAGTACCTAAATTTAACTGAACAGTACCTAAATTTAATTGAACAGTACTTAAAATCACTTCACATAATTGAAATATTCAGTATAAATTTTGCAGCTGAATGTTTTGTCAATCAAGTTAAGCTGTAGATAACAGTATTGGGTTTTTTCTCGATAACTTATTACACAGAAAGACTTTTATCTTCTTCTTTTTTCTCCAAGCAGGGAAGTTCAGCTTCTGGTCCCAGCCTGATTCTCATGGAAAGGCCACCATCCGTGAATTCATTGAGCAGTGTGTGAAGAACTCGCGTAATGGCCAGTTCTTGTATTTTATCCGCCCATCTGGCCCCGGGTCACCTCCAATGCCTGTACACTTGTTACATCCAATCTCGCGTTACAAACAGATGCAGTCCCTTCAGCACATGTGTCGATTTCAAATCCTACAGAAAGTTCGTCGGGACCACATAGACAAACTGCCTATTCCAACACAGATAAAGGACTATCTCAAAGACCCACAGTACTACGTAGAATACCTGGAAGAAGATTAGATACAAGAATGATGTTCCCAGCGAATGGAAAACTGAAAAATATATTATTCAAATCAAATGATATCCTGATGAAATTGTTTCATGTGTTTGCATGGCTTTAAGGGTACGTTTTGTTGTTTATATAAGTGTCACATGCTGATGAAACATTTAACATGGTTCAACTCTACCACTAGTCCTCTCATCCTCGGTATCCAGGGGTTACGCTCACTTTCACTCTCTGCACCCCTGGAATATGTCATAGCAAAATTGATGGCTCAGTGTGCAGCACCTTGTGGATGAGACGAGATGACTAGTTTGATCCTTTTATGTACAACAGTAGAATCTCGCTGTCGCGTAACGGTAAAACTTATATAATTACTGCCTTTGAAGATAGGCGTCGCTCCTCTGCAATCCTCATAGGACAAGTGTCGGCCTAGTGATTGGTCAGGGTTTTTTACCTGACACCAATCAAATAGCTAGCCGCCTCCCTTAAATTTTGCTATGACATATTCCAGGGGTGCAGAGAGTGAAAGTGAGCGTAACCCCTGAAGTATCAATGATGTAGTCCTCTAGTCCGAGACTAGTAGATTTCAGCAAGGACTAGTGAATCACTTAACCTAACTGGTCATTTGGACTTGTTTAAAAAACAAAGTCACATGTTATCATTTGATAGATAGATTAAAAAATAAGAATGTACCGCTTAGAAAACTGCTAAACCCTTTCACCAATGCAGACAATAATGGACTCATCTAGATCAATACATGGTAGAGTCTACTTAAGTCACATAGGGGTGAAAGGATTACAAGATAGATACATCAGATGATAATTGTCATTTTTTTCATATATTTATGGCAGTAGCTTCTTGTGTTCCCTACTCTCACAGTCAATTATTATAAAAAAAAATATGTTTCTTGATGACGATGTTTCCGTAAAGAAATATTAGACTAGTTATTTGAAGTAGGACTAGCAAATTATCTGTTCAACTGGTCATGTGACGCTAGGTCATGTGACCTAGCATTCACAGATAGTTAGTGTCTAACCCTGTGTCGCCATCTCAGTAATTTTACTTCAGAAATGATATAGACAACACAATGCACTAAGCATAGAATGACAAGGATAACATTTTGAAGTTATTGGTGAAGTGATAGTTTTACCGATCATTGTCAAACTTTGGTATTAAGAACGCATCAGTTGAAGGGGACTTTTGATGTATGAAGTATATTTATTTATAGAAACGGTATTCATATGTTGAATTTTACAGGTAAGAGTTTAAAAGCTATATTTATTGATTATGAATATAGAGGAAACCAAATAGTTGTGATTTTGTCTGAAGGCACTGTACTTAATGTTTAGGATTAATAGACCTGATGTAAATGTGTTGCCAAATGCATAATTTGTTACAGAAAATAAAATCAGGATTTTTTCCCCTAATCTTATAAGTCACTTTTTAGGTAAACATGATTTAAATCCAGAAATCATTTCCCTACTGTACATCATTTAAATCCTATTTATTTCTGAGTAAGTAGTTATATAGAAACATCTGGAGTTTATTAAAAGAAATTCTCAAACCGTAATAGTTGATAACATTTTCAATTTAAAGTCAGTATAACACGTTAGACCAATATACTACATTCAAGTTGATGGTGTCCAAATTAAGATTATATGCTTTGCTCTTTATATTCATTATAATAATAAAATAAACAATAACAGTTAAATATGTAGTATTAAAAGCATTCAAGCCAAAATATACCAAAGTTTGCTGTTTGTGTGGAAACCTTTTCCAAAGTGATCCCATTTCTGAAAATCATCTACTTGTCAAATAAGTGACAAAGTGACATTTACTGTCAAACATATCTATTTGTTCAAATATACTGTAAGTGTTAGAAAAAGATCACTTAATTCATTTACCCCTGAAAACTCATTTGAACTCTTCCAATTTAATGGTTGGAATAGTTCATTATGAAAATGTTGGGGTAGTGATAATAATGCATTTATATGTACCAAAGTTTTGTCTATTAATTAAATGGACCATGTTACTGCATACACAGCATTTGTGCATTTGTACTTAATTTGCATGTTACTAAATTTGAATATGGCAAATATCTGAATTTTATGATTACGTGTAAGACAACTTTATCATGCCCTTGTCATCCTTTAAATGAATCTGTGTATTTTTATTGCCATAGGCTATGTACTGGCACCTTGTTGCTGACAAACAAACAACTAAGTCTTGCACACAGGTATTATTAAGTAACAATATAAATTTCATGAAAAAATCTAGACATTGTCTTTTGGTTTGCTTCTAGACAAATTTTCTTTTAAGTTTCGTGTGTCTTTTGTCAAAAAACAAAATGATATTCACCAAAATGTGGCATTCAGCATTAGAATCTCAGACTTACAAAGCTCAATCTCACCTGAAATATTTATGTGAAACTAATTTGTCAAATCTGAAAGAGACACTGTAGCGTATTTTTTATAGTGATCATGTCATATAGCACATAGCTGTTTGAAGAGATATCGGTTTTGAGTAGATAAACAAAATGTAAGGATTTTGGAGGTTCATTTTTTTTTTTTACATTATTTGTTTTTATAAATATTGACATTTGTTCACTTTGTATATGTAAGATTATCAAACTATAGTAAGAATATATATTAAGGATCCCGGTCCCACTGCTCTGTGGTTTTTCCTGTAGAACAGTTTGCCCAGCACATTTCCGATGACAAGGTAGCTAATTTGGATAGAGCGATAGCACAACCATCCGAAGTCCAGGGTTCGAAACCTGGTCTAGTCACACAAATTTTCACTCTGAAACAGTATTGTTGATTATCCTCTGATTCTTTATCTATATTACTTCTCATAAAAGTCCCAGAAGGTGTGGTTTTCTGTTTAGAATGATTTATCAAAACATATTCATGTTGGAAAAAACAGGTTCCTAAACTTATTACCAGTTTTTGGCAGTGGTACAGGGATCCTTAAATGTGTTGTATAACCCAAACAAATATAAGTCAAAACATATACTTCCTTAATTAAGAAATATTGCCATTCCAGAATTTAAAATTCTTCATTTGCTCATTAATTATCATCAGTTTTCATTTTCTTATTTTTCAACATTTATCCAAATCAGTATTATTTATTTAGATTGTAACCTTTTTATTTTTGTTATTTTCCCTTTTTTTCCCTGTGTTCTGTTAAATTTGTGATAAAACTTAAAATGTATGGCATAGCGCATTTAATGTTTGACAAAGCTAATTCCAATGAAAGTAAATCATGTTATACCCAAATCTGTCGAGATAGTACCTTAACCCTAGTGACTCATCATGGAGATCACTGAAATAACACATACAGTAGATAGCCAGGTTTCAATACCTCTTCAAGAGCCTTTTGAAAATATTATTTTAAGGTGCACAAAAATGTTCCTGGGTTACGGTCTTCAGTTTGAAGGAGAATATAAATGTTTGTGGGCCCATCAAATGGGACAGGTTTTTGTTTTATATGTTTATCAGTTAAATATGGTGCTTGTTTACTGTAGTTTAGTTTAATGATTTAAATGTAAGCTTAAGTTATAGATGTATAAATCAATGTTTTTTCTACAATACATGCTATGTACTTGCAGTACAGCATAAATATCATTAATTCCTGAACAAATAACTTGTTTACAAAAGCATTATAATCATTACTTCTACGCAAATTTGTATTTTAGTACATAAATAGTTTTTGGGGAAGTATTAAATTTCTACATAAATTTGTACTGAAAAAGGGTTAAGTAGGGACTTGTGGGTTGTTTCTATGACTTAAGTATGATATGTACCCTATCACCTCATCAGAAAGAAAAAAATCTGACGAAGGTGACAGAGAAGATATCCTTAAATCTGGCGGTGCAAGTTCCCAAAGTTTTCAATCGAGATTTAAAAAAAATCTGTTTTTGAGACATTCCCCATCTCTTCCGAATTCCTTAGATATGACCGTCGGAATAGATTGTCACTGGGGAAGATCTCAAAACTGGGATTTTTTTTTCAAATTTCAAATTTCAATTGAAAGCTTTTTAACTTGCACTGTCAGCTTTAATACCGTGCCAAAGTCATCAAAACATCATCCATAACATTTCACTGGTTGTGCTAGACAAACTGGTATACAAAATATATTGTAGATACATCAAACAATTGGAGGAAAATATTATGGAATACATGTATATTAATTAAGTATAACTGGTAAGATTTCATTTTGTTTTGTTTATTTGTTTTGTCTTTTTTTGTCTTTTTCTTTTTCTTTTGCGTTATAAATGATGTATATATTTTCATGCTGTAAGTCACAAATCAGTTGATATGGTGTTATTGTTTACAAAATTTGGGTTAAACAATGGATGTGTTGATAAGTCTTCATTATTTTTAAATGTAGAAAAAAAGATGGTGGAAGCTACATATAATTTCATATCAGATGCTGAATTTCCTAAGCAGTAGTTCTTGTAAAGAAAACTTATGATGGAGGCAAAACTTGGGTTTCAAAGATAGTTGAAATATATGTAAATTCCGATACCCCTTACTTCTGTCTCGGAACAGAGTAATTAACTTCAGAATTCAAAGTGTCGCTGTCCAGACCAGTGAGGTGCTACTGAGGCTGACAATGTTTACTGTACACAAATGTGGTGTGTTATCATGTGGTCTTCGCTTTTCGAACTATGCATATTTTCCTTTGGTAACATTGAATATTCATTTATATAAGAAAGAAAAAAATGAAACATGTATTACATGTACTACCTTCATTTTTAGATTAAAGTAAAAAATAAACAATAATTAGGCTATTCCCCCATGATACATATTTTACTAGTTATTTGGTTTAACTTCAAAAACAGTAATGACATCACATACATGAATTGATTTTCAGACATATTGTTTTAAAGGGGATGTCTGGTAAACGACACTTACACTAATTGAAAATGTGTCTTTTTAAAATTAATTTATCAGGGTTGAACAAGATTTTCAGGAGTTGAATAGTTCATGTATTTTATACAGAAACTTTTTGCAAAGTGTGTAGTTATTTGTCAGTAGAGTATACACCCTGGAACCCTAAACAATAATTGGATAGCCCTTTAATACACAAGATCAAATTAAAGCTTGTATGACATGCATTGTTTTGTATAAAGTGTATAATTTCTAAAGTCTGACTTCAGCATCCCTATACAACAGCACTATATGTTTTTACATATATGCAGTTACCTCCCCTTAGCTTCTGTTTGGATATAACTGTAGAAAAGTTTGAACAGATGACAAGGCAGCTCAATCTGTCAGAGCAATAGAATAACAACCATGAATTTTAATTATTTTCATTCAGGGCCTGAAAAATATCTAACATTGGTACTTTTTCTCCTGTTTTCATAGAAATAATTCTTGAAAGCTTTCCTACATGAAGAGGCTGTGTACCTTTAGAGAGCTGAAATCTACAAAATCCCGGTGTCACAATCATATTCAAATTTGTAGAGCAATTTATCGTCATCATAAGTACTACACATTGGTCATGCCAAGAGTAATCATGTCATTCTTGAAATCCAGGTTTCACGGTTGTGGGATTGAACTACGTTACACGATGTGTGGTGTGCCCAGAATGAAAGAAAATGCAATGATAGTGTGCGCACATCTGTGCAATAGCTACCGCACAGTTGTTATTGAGGTATCGCGGTTGATATATATATTAAGGAATGGCCTGAGAATAGATATGATATCCTATTCAAAAGTATCTTTTCTGATTCAAGGATGTTGTAATATTTCAGCTGGATTTTATTGTTATCTATTTGTGTAGCAGTAACAGTCACATGACGTACCAAAATAGTTTAAACAGCCTTAATTGACACCTTTGTTTATAGATACGATCATACACATTACCTGGCAATACAACCTTATTATTGAAAATTTCATAGTCATTGTTATAATGTGTAATATGTATTGAAGAATTAGAAAAGTGCAGAATATACTTATTGAATATTAAACACATATGCCTTCCAGATTTTTCCCATTCCGTAACATCCGTCAACTGATGTGACGGTATTGCACAAATGTGGATGTTTTATCACACATCAGAATCATCTTCAATTGCACAGTTGTGCGCACGCTATTTGATAATAGGTTATCTACATGTCTTTATTAATTAATTTATTAAACTTTGTTTCCTCAGATTTGGAAATAATTGTGGAACAGAGAACAAAGAAGATACAGATACCTTATATAAAAAGGTTACTCATATTTTTCGACTTCGATTGATTTTTTAGGGAAATAAAAAAATGGTTCAATTTACATTAACAGCAGCAGACTTTGTTTAATGAATTTTGTATTTATTGTTTTGTGTGCAAAATCATTATAGGTATTAGTTTATGTTTATTGATTTTTTTATCTAAATCACATTGAAAGTTATACATGTACATGTATAGTCATTGAGAGAAAGTTTGTTTCATTTTATCCTTAAATCACACTCAAAGAGATGCAGTCAGAATTTCTTGATATAAATTCATGTCCATTTTATGTCAAATTTTCAGGTCAGTGTTACCTGAAAATGGCAAAAAAAAGACAAAAACCTGACCTAAGTTCTACCTGAAATCGACCTGAACCTCCAGTAAATTTCTGGTAAAGATTGTTGCAGGTCAAATTTACCTCAAGGAATTTTGCCTGTGTATGATACATCTAGTTAGAGAAAGGAGGTGATAAGTTGTATATAGGGCACAAAAATACCTGTGCAATTTGTTTTCATAAATTTCATGGTGGGTGATATAAAATGACTTATAAAGGGAAATCTTGCATCATTTCTTGATTTACACTGAACTGAAAGTTGCTATATCAGATTAATGTATTTGGTGAGAGAAAGGTATTGTCAGATTCTTATATGAGTTACCATACATCATGTGCTCTTACAGGCTAATAGAAAAAATCAAAATATTTATTTTGCTCAATACCAACCATACTGTAAACTGCTTACATCGTGTTTAAATTCAGTCGGATGGAAATAGATTTAAATTTTGAATATTTACTCGGTATAAATCCGAAGAGAGGAATATCAATGTTTCCGTCATTAATTCTGCTTTGTCACAAACACAATGTATATTGTTTGAAATGTCATTAGAAATAGGTATTACAGTATTGAAATTAAAGTAACTAACAGAGCTAATGTATCCCCGGGAAATGTTCGTCCAGTCAAACTTTCTCCCTTTGATGGTAAAATCCATAATCGCCCAATGTCAGTTTCCCCCTCCACATTTAGTTACAATGTATATGATATGTTGTGTACTTATGTTCGCTTAATGATACATTTGCTGTCATTACGGCGGGCGAAAAAGATAAAAATTAAGCTACAGGGGAAAAATTTCCTGGTAAATGGTATGTAATCAAAAAGACGATATTTGTTTTTTGTTCCTCCAAATTACCTTTCATTATATTGAATGATACATAAATTAAATTATGGGTCTGTTAACTGCATAGTTATTTATTCATGTAAACAAAAGTTCCTTGTTTAGTGTTGTAGTTATGGGTTTATTCATCTAATTTTAATGTCCACGTTTGTCATAGGAAATCACTACCTATATAGTTAAACGTTGAGTTTGTTGAAGCTTTGTTCTTCAACCTCCCTTACTTTATATTGTTTTCACTATTATTTATTTTCACTTGGCGAAATGAAAAACTAAGCGGATAAAAATGGGTGAAAAAACGATACTGTGAAGATGAACAACTTTGAACTGCCTGTTAATTGATATGTGGTTAAAATATAACAAGTACCTGTACCAAGTTATTTTCTACAAAGATATTTTCTCCAGTGGTTTGCTCTTCATTGGCACTATTAATTTTCACTAAGAAATTATTTTGATCTTTATTTTTAATATAATACTTGTAGGGGCCACGGTGGTCAAGTGGTTAAGGCGTCTGACATTCTGTTACCACTAGCCCTCCACCACTGGGTCGCGGGTTCGAGACCTACGTGGGGCAGTCACCAGGTACTGGCTGTAGGTCGGTTGTTATTCTCTGGGAACTCCGCGGATACACCAATAAAATCTGGCTCCTCCTTAAATGACCATACAGATGTAGCTGTTAATAGGACGTGAAACACAAACAGACAAACAAACAAGATGAATGGTGTATTTTTTTTAATTCTTCCTGATCATAAATAAAAAGGACAAAAAACAGATTGAGATTAGATTATGACAAACACTTTGCAGCATACATTAACTGATAGGTTTATGTTTTCTTGATTACACGCAGATAAGGAAAGGAATTTGTTATTTTGAAAATGAATTACCAGTGTCTGATTATTCATTTAAAGGAATAGTCATATTGTGGTAAGCACTGAATATTTTTATTGCTGTGAACACAAGTGTTTTGTTCTTAAGATGTTTTATACATTTAGAGAGAAAAAAAAAACATTGGGGTTGAAATAGGGTCACAATTAACTTGTTGTTATAACGATTTGTAGGGTGCTATCCGAAAACGATTAATCTTGTAAACAAGCCACAAAGAATGTTATATGTGTCAGATTACAACCCTCCTCATACGCCAGGGGTTATGCTCACGTAACCTCTCTGCACCCCTGGAATATGTCATAGCAAAATCGAAGGCACACGGCTAGCTATTTGATTGGTCTCTGGTAAAGAAACCTGACCAATGGACTATGATGATACCTGTCCTTTAAAGATTACATAGGAGCGACACCCGACTTCAATTTTGTCATTACATATTCCAGGGGTGCAGAGAGTGAAATTGAGCGTAACTTACCCCTGGATATCCAGGATGTATTACAACGGGATCAAATGTTGAAAGAGAGTGCATTGCTGAAAAGAAGGAAAAATCTGAAAGAAGGAATTTGTTTTAATAATTTCAGTTGATGATTTAACAGAAAATCATAGTAAAGGAAATTCCATAAGTCAAGGAAAGCCTGAAGAAGTAGGCCTAGGGATGCATGATTGTTGTGGACTGTGTTCTACAATATGTTATATATTTTGAAATCGTGTTTGTTTTCATCTGAATATGTTTATTTGATGTTGTGTCAATCGTGTTGTTCATTTCATATTGATAATATCTATAAATAGACTTTCTATAGACTATAAATAGATGCCCACTTGATGTAATTAAGAGCTATTTCTATTGATGTTGTAATTACAAGTCCTCACCATTTATGACGTCATTGTTTGATCGTGTCATGCCTATTTATTGATCGTTAGCTATTTTTTGGTGATATTTAATTAACATGAATGTTGTATTCACCCTGTTTGTATTTTTTCTCATCCTAAAGGAATGAGTATTTGCTAGATATACTATCAAGATGATCTGTGTTCCAAGTGAACCAAGTATCAATTTATTATTATCAAAGAAATAAAAGAAATGTTGGAAAGAAATACATTTTTGTTACTTTATATTGGCACTGTATGAGGAAAATGGGAAGGAATCAATTCATCTTTAAATTATCGAGAAAAAGCCCGGAATTTTCCCGAAATGTTTGAGTTAATATGGACCTTCGAAATGTGAGCTTCTTTGAATTCGTTGGGTATACATATATGTACCGGAATGGGTCAATTAGATCCATCGCAGTATTGAGAGGCGACTAATCAGACATTCCGTAGCAGATTGGAGATTTTTCACATTTACCGGGCCAGATTTCCAAATGCACATGTTCCACGTTTTTGATATCTCTCGTTGACTCACTTTATATGAAAGTGCATCTTGCGCAAGAATAGGTCCTCTACATCAGCGTTCCTTGTCCGCGATGCTCTCAGCTTAATTGCTGCCTTCGGCTGTCTTTAGCCGAGGGGACTATTGGTTTTATATAATAGCTATATTTTCAATTATAGTATATCAATTCTATCTTCTTGTAATATGATGTATATGTACATGTAAATGTTCTGTTTCACCGTGTCTTGAAAAAGGAGCGGATCGCTCCAAAAACTTGACAACCTAAACTTGTCCACACTGTTGGAATGACTTTTTTGCTCCATATGTGTAACGGAAGGTACATTCTAAGATGCCATTTAAACATCGCACCATGAATTTATACATATAACAATTCTATCAAGGCTGAATGATCTATTTCTGTAATGAAATCAAACTGAAGGAAGCCAGTATAGTTCATGTGTCACAGATATAAAGAATCATTTTGGTTTTGATTCCCAAGAGAATTATCTACCTCTCTTCCAGTTGCAATAGATAATTAAATGTTAGAGCGGAAGCGGTAAGAAGTCGCTTGATTTGTTACTACTGTCTGTTATTTTAGTTTCTCAGACTGCGTTCTTGACTTACTATTTTGGAATTTGTTGGTTACTTGGAACTCAAGACCAAACAATTCTGATACCCGACAAACTTTATTTATATTCGTCATTTTGTTTCGCAATTTTCAGGCGATAAACAATCAACATAGACACCATGTTTTATACAGGGTGTTTACTGCACTCAATCACCTATCGACATCGCCCGTCAACACATTTTGTCGGCACTCGACTGACTTGCAAACTCTTTTAATTCACCTTCAAGTTAAATGCGCCAAAACATTCTGTTCGTGAGCTTGACTTTTTTAGTATATCTAGAGGGAAAATAGAAACTTTAGTTTATTCGTAAGCAAATCTTCAGATCAAAACAACAAAGGTGTGCACTCATTTGACAAGAGACTGGCTCGCTTGTTTTCATCTTAAGTAAAGTGAAGGCCATGTACATTTCAGACACAAATTGCATTTTGTATTTGTCATATTATTAAGAAGGACTTTGATATGAACATTACATCATTTACCCTGCTTCACTTACTTCGTACATGTAATGGTACATTGAGTTCTTATTCTTTTAAGACAAATTGCAAATTGCCCCTGCGATCATAGGGACCTGCTAATTTGTTACAGCTATATTCTGACCTAAACTAAGGTGTTCAGAGTAATTTCACATTTTTTAGGGGTTTAGATCGACTTTCAGTAAAAATAACATCCCAATGATAATATATTCGTAGATCAACTAGAAATGTTGTTTTTGATGCAAGAAAGTAAGGTGGGGTCAACATTTCGACATAGAGAGCTTTCCTTCCTTCTTGAATTTATGATCGTTGGTGGTGTCATTTTTACCGAAAGTCGATCTAAACCCCTAAAGCATGTCAAATATCTTTGAACACCTTTGTTTAGGTCCAACTATAGCTGTAACACATTCCCTGGTCCCTGTGCCTACGATGGACATTTTTGCACAGCGCCTGTTCTATTAGTAGAAAGTTAGTCATATGCACTATGCAAGTATGCATTGAGGCAATATTTTATCACTTTACCCCAAAACGCATATTAACATGCGTTTTCCGTATGACAATCCCTGCAGACGGACATTCTTTTACTAACTGTTACAGATACATATACATGTATTAACGGCCAAAATGTTCCACGGCTGGTTATGGTGTCCTACTTTGAAACACACGAGATGCTTCTAAGTACCTCGCTTATGGTTTCCTCTATAAAGTTGTGGAAACCGAGAATCAAATTCCCCAATTGGTGATTGAATATAAGGTGTAATATAATAAATAACGGATACATCATTCATTGACATAATATATACCCTACAACTATCTATATAGGAATGTTTATTCTCTCGTCTTAAGGATCCTCGTCCCACTACTCTGTGTTTTTTCTTATCTCCCTTTAACTTCCGTTTGGATATAACTGAAGCACTGTTTGGGCGGGATTTTTCTGTTGATCAGATAGCTCAGTCGGTTAGTACGGTAATATTACAGGCTGAAGTCTGGGGTTCGAATCCAGGTCTAGGCCCGATACTTTTGTTACACTCAGAATACTGCATCTTCGCTAGCTAAGGATAGGTAGGTCGTACCGGATTGTAACCCTTGGCTAGCGAAGATGAGAATACTGGTGCTGGTTATATTTTCTTTATTTCATCCTTACGATTTCTCAGAGAGTGCCCCAAGGTATGGTTTTCTTTGTTGAATTTATGTATTTTACCATGGCCATGCCGGACGAAACAGTTTTCAATACCTGGTGACAGTTTTTAGTGGGATGAGGATTCTTAAATGTCACATTTAAAGCAATCTAGCCATAATATATATAAGCTCGAATTCCACTATCATTCACAGTACTGACAACTCCACCGGTGAATATTTGTGTATTCTTGCTGGGCTATAGTTATCTTTAATGGCCTAGTTCAAACGTACTGGAAAGGTTATAGTTATCTTTAATGCCCAATTTCAAGAGATATTGGAAAGTCTATCCTCCGCAGTACTGAGTATGCCGATATTTTGGAGATTCAATCGGTCTCTTTCACTCAGACCTGGCTGCATTAGGCACTTTATCAGTCCAATTACACATCCAACGTATATAAGGAACTCCATCCGGGTGTACACTTCATACTGGGAAACTGCAATAAAAAACAAAGTCGAAGTGGTAACAATTTCCCAAGACAAAATATGAACAAAACTCATTTTTCGAAACACAGGTTTGTACTGTTATAAAGGGGCCATGTCGCATATTAATTATAAATAGGCTTCACAGTTTATTAACACGTGCGTGTATTAGCAAATAGAACTAACGCATGGCTGGTAACACATACCCCATCATCAGTGATATCAACAATACTCGACACAATACCGGTAACACAAACCCCATCATCAGTGAGATCAACAATACTCGACACAATACTGGTAACACAGACCCCATCATCAGTGAGATCAACAATACCCGACACAATACTGGTAACACATACCCCATCATTAGTGAGATCAACAATACTCGACACAATACTGGTAACACATCCCCCATCATCAGTGAGCTCAACAATACCCGACACAATACCGGTAACACATACCCCATCATCAGGGAGATCAACAATACTCGACACAATACTGGTAACACATGCCCCATCATCAGTGAGATCAACAATACCCAACACAATACTGGTAACACATACCCCATCATCAGGGAGCTCAACAATACTCGACCCAATACTGGTAACACATCCCCCATCATCAGTGAGATCAACAATACCCGACACAATACCGGTAACGCATACCCCATCATCCGTGAGATCAACAATACTCGACACAATACTGGTAACACATACCCCATCATCTGTGAGATCAACAATACTCGACACAATACCGGTAGCACATAGCCCATCATCAGTAAGATCAACAATACTCGACATAATACTGGTAACACATACCCCATCATCAGTGAGCTCAACAATTCTCGACCCAATACTGGTAACACATACCCCATCATCAGTGAGCTCAACAATACCCGACACAATACTGGTAACACATACCCCATCATTAGTGAGATCAACAATACTCGACACAATACTGGTAACACATCCCCCATCATCAGTGAGCTCAACAATACCCGACACAATACTGGTAACACATACCTCATCATCAGTAAGATCAACAACACTCGACACAATACTGGTAACATATACCCCATCATCAGTGAGATCAACAATACTCGACGCAATACCGGTAACGCATACCCCATCATCAGTGAGATCACCAATACTCGACACAATACCGGTAACGCATACCCCCTCATCAGTGAGATCAACAATACTCGACACAATACTGGTAACACATGCCCCATCATCAGTGAGATCAACAATACTCGACACAGTACCGGTAACGCATACCCCATCATCAGTGAGATCACCAATACTCGACACAATACCGGTAACGCATACCCCCTCATCAGTGAGATCAACAATACTCGACACAATACTGGTAACACATCCCCCATCATCAGTGAGATCAACAATACTCGACACGATACCGGTAACGCATACCCCATCATCAGTGAGATCAACAGTACTCGACACAATACCGGTAACGCATACCCCATCACCAGTGAGATCAACAATACTCGACACAATACCGGGAACACATACCCCATCATCAGTGAGATCAACAATACTTGACACAATACCGGTAACGCATACCCCATCATCAGGGAGATCAACAATACTCGACACAATACCGGTAACGCATCCCCCATCATCAGTGAGATCAACAATCCTCGACACAATACTGGTAACACATACCCCATCAGCAGTGAGATCAACAATACTCGACACAATACCGGGAACACATACCCCATCATCAGTGAGATCAACAATACTCGACACAAGACTGGTAACACATACCTCATCATCAGTGAGATCAACAATACTCGACATAATACTGGTAACACATACCCCATCATCAGTTAGATCAACAATACGCGACACAATACCGGTAGCACATACCCCATCATCAGTAAGATCAACAATACTCGACATAATACTGGTAACGCATACCCCATCATCAGTGAGATCAACAGTACTCGACACAATACCGGTAACGCATACCCCATCACCAGTGAGATCAACAATACTCGACACAATACTGGTAACACATCCCCCATCATCAGTGAGATCAACAATACCCGACACAATACTGGTAACACATACCCCATCATTAGTGAGATCAACAATACTCGACACAATACTGGTAACACATACCCCATCATCAGTGAGATCAACAACACTCGACACAATACTGGTAACACATACCTCATCATCAGTAAGATCAACAACACTCGACACAATACTGGTAACACATACCCCATCATCAGTGAGATCAAAAATACTCGACACAATACCGGTAACACATACCCCATCATCGGTGAGATCAACAACACTCGACACAATACTTAAAACACATCCCTCATCATCAGTAAGATCAACAACCCTCGACACAATACTGGTAACACATACCCCATCATCAGTGAGATCAACAATACTCGACACAATACTGCTCGATTTCACATTGTTTGTTACAAAATTGGCCATGGATAAATTATCTGAAAGGGGAACACGACTTCGGCTCTAAAGTTACTTTTTCTTATTTTTCTTTCTTTCCCGTGAACGCAGAGATACCACGAAAGTTTTACCGATATTTGCTTTGTCTGTCTAGTAAAAACAGGTTAACAGAACTCGTTTAGTAAACAAGGCGCAAGGAAAGAAACGTTATTTTTTCGATGCAGAAAGTAAGACAAGTAAAAGGTAAACATATTTACTGACCATATAACCAGTTTTCTTATTAGGAATGTTACAAAATCCTTCTAAAGTGTTCTGAAAACATGTTATTTTCTTCAACTGGTATTTATACAAACAATTTTATTATAGATTCATAAATTTCAACACCATACAAAACAAGCCCGATCATTCTTCAGAAGACTTTCGTATGTGTCACACGATGTTTTCGCTGCAGACCCCCCCCCCCGATAACACACACAGACACACACATATATAAAAAATATTTCTTTAACGAAAAGATTGAAATATTTTGTAAAATATTCATAAATATAGAATATATTAAAGTGCTTTTTAACGTAACACTAGGGAGACAGGTATCATATATGAAGAAGAAAAACTACAATGGCTTATAATAAAACACTTATTTTGAAAAAAATCCCGTAATATAATTGTGTATATAACATTGAATTCATCAAATCGACAAGGTATACTTTCGTTACGGATTATCTAGGTTACTTATTGCAGCCATAAATGATGAAAGAAAAAAACCCATATCTTACGTTTGGTGTGCTCCTTTAGTTTCAATGGTATCGCTGTGCCCTTTTTATCTGGGTCGTAGGTAACGTAAATGATCGTTGTAACGCCTATCACAGCGCCTACTGTAAGGAGAGACACGTAGGATGCCGGGGACGAGAACATCACTTGCAGTAGAATCCGACTCCATAAGTGTAGTATCGTAACAAAAAATACAGAATGTGTAAGAAAGACAAAGTTTAATAAAATATACATTGTAAGAACTGAGGCAGCAGAGGAGAACAATGCAGTCATTATTGTTGACGTCACGTGTGGAACTCCAAGAAGACCAACGATAAATAACGCCAACATCAGAGTTGACACAAACGTGCATAGCACACGCATGCGCAGCACGAGACGTATATTGTCTGTTGCAAGTCGTTTTAGCATTATGTTCCGCAAATTGAAATAAAACACGATAGCTATTGCTACAGATCCATTTCCTGCGTTGCTGTCATCTTGATGTGACGTCATCAACATTGCTCCGCATGTCATAACGACGTGACACACCAATCTGATGGGTCTTTCCCAGACTCCGGTGCATATACGATCCTGTAGAACCAGGAATAGCAAGCCGAGGAAAGCTGCTGGCGTGAAATATATGCTCTCGGCATGGTGAACAACGAATTGTGTTAAAAATATCCCAAAAGTATGACATACAAAACATATAATAATCCCTTCCACTTTGTCGCTTATATCCTTGGATGTTGATGAGTTGATTGTGAAAAATAGAAAAAATGTTAAAATGTCTAGGGTACACTGTACCGCTGGTAGAGTTATAAAGTTGATGTTGACCAGTAATTCGTTTCCTGTGACGATGAATTTGTAGTGTAGCCATTGTCCAATCATAAACAAGATGACTAGAATGCAAGGTAAACCAATGGCGCCATGTCCGCTGATTTCCTTCAATCTGAAAAAGAAATATTAAAGTTTGAAAACTATTTATGATTAATTATTTCAGCAAAGTCGAAATTATGAAAAGTACATCCAGTTCTGAATAAATCGTAATCTTGGCGAAAAATGTATATTAATATGAAGGCAACGAAAAATAGCTTTGTAGTATTAAGCAATGGATTAAGAGAAATACCTACGCAATCCTGACATGTAACGGTGTATATTGGTATATGATAAAGGGCTCTTACCTTTCTAGCTTGGAGACTTGTACTGATGGCTGTGATCCGCTCATGACGACTTCGTCTATAAAGATATAAACATCAGTTACATAAAGTCATTTATAAAATTGCCATATGAATTACGGAGTATAGAGTTGATTTGGTCAGGGACAGTATATACGTCCCTGATTTGGTGCAGTATTATCGCAAAATACAAACGTCTGCATTATTATATTAATGGTAATGAGATCGTTAGATTTTAAGGATTACTTAATTGTAATTGTTTATCATTAAATTGTGTATGTGTTTATATGCAAGTAACCGTGAAAATAATAAAACCTTGTAAAAGAACACTTATTGCAACTTGCAAAATTGAATGTGTGTGAAATGTCCACCAGTTACGTGGTATAGGCCAGACCTGTACAGGCACAAGCTTACTTCATACATTAACTCAGAGTTTTAAACCTATTTTATTGCAATATAATTACTATGAAATTTGGAAACATGTTTCCAAGATTACATGAAGCCTTTTCCCCCAACAACACATTATAAAATACCTGACCGTATATATAACTATTATGAGAAATACGTCAAATGCGCCATTTATAGTTCTGAAAGTTAGAGCGTGTGAAACAGGGAGAAGAATGCGGAAATAAAATGGAGACCAAGTTCTTTTATTTTCATTACATATAGTGGTGTATGTATGAGATCATGCAAGCGATTTCCCCTAAAATTAGCCGGCATTAGTCGGAGCTATTCACTAAATTATCCGGTTTATTTGGTGTACTCGGATTAAAAGATGATGTGATAATGATATAATATAAATGTATCAAGTTCTATCAATTGATTTTATGTTATGCCAAAATGAAAATTTACTGTTGAAGTAGCTTCTTGAAAAAGCAGCAGCTGAGTGGGAATGCTTTGATGTCGAGAAACTTAAAATAATGAACGACTTTTACCCAAGTTGTGTTATTGTGATCAATTCGGATTCTAACTTTGCGGTCCCTGACGTCATCACTGATGAGTCCACTTAAACAGTTGTATGGTGCAATGTGATTGTTTTTCGGCAAAATGTTCATGTTTTACCAAAATTCGATGGTGATTTCCTATGTGTGTGTTTTAGGTGCATCAACATTTCATTTTGAGAAAGCTCAACCATCGATCAATAAACTCCACATAGCGCAAATCCTATTACAGTTTGAATTTAAATTTAATTTATATTTTATCGATGTTTCAAACAGGCGTCATTATAATAATATTTTGTTTCACAGACAGTTACGAAACAAGAAAAACTATGTAACTGTTTATGTTTGAATTTATACAATATGTTTCCCGGTCTTCTATACAAATATACTCAACTAAAAAGGAAACATTGACTTTCTACCTTGAGGCCAACAAACTTTCGTTGATAATAAAAAGAAAGTAAAATGGGAAACACATGTGTGGCAGAGAAATACTTTAAGAAAATATCTAGTTGTTAGTCACACTTGAGTGTATTATGTTGTATTTAACATTCTTCAAAGGACAGATGTTGTCCTAACGATTGGTCACTTTTTAAACACTTTTTTTTTTTTTATATTGTTATTTTTTTTCAAGTTTTTTGTTACATCTACATCAAACAGACATTACACACAAACTTTCACTTGTAGACAGAAGCATGCGATTTTTAAACACTTTTTACATAAAACAAATCCAATTGCTAAACGACTGCCTTCGATTTTGCCATGGCATATTTTAACGACGGACTGTGTTATATCATGCATTCCATTTTGTTTTATTCCGTAGTTGTATGTATTACATTGTGTTTACATTTTGATGTTATGTTATATTTTGTATGCTGTAATCCTCGTGAAATACGTTATATAGCAGGACTTATAAACACAGTAGCCTATCATATTGTTGTAATACAAGTCAAGAATTTCTCACGGTACAACATTTGATTGAAAGTGACCAAAATAGACAAATTGTAGGTATGCCAAAATATCATGAAAGTAACACGACTAAACGTTTATAATTGAAAAGAAAAGTATGGAGAAGCCAGACATTGCTTAACATGCCAATTAAATAAACAGTTAAGACAAATAGTTATAGTGAGGTACTAAAATATGAACATGTGGATGATCTTTCCCTTGTTATTGATTATATTCATACATTATTATTTTCATTTTTTTTTGTAATGGAGTTGGAGTACTAACCTTTTGTTTTGGACCATGCCAAGTGATCGAGCATATTTTATCATTATTGTTGTATGCTATTATATATATAGGGCCAACTTCGCTTTTCGATGGTGTTATTTTTGTGCTTTCGCATTAAAATAAAAGACATTCCACATGACTTTGAATACTTCAAATCCGATAATCTGGATACTGCTCGGTTTTATTATTTTCCCCGTTTCCCTCTCACCAATTAAACATGAAAACATGCTCCGCAAATTCGCAGATGAATATAGCAACCGATAGCTTGATACTTCAATTTTTTTAGTATACATCACGAAATATTTTTTCAGTCATACGCAATTGATTTTAAAATGAATTAATAATCTGTCGTACATCACAATTGGATTTCAGAACTTAAAAGAATAATACAATTTGGACATCTGTTACAGACATCAATCCCACTTATCAATGGTCGTTTGAAACAGGTCGGACGGAGGTCGTGTAACAAACATGTGATATCTGATTTGACATATGTTGATAGTTTTATTGTATATGGTGTACGTTGTATGTAACATGTGGTAGTGTGTGAAAGTCTACTACACTCGGCAATGCCTTTCGAATTCAATTATAGCATGCTTCATAAGTTACATCCCACTTTTTGATGTTAAATATATATTCATTTTGAATATTAAAGGTCTAAACAGTTATGAGGAGGAGGAGGAGGAGGGGGAGTGAAGACGAAGAAGAGAAAGAAGAAGGGGAACGAAGAAGAGGAAGTAAAAGAGTATGCAGAAGAAGAAGCAGAATAGGAAAGAGAAGAAAAGAATAAGCAGCAGTTCAATTTAAACAATGATGAAAAAAACGAAAACATTTTTTTAATTAAAACGTTTACAGGTACTTTTTGTTTGTGGTAGCCTACCTTGAAATGCTTACGTCTCTTCTCATACACACATCATTTATGAATAGTAATTAATATTAGGTTATTGAGTGAATAACACATCCTCAAGGTATACAATCTGTATGTTATGTAAGGTAAAATACACCATACACCATTAACTTGGTAAAACTGAAAACAATAAGATCAGCAAACTTACATGTTAAAACTTCTATCTTATGACTAAATTGAATCTTGATATATCGTGATAGATAGGCAATGATATATTGTTTTACACCCCGTCAAATAAACATCGTCATATAGGCCTGCATTATTGAAAAATTGGGTATTAATGTAATCTCAAAAAACGAGCAACCGGTGGGAGTGCCAGCACATAGAAAATGGGTAAATAAAAATCCTCCCAGCGTTTATTTATTTTTTGCAGTAAATATAATTCTTAACATCTGCTTCAGGTAAGTTTGGTTTGATTAGGTTTATAGGGTCATTTAAGGACGTCTTTAGGTAGATATACTGTACTTAAATCAGTGAAATATTTATGTGTGGTATTTCGAGATGTAATCTGTCATCTTCAACGGGCAAATTACCTTAAAGTAAGCCAGCGAGACGAGGGGCTCGTATAGTCTCGCACATCTATGACCAGGTATATGAAAAAGCGAGTAATCGTTCAAATGTCACACTTAAACCTTTCACTGGTTGTGTTATATGAACCTCTACACAGTGCAGTAGATAACTTGTGACTGCTCAATAATCCCTTATACGATATGCCCCATTTTTGAGACAGTCTCACGTTATGCTTAGTAATCTCTTATATCATGATACATTTTCGTACATTGATCTTCTAAATTTACAACAGCATGGTCTCTCTGGACAGGTCAGATAAAACCGGACGTAACAGCTTGACCACCTTCTTGGTAAAGGCGTGATGTGACTGTATACCAATACATGATTCTTAGGTGCGTCTAATGTGAAACCGTTGTACACACTGGGGTTTCTTATATGGTCTTATTGCAGTCATTAAAATTGATCCGATCTCCCCCCCATTGCAACATGTTGGATTTTCATATTTCTACGGCTTTTATATAATCTGCTTTTAATGTCTTTCTTGACACGTCTGCCGTATACATTTTTACATCTATTATTTAACGTTGTCTGTTGCAAAGCATTTCATTGATGGTTCTAAACATAATAACACCGGTACTATCTATGTCAAAATTTAGAAAACGTCCAGATAGAAGCTGCGAGAATAGTTACAGGTGCTACAAAATTGTCAAGTGTTACTTTATTGTATAAAGATGTGGGCTGGGAAAAATTATCTAATAGACGGGAAAATCATAAAATTTTACAGTTCCACAAAATGTATCATAAGAAAACTCCATCCTATCTCTCAAACTTAATCCCAGGGAAAGTATCAGATAGTCATATGCATAATACTAGAAATTCAAACAATTTACATTCTGTTAGATGTAGAACTCAATTTTATAAAGACTCGTTTTTAAATTCCTCAGTACAATTATGGAATGCATTGCCTGTAGATATTCGTGAGAATCCGTCCGTTAACATAATCAAAAGTTTTTTACGAAAGGATAAAGTAATAATACCTCAATATTTTAACATTGGAAGTAGACATCTTCAAATTTTACATACACGATTAAGGCTTAAATGTAGTAATCTTAAACAACACTCATACATAAGAAATTTAGAGGAAAGTCCATTATGTAACTGCGGATTAGTTGAAAGAACCCATCANACCGGTATCAACTATTTCCGTTGGGAAAAATACATCCTCGAAGTTTCAGGTGCGACACACTTTTACGTTCTTTACAGGGAACGAAAGTAACGTTACGCCTCGAATGTTGAAGATGTTTGGATCATAGAAGTTTCGTATTAAACAATAGATGTAACCGTTCATTGGAAATTTGTTAAATATATTACTAATATGTGTATCTTGTTAACACTGACTTTGGAAGATAAAATAAACATCTTTTTTTGTATACAGTAACAGAACACCGTGACATTTAACATGTAAATTAAACTACTTGTGCCATGCTTACATAATGTTATATATTTACTGTATAACGGGCAATTAATGCAGTTTAATTTTCGCCATTTTCGCCCTTTGAACTTAGGGCAAATTTATCATTACAGCGAACAACATTATTTACATAATAACTAAATCTGAAAGGCGTTGTTAACACTGGGCGAATTTGGAATGTACAGGCGAAGGGCGAATATGTTCCCGTATACCTTATTTATATTAAGATAATTTTGTTGTATATTTTTATATTTATATATAGTAGTTTTATAGTCGCCAAAATCATAGTTAAAATTATTTTAGTAAGATATATCGATACTCTAGTGATAAACTTCTTTTCGTTGAGTATGACATGAACACTTTCTTGTTCATCTGTTTAGGAAATTTATAAATATGCACACAGTAGAGTAATTAAAGAGTTGATGCTTAACAAAATATGTAACATTTGAGGAAATCAAAACCAATATATGCAGGAAAATGACTGTTTGTATGTATTATGATATTTAGCAATACTTACCTTGTATTGAATTATACAGCTTGATAAACTAGGTCTCCCCTTCTCACTACTAAATGTATGGTTATGACGTTTAAAACTTGTAGCCTTACGTCGACAAGGTTAAATAATCTTCCGGCAGCAAACTCTGCGCTATTTGCGCGAAGTACATACTAAGTGGTACGTCTGTATATGCCCGAGGATGCACTCACTGAAATGTGTTTGTAATTGTCTAGGTATAGTACTGTGACACGTGTGCAAGTTAACGATCCTATATTTAAATAAGAGGTTGGTTATATTGATCTTTTCAGGACGTTCTGGTACACTGTACCTCTCATTTTAATATTAATAAGATTTTAAATTTTCATATTTTCTTTTCATTCAACTGTACGTCAATGTGTAACAAGAGGCCACATATGTACAACAAACATTCACACAGCGAAATACAATTGATGCGATACATTAGAAGATTATTTCAGAGTACATTTAATTAGGTATTTTCTTAGAATCTACTTACATGTGACATGTCACGAACTTTACAAACTAAAACTAAACATTTCATCTTTGTAATATTTGAATATTTACAACAATGGTTTCGAATATGCAAATTTCTAAGTCAATATATTCACGGTTTCAGGGCATGCAGACAAAGAGAGGCTTATATATACAAAGTACAAACAGTGTATCATGTTCGTGTGATCTATAGCGTAACAAAACAAGAAATATAGAGTATTTACAATTCGGTGTGTACATAAATGCGTGTACAGTACATGTCAGTGTTGGTAATATTTTATGAATATCATACTTACAACGAAATCATCATGTCAACATCACTGAGCTAGACTATTTCATTAAGTTGACAAGCAGTGTTCACCAAAGTATGGATTTCTGATTTATTACAAGATATCGACATTGTAACAGATGGTCATTGCGCAGTAAAGAATTGATATGTAAAATATAATCTATCTCCATAGCAACTAATAAAACTGTGGTCCTGCGTATAACTATTATTTTTCCAATTGATGCGTGTGCATGTATAAGGTTTTTATCGTCTCGAAATCCGTGTTTTATTGCATATTCCTATGTTTTACTGGTACAAGGGATCCAGATCATTAGAAGTACAATGCATATTTTTATTCTGATAGTTTTCACGAAAAGAGTAAATGAATGATTCATTTGAAGCAATGCTTCAGGAAATTATCATGACATAAAATCAATCAACTAAAAGTTAAATAAAATTATATGTCATTCATGCAAATAATTCTTCCAGGAGAGGGCTTGTATAGGCATTATGCCTGTTGCCCAGTTCATTTTGATTTTGTATAAGATGCAATATTCAATAAAATCTTTGTGAAATGAAATGCTAATTCTTAACAGGTTCATTTGGTTCCATGTTTGTGACCTAGCTGTACAGTGGTGAACTTCAAATACACCTATATACAACCGTTTAAAATTACAGAAGTAACAACAGCATACTTGCATAATATTTATTTTGTGATTAGCTAAGTAATTGCATCTAAAATTTTGTAAGTATTTACCTTAATACCTAACAAAACTTAAGCACGCTCTTCCAAATGATAGATTTCGGTAAATACTGCGACAATCAATCTGTAACGGCCGTGTACTCAGTACACTTTTGTCGTTATACAAGTGTTTACAGTCCATGCAGTATGTCGGGAAGATTACTAGTACTTGACTGATCCTTTCACCAACTTATGGTGAAGTAATTGATAGCGGAATGAATATAGCTATCTCTTCCGTCCCGAGGAATATAAAATCTGGTCAGGCCTTGCGTACAATCTTCAGAGGCTATCTGCAATAAAAAAACAATATTAAGTTTACAATACATATTTCCTGCAACAATGTTGGTCTGTTTATAATTAAGATCTACATGTATGTCCATCTAGCAAAACGTTAAGGATCCCCGTACCACTGACAGGTACTTATCTACGCGTCGGAAACTGCTGTTCTAGCGTTTACTATAGCTTTGATAAAGCATTCGTAAAAAGGAAACAATACTTTGCAAACACTCAGCAGCGAGGCTAGACTGGGATTTAAATCCTACACATCAGAATGTTGCGTTGTCGCCAACCGAATGAAGTGCCTGGTTAACAGAGGTATTCTGGCCAAACAGTGATATATAATATCCGAAACGAAATTGAGGGGGTGTTATTATATATAGTAAAAACCAGGGGGAACTGGGACAGGGATCCTTAAAAAGAAACGGGAAATGCAGATGTATGTAGCAGAAGACCCATGAGCCGTACGACCATCTGTGAGGACAGAGTGCTTTTCATGTAAATAAATTAATAAAATAGCCTTTTTCAGTAACGAAGTAGTCATGGTTTTCATGAATTCATCAGAACTTATATCGACCTAAAGTGGAATCTTTTGGACGATTTCATGCATGCGTTACTTACAGAAATATGTGTGCTGTTGCATCCAAGGAACACCCCGGCTAAACCATCGTGGGTGTACACTTGACCGGCGAACGAAGCGATGGCAGAAAACATTGGTATACTGTCACAGTGGGAAATCACCTGGAAATGATACCAGGAACGATAATATTGATAAATATTCTATCCCATATAGTTTATATCTTTCTTCAGAGATTCATGTTTTCAAATCTTCATTAGTACATATAATCAAAAGCCTAAATATTTTATTTATCATTATACAGTTTCAATTTATTCTTCAGAAATCGTCAATACGTTTCCTTCGATTTTTTTTTAAATTTACGTAACAATGTATTGATTATATCTACTTATTTTAGCTAGGTTTGCACAACAATAAAATGTTTATCGATGTGGACTCAAAAAGATATGAGATTACCGATGAGTCAACAAAACCGTTATTCGAGCTCAAAACCGATAACACTAGAACAAGGGAGCGGTTTATATGGATTATTCTGAAAAGGTTAGTGTCACCTGCCATGTAAATCTAAGGATGAATTCAAGTATTGTCACATCTGTTGTATCTTTTAGTTGGGCCTTTATGATACAAACAATCAAGATGGCGTCAGGTTACAACCATCAATGTTTAATCAGGTCACAAAAACGTTTGTACAGTCCGGCCACCCTGACTTGACAGCATTTTGTAGTACTTGAATTACCTCGTCCGTTTGTTTTGCCTGCTGAAATTCAATCACTGTATCTTTCCGGCGTTATCGGAGGATATGCAAGCGTATTCACGGTTAGATCCGGAATTAGGTCATCGCCCGACTCTTTCATGAATGCTCGGCTGAGCGTGTTCGCGAGAAACATCGTTTTACCCGATTTGTGGGTAATGTTCAAATCGTACTGCTGTACAGATAGCAGTATTCTTTGCAGTCGTGCAGGTGCCTGGTATAATGATTTTCGGAATATCGATTCGAGCGGTTTGTGATCGCTTTCAACGGTCACGGTCCTTCCAAATAAGTATTGGTGGAATTTCACACATCCGAATGCGATAGCGAGGGCCTCTTTCTTGATTTGAGCATAATTCTGTTGACTCTTTGTTAACGCTCGCGACGCAAAGGCGACGGGTTGCCCGTGTTGTACGATAGCTGCTCCAAGACCTTTGGAAGTAGCGTCAACTGTTAGGGTTACTGGTTCTTTCGGATCGAAATATCTCAACACTGGTGCTTTCGTTATCATTTCTTTGAGTTTGACAAAACTGTCTGCCTGTAACTTGTCCCAACGCCATTGCGTTTCTTTTTCAAGTAACAGACGAAGTGGAGCACTGACATTTGCCAAATTCGGTAGGAATTTCGCGAGATATTGAATGAATCCCATGAAAGTTCGCAACTCGCTCACGTTGTTAGGCCGTTCCATCTCCTGTACCGCTCTTATTTTCTCGTAGTCTGGTTTGACTCCGTCGGCGGTCAGCTTGTGACCCACATATGTGACACGATCCTTCCGGAATTCGCACCTTTGAACACTGAGTTTGTGGCTATGTTCGCGTATGCGTCTCATGACGTTTTCGAGTCGCGAATCGTGTTCCTCCTGGTCTTTTCCCTAGAACAGAATGTCATCTATGATGGCATCACAGCCGTCAATGTCCTTGACCATTTCTGAGATTGTTCTTTGGTAGACTTCGGACGCGGAATTTATGCCAAAAGGAAGGCATTTAAAACTGTACCTGCCATGAGGTGTATTAAACGTGGATCGGTCCCACTGTATTATCAACTTTTATCAAGTAAGTGTCCGGTAGGCATCCGAGCCCTTCGAAGTTTTATTTGAACTTGCAGTAAATGTCGTTTGGTACACTGCCACAGTTCTCCGGTGTGGATTTTATTTCATGAATCCTTTTGATCAGTCCCATAGCAGCAAATGCTTCTGCGCCCAAGAAAGCTTCTGCATCAGAGTCAGTAACTTCGAATCTTATGTGCGTTTCAGTATCCTTGTAGGTGCGTTTTAGTTGAACCGATCCTTTAGGTATGATTCGGTGTCCAGAGTACGACTTCAGCTTGACATTTGTCTTGTCGAGTCGGTAACCTTTGTTGGTTACTTTCCTCAGAACTGCTTGTTGTAGGATATTACATTTGGCTCCTGTGTCCAACTTGAATTTTACAGTTTTGCCTTTAGGGCCAATGTTTATATTTTCAGTCCATTCTATGTCCACAGCATGTACATTTGACTCTATGTACCCAAGGAATAGTTAGTGTGAAGAAGAATCGTCATCGTTTAAGACATGAACCTTTTTTCCTCTTTTGAATGTTCACTTGGTTTTGTTTCGGCACTCTTTTTCAAAATGGTTTAACTTTCCACATTGTCCGCACGTTTCACCATTAGCTGGGCATTTAGTAGGATCACTGGAGTGTTCATATCCACATTTCCCATATTTCATGTTTTCAGATTTTCTCCAAGTATTCGGTTTTGGCTTTTGTTGTGTTTTTTTTAATATTTTTGCCTGACAGCACTGACTTTAACGTCACCGCAAACCGAACTCGACATTGTTTTGGCTTGAACCGATGATAATTCATGCAGGCGAGCAATGTCCTCCGCTTTAGAGAGTGTTAGTTCTTTTCCTACATTTATTAGTTTTTCACGGATTTTGTGACTTTTTATTCCTATGACTATTCTGTCACGGACCATAACTTCTTGAAGGTCATTGTAGTCACAATCTCTCACCAAAAGTTTCAGATCAGTTACAAATTGATCGAATGATTCTGAATCTGACTGTACACGTTTATGGAATTTGTAGCGGTTGTATATCTGATTTGACCTTGGTTTTACGTAATCTTGGAATTTGTCATAGTGTTTTTGTAATGACTTTTTGTCATCAGCCATTAGGTTCTAAGTTTGATAAATGTTTCTACCTTTTTCGCCGATCCATATTATCAGGTATGCATATTTATCGCTCTCATCTTTGGCTTTGAGCGGACCCGAGAAAATGAATTCCACGTGGTTTTTAAAAGATTTCCATTCCCCTTCGAGGTCATGGTTTTCCCAGTTCATATGGAGCATTGCGCCAGCCAGTGTTTCCATTTTGTTCCTTACCGTCCTTTTTACAGACTTGGAAAGTGGTTTATCTTACACCAATGTTTGTATCTCACTTCTGAACACCATGTTGGGTCTTTTAGTTGGACTTCGATGATACAAACAATCAAGATGGCGTCAGGTTACAACAATCCATGTTTAATCAGGTCACAAGAACGTTTGAACAGGATGACATAAGTTAAGCGTGTATGTGACGTAGAGAATTAGGTTGACACTAAAGACCTGAACAATATGTGTATATAACCATATATTACAACATCTTCAAAGTGACAACCAGTGTAAGGACAACGGGGCAACAAATGGCACGCTCATGAGCACAAGGATATAGAGTATTTCCCACATACTTTTTAGAATGGTATAAATGAACGTTTCCATAATGAATATGCGTTGGTTGTTAAGAAATAATATACTTATGTAAAACTTATGATTTAATTAAATAACTGAGACGAGACAAGCCTAGGCTTGGCTAATAATCCTACAAATATTAGCATGCCGTTACTCGGAATTATGTCTGCGGTACTATTACACAGCACATGATGAAAATGTATTAGTAATGTATATAGGTTTATAAAGATGCATCGATTAAAGTCTATATCAACATATTTCTGAAATATCAATTTCCATTTTTTACCTACATGTTGACCTTTGATCCACTTGGAAGAGTCTGTGGCGTTGCACAATTTCATTGGTGTAGCTTCAGAAAGGGCGTGACTTCCATCACTGCAGGTGAAATTACCTTCTTTTAAAACTTCACCGTACGCTAGGCCAATGGTCAAGGCGATGGTATTGCACAATTTAAAATCTGTGTGAAATATAAATTTCAATTAAACTAATTAATTTTCCATAGCCAAATCACTATTTAGCATAAGATAACAAACGGCTTCGTTCAAATGAACTTTTTATTTAGATATTGATCTTCATATCAATTGAATAACTTCCATTCCACTCAGTGAGTAGGCAGAACAATTAACAACTAAGACTGAGGTCAACTAGCATTGTGGTCTCTGGTTAGACTCTTTAATGAGACACTTATTCAATAACGCTGTATTGATGAAAGCCAGTAAATGTACCTGGTAGAGGAGAAATTGTAGTTGTAGTTTTAGTAGGATTCGATGTTGATGTAACTGCAAACACAAAGTAATGTAAGTACATGGTGCGACGTGAAAATGACCCGTGCTTAAGTACGGCAACATTTCAACGCAAAACTCTAGGATTAGCATCAAGTTAAAGGTTGAAAAATGTAGAAATAGATGCAGACGAACAACGGTGTGAACATCCCACATAATGTTTCACCACAGTCAGGTCCACAAACATTTAAAACTAAGACATATCAAACCATAGAAAATAGTTTCCTAATCTAATGATTACCTGCTCAGCAAGTCGAGGTGGTGGCCTGAGCTTCGCCCATTCTTTGGATGGATGGATACAGTTATTGATAAAGCTAACGTGAGAGTAATCGAAACAGACGACTTTTAAGTTTATATTGATTTTTCACCAAAGAAATAACCATTCCCATAATGTTGTTTAAGTACCACCCTGTTTTCTTTTTATAACATGATATTCTTTGCACTTGGTTCTTCATCGTGCCGGAAGAAACATTCATTTAGGGTCACGTATTAGGGTCTTGAACAGGTGTAGATGTACAATGAAAGAGATACTTTGGTGTTTTGGGTAATATTGGGAACTTAGCTATCTACATACGCAGACAATTACAGATAGTTCGAATATTCTAGAGGCAAAGGAGGTTCTGATTAAAGGTCTTTTCTAATGAAACATTAATATAAAAAGATATTCTAAAAATTATATCCAAAATACATAGTATCGCATGACAAATAAATAGAGAAAGTTGTGTTTTCGTAACTATTTCCAAACTTAAACAGACAGTTCATGTAATCATCTTCAACAGCTGATAAAGCCGATATACAGATAAACTAGCATTAAAGTATCATGTAAGTGAGAACTACATCCATACTTCGTTAAATTGCATGCCGTTTACAAGGGCTGCTTCACCATAAGAGCCCCGTTCCGGATTCTGTCTTTCACATTTCAATTCATACGATTATTAACGATAAAATAAATATTCAATACATATGAAAAATGCACGAGAAGCATAACGCTTCATTGAAGAAAACCCCTACCTGTTATAGGAGGACTTGTCGTAGTTGATGTTGATGTTACTGCAAAATCAAAGATAGGTAAGTAAGTGTTTGGATGTGAAATGGCCCCGGTCATTTACATGTTAGCATATCGACTAGATAAAAATAACATTGTCATTTGACAACGTGCAAGAGATATTTTCAAAACCAGGTCACTGTCCAGGGACGAGTCTTTTACAATTCCTCTCGATTTCTGTTTGTTATTTGTTTTTTGAAGGTCGATTTTCCCCTGTTGGTCGAATGAGTGTATTGATAAACGGAAATAGGAAGTACATCCCTAGTTAAAAATCCAACGTAGGGAGACAGTATCACAATTTCCGCATATTCTATTGAGTCTAGAGTTGTTGAATCTTAAACTGATGAATATTGTATGTTTACTATTGACAGCACAGTGTGTTCTCTCAATATTAAAGTATTTCAAAGCAATCCATGCATTAATTCAACTGTTTTTTTATCAATGAGTCACATGTGTCCATTTTTCTGTACATCAGGAAACCGGCTACCTGTGTATTTCACTATTGTGAAGTTTTTCAAGAGAGATAGCTCTTACATGCAATTACTATGTGTATATGGTTTTATTATAAAATGTCAATTTTTAATCGTTTATAGGTCATTTATTTTACACAATTTCAGCATTTATTAAATTGATATACATTAATGCAATACTAATCTATGGCAGTATCCTTTTTATTGACATTATTTGGCAAAAAACATAAATTTCCATTTAAATCCTTAAAATTCTGACAACCTATATTTTTTTTGTGGCAGAAATTTTTCTTTTCTTCAAAGCAATATAACTACAAAATTTGAAGAAATTCTACTGAGAAATGGTGACACAAACCTATTACCTTAATATGTCAAATAAAAACCAAATAAAGATTTTGCCTTAAATGTACGTAAAAGTATATCTAAATGCTTTATTTGGATTTACGAAACAAAAATGTTTTTAGTTAACATGAAACAAACTCTTGTCGTATTCAAAAAATAAATAAAAAATAAGTATTACTCACTCCTTGATAATTTTCATTAACATACTTAACATGCAAAAAATTGTGATCAAATATGACATAGCTTTTAAATTTGTTCAAGAAAGATATGACTTCATTCAAGAAGATTACAGCTAAATGGTTCTCGTTAAAACATTGACCAATGAGGGTGTTATATATACCCTTCTTTATACAGTCCTTTGAACACGCTTCTTTCACCATGTTTTGGTAACTTGGATGATAAAAGCACAACTTTACACATTTCTTATCTTTCAATGGAATCTGAACATGGTTATCTAGTACAAATGTTATGCAACTTAACCACCATTCAAAACCAATGGTAAAACCTATGTGAAAGATACTACGAAAATAATTTCTCTCACACGAAAAACTAACGGAATGAATATCGTACGTGTATTCTATTGTTGGGGTAAAGAATATACAAGATCTATTATTTGTTTTTAACGAGAACATTACTACTAACAACGTCAAAAGATGACCTACCGACATTGGCTGGCACACATACGCACGGGTTATGGACTCGAGAAACCGAATCTGAAATTAAGGTACATCTGGTATCAATGTTGAAACTGATTGAAGAAAAGTCACTCATAACATACTAGATATAGTTATAGGATCGCAGACGTTGCATGCACGATATGCGCACGCTCTTTTTGGTAGTAATGCGTTCTCATAACTGTACCTCAATATGCAAATACCAGAACTAGTATTCATAAAATACTTCTTATGTGTGTTACTTCTGAAGATGTTTTATTTGGGTATTACATTCTAGATTATAGGAACAAAATACTATACAATATACCAAAGCGTCAGCACACAAGTAAAATATCTAAACTCAAACTCCGTGCGAAAATACAACAGCTGATTGATACAATTTATATCTGATGCAAATCACGTTTGTTAATAACCACTAGTTAGGGGGTCTGTGGTGTGCTTCAGGCATTTGTTTTCATTCATTAAAGAAGCATATATTCTTAGTATCGTGAAAGAAAAAGAAATGTAAACGAGCATTTTTTCAATTGTGAAATGGAATTAAAACTGTAAATCACCCTATCATCCGGCTGCACACCACTAGTATAGGAAAATTGAGTATTTTTTTTTCTCCAAGTGACTTTGTATGCATCTACCAAAGTTGTCCTGATTTCTACTTTTTTGTCACTGTTAAGTGTTATCCTATTAACTGGCATATACTGTAACAAAACGCATATAGTTAACAGAAATGTAGCTATGTCCGTTACATTTGGTACTGTATAACATGAAACGTTCGTGTGTACTTTCTTTCGTGGTTTGAAGCTTTCAAATTATTTCGTGGGTACAAACTTTCGTGGTTAGCCTGAACAAAGAAATGCATTAATTTTCGTTGTTAGCCATGCACGTACAACGAAATGTATCCACCATTCCGAGAATCATTGGCGTAACACACTTGCGGTATGTTTGAAAATGACAAAGAGTCTCAATCATCATCATACTTCTCTGTTCATGTTAAACAATGACAATAATTATCACACAGGTAAAGTAAACATAACTGCGGTGAGAGTGTTGACATCATGTTAAGAAAACACTGACCTGTTCTCGCGACGTCCTGTAGGCCTACCGTTTCACTTGATTGGTCACATACTTAATTAGTCAATAATGAATTATATGTATACAACAGATTGATAACACATGTCCATTTCAGTAAAAACATACCTATATTTTAAATTAATTGTCCAATTATCTTGAAATATTCGTTTGTGAATCGCTGTGTCACGGAAATGTAAAATTGGTTAATAAACTAGAATAGGAACACGGCCTTATGGAATCCGGAATTGTAAATTTGCCGCGAAAAAAAAATTAAAAAAATTGAGGACTTCAGTTGTGAAGCCAATTCATGCTGCTTCGCTCGTTCAAGTCCACAATGAACTTTGAACATCACTGATCACTGAAAGTTTTGAGAAAGCGTCGGTGCGAGTTACAGTTGACATGGCCATTTTCGTTTTGTACATTCTTTCGAGTTGTAGAAATACTCGTTGGATTTATATTCGTGGTTCCATAACAACCACGAAAACTTATACACAACGAACATTTCATGTTATACAGTATATTCAATTTTATTTAACCCTGGTATTTACTGCCCTTACTCTGTATTTACGTATCTTTCGGTATACTTTATAGATATGTAATTTTGTTATTTTAACCTTAATTACCAGTAATAAGTCATAAGATGAAAAAAGTTCATATAGTGCAGTAAAAACTTACTTTGTTTGCCTTTCCTCATCGACGTTCTATATTTTCAAATAGGTGCTTCCTTTTAGGTATTTCTAATATTCATTCCTGGAGCAAATCATGGAAGTTTGTCCCTTCGAAATGCAAGGTGTATGCAAGGCCAGTGTTACAACTTGGCTACGTCAATATATTCATTGTCGGCTATAAAGTACATCTGAATTCATATAACCACACAAATTTAAACCCGAGAACTTACCTGCAATGTGTGAGATGGCATCTTTTTGGCAGTAGTAATAGTTGTAACCGTTGTTGTGCGGAATTTGTGACAGTTCTTTCCACACTAGTAGGATATGAATAATAAAATAATAACAAAACAGATCATTTTCAATATTGTAACTTCGGAGTTGATTCTAGAGGTGAAGAGAGCGAAAGTTAGCGTTACCCCTAATGTATCGAGAATACCAATACATAAGTAATGGTTATGGTCATAGTCTGTAATCAATTGACTCTTTTTTTCTTTAGATATTAGTCAAGTGTTGTTTTTTTTTTTACCTTTTTTGACCTTTAACCTTGACCGATGACCACCAGAATTTAATCAGCTGTGTATCTCGACATACCATGGTGTAAATGGGTTCATGATATATCTTGTATAGAAGCTTTTTACTACTAACAGGCAGACGCACTTATCATCTATATACTAATTTATACCACCTACCGGTAGTATGGGTTGTCAGTATGGGAATACTCTCGAAGAAGTTAAGAACGGCTTGAGAACAACCTCAAAACAACTTGAGAAGGGATTTTTCCATTTCCAACCAGTTGGGAACGAATTTTCTCAAAAAAAAAATCTGTTCGCGTCAGGTGACGTCCTAAACCGGAAATATCCGTCATAAACAATTCAATATAAATTTACGAAAATAAAATGTGGGGAAAACAACACAAGTTTAAGCGTTAATGTGCAGATGGGAAAGCCAATGACGGTAAGATTGTTTTAAAAACATTTTTTTCTACAAGGTTTTAAGGTTCTAAGTATTCCTCCACGCATATATTCTTTTTGTTAACGTTTGAAACAAACCAAGGTTTTGAGATCGATGACCAATGAGCCCAGACGTCATTTGGAAAATACAGTGTTTAGTTGACTTTTTATGAATGGAGAAATAAATAATGCAGTAGTATATAGATGATAAAAAGTTTATCTCACAATGTTTTCAGGGTTTGTTGTGAGAACAATTTTCTCATCTTGAGTCCACCTGTGGTGGCCTCTCGATTTTATCTACGTGCCCGCGATGAGACAATTGTTCTCACGACAAACCCTGAAAACACAGTGTGATAATGTATAATTACCATATACCTCCCTAATTAAGTTAGGGTGTGACAATGTTTTGACGTACTTACCGGTATGGTGTGATGAGCAGACCTGACTGACCTGATTGTGTAACAATCTCGACGTTAGGGCTGAACGGGAAATACATAGAATAAAATAAGTGAAAATAAGTGAAAATGCCAAATGAAATATATCTATATATCTATAAAGCAATAAACCACGACCAAATCCAAAATCGTAATCGATATAAAAGAGCAGCGACAGGATATTAACAGATTTCTAAACTAAAGGAAACACATCATGAACATTATGACCAAAAAGCTCGTTATTCACAGGATTGGTATGGTCCAAATTTGTTTAACGTCCTTTTGACAGCTAAGGTCAGTTAAGGACGTTCCTCCATGTACGTAGTGTATGTGTGCTTGCGTGTGTGTATGCAAGAGACATCGTATTTTGGTGTACTTGCCTCCTTGTTATAGCGCGGATCTGATGCCGACTTTATAGTGCTATCTCACTAAGCACAGCATTCCGCCCGGTCACATTATACTGACAACGGGTGAACCAGTTGTTGTCATTCCCCTTAATGCTGAATGTTAACCATTTTAAGGACTATGGTATGTCCCGGACTGGGTACAAAACCCATTGCCTTCCTTACCTGGGCGAACGCTCAACATTCAAGCCAAAAGTAGAAAAAAAAATAAAGATCCCATATATTGCAATGGGCACAGCAGATTTATTTTTGTTGTTTTTGTGTTCCCAAATAGAGGACAACAATGCAAATCCGAAATTCTTCAGGGTGTTCTTACATTAGTCGCCTCTTACGATACATGCAGTGGGTAAGAGCAGGTGTATTCTTTTCCCCATCCCCCACCTGCAGTGTTTTATTCACAGGAATTGAAAGATTTATTAAAGTAGCCTTGCAAAATATTAATCAATTAAGCATTTATTTTCACGGACAGAGTTTAGTTTAGATCATATTCTCACATAAAATAGTTTTATTCTCAAATTCTTGGTTAACTTTTCAAATTACTCTAGCATAGCCGGATATATTTTTTCCCACTCGGAGACAATTCGGTTTTTATATTTTAAAATATCGACCCTTTTATTATATTTTGTAGATATCAACAATGAAACAACATCGCCATTATAGTCACAACAACAGTTGATTTTTAAAGAGTGGTTGAAGAGTGCCTGTTCCACTGAACTGTCGTTTATCGTATATAGAGTAACCTCCGATGAGTTCCGGTTTTTATATAACTGTAGCACTATTGCGTTGATTTTCTATTGACCAGGTAGTTCAGTCCGTTTGGGCGTTTGGGCGTTTGGGCGATAGTATAGCAATTCGAGTGTACAGGGTTCGATTCCTGGTTGCTGAATATATCCTATTCATTTTCATGAAAGTCATACAAGGCATAGAATCCTTTTATGAAAATAATTTATCAAAGCTATAGTCATCTCCTTTTCAATGCATGGTAACAGTTTCAGTAGTGGTTCAGTTGTCAATGAAATTGTCAAGATTAGATAAAACTATTGGCTAATTGTCCAATTATCAAATCCAAAGATGTTTTGTTTTTCATCCATATATTTGGAAAAATTATAGAATATTAAATATGGCTTTTAAGCATTTGAACATTTCTAAATAATCATTTCCATAAACATCTTAACTTACCTTGGTAATGGTTTGCATTTCGACATTGTTGGTAATGGCCTGAAAGAAACAACATTTCGCAAAACATTCAATCGCTACGAAAATGATTGTCATGAGATAAGATATACTTTTTTTCATGCAAGAACTACCAATAAGTAACTTCAGAAAATGCAAGCTAATAAAGCACACCGACGTGCCGTTGACTACAGTCCTAAATAGAATAGAATAATAATAATAATAATAATATAATAATAATAATTCGAGGCTCTTGTATACCGCTTTATCACAACCTAGTTTGTGGGTCGTCTCAAAGCGGTTCACAAATTATTATTATTATCAATAATATTACAGAACTTAGTCGATGTTTTATTCAACACCACAAGAGAGGTATCTGTAACGTAAATCATTTTTACAAAAGTTTGTGCAAAAACATGCAAATACTTCGAGGAAATTAGATGTATCAACTGTAAATAACTTATTCAAAGTTTTGCGTTTTTTAGGTGTTTTAATAGAATTCCTCAATGAATCCACGAAATCAAAAGTCAAATAATGACTAGTGATCCTTTGCATTGACACCAATTTTAGTATATTAGATTTTTGAGGCTGATGATGTTGTTCCCATTTTCTGATATTAGTAAAGTAATATACAATTCATCAAAATTGATCAGATGTTTTCGGAGACACTTTCAATTAAAGTAGTTTATGACACGGAATGGGTTTCTGACTTACCATGTGGGTCATTGTAAAGATGAAGGGGATCAAAATTGGTACTACATGTGCAGTTGGACGGTGTATGTGAAAAATGTCCATAGGCGGCTGGAAGTTAAAAAGTGGGAAATATTGACAATAAGAAAACGCTTGTATCGATTGATTTAAAAAATAACGTTTTACTACACATACAAATAAATTACAATTATAACGGTTTCAGCATTTTTCAAATAAAGAAAAGTTCGATTTAACTAACGTTCATATTCTGAGAAAGTGTTTTTCTCCTGCCCACACAACTCCAATAACCCATGTGGAATAAAAAAAATAAAAAAAAATGGACAGGGTTTGGCGTTGCGGTATCTATGATGTAGCATTCAAGTGAGGTGGCACTATAAAAATGCCATTGGAAATACGATCCCACCACAAACAGAACTCGATACCCTTCAGCACATTCACATAATAAAATATTAGCCAGCTGACATAGGACTATTAGTTAGCGCCTGATAAGCTCCTGGAAAGCCATCAAATTGTAATAATTACGGTACTATTCAATGCATATATTAATCGTATTAAATCTGTAAATCTATAAACTGTGGCTTCGTCTGGAAAGATGGTGTGCTGTTACAAAAGCTGTATATTTGATTTATTTATAATGGTTAAAATCCGAATAAAATGTCGATATACATGTACAATAAAGTCGACTAAATGGCTACGCATTTCTCTTTACTTACAGTCTGTATAATCATGCATAGCACTGACTTCCTGATTCCTGCATAATTTTAACGCCCCTTTTCTTTTTGTAATAATCCATTGTATACGTGCAGGCTTTGGGGGTTAAATGGGTTGGACTGCTGGTGGGCAGTGATTATGCTGTATCCGACCGCATATTTACCTAAGAGTCGACTGATGTATCTGCTGAATAGGGTGTTCGAAGATGCAACATAAGAAACCTTCATCTGCCTTGTGTCACCTACTTAATCTTTCATTTCGGCTTTGTCTTCCTTTTCATCAGTCTTCATATAACCTTACACGTTGCAAAGACGTTACCCCCCAATCTTTTTTTCAAACAATCCTTTTATGCTATTTTATCCATGCATCTCACAAGAATCTTTTCGAAACACTAACATTTCGATGGGCAAAGGGGGCAATATTTCGTTGTTAAGTGGATGTTAATTTCAGTATCCCTTTTGATTTATTTTACATCGGTGAAATGGAACATGTTATGGTATACGTATTAAATTTATATTAACACCGCAATGTTGCTGAAACATTTTCTAGAAGTGTTTGTATAGAATGAAGATATCAATAATATCACAGTTCGCATGTAACATATTCTTTCGGCAGCTGAATTGTTAAGCACAATATTTATTGCAAAGCGAGACATTTTGTTATATTTTCTATCTTAACAATCTTGACAAACTTAATAGCAGATAAATAACTGCAAATCAGCAAAACAATAAGTCTAGCCAGTGTCATAGCGGTACATCATCTCCTTTAGTGAACAAACACTGCCTGATTACAGGTTTGAGACCAGGGGACTAATAATATCGAAGTTCAAAGCAATATAAGCTACAATTAAGTATAAGGTTTGACTTTCTTTGGTAATTTCTTTGTTCATCTTATAATAGAAATATCCTTACTCAAAATAATGACGTTTTCATGTCTTTTTTAAGATTTTTTTTAATTAGCGTGAAAGAACACCATGGCTCTTTTATAATACTAACCGTTTAATCTCTCGATAATCTTTACTCGGCACGTTGGACTGAGTGAAGTTAGCGGATCGAGGTAGCTCCATACTGAAAACAAATAGATGCAAAGTGACACATTTCGGTTTATTTGTGTTTTACGTCCTATCAACAGCTATGGTCATTTAAGGACGTGTAAGGTTTTGGTGGTTTAGGAAACCCAGAGATCCTGGAGATAAAAGGCCGACCTGTGAACAGTACCTGGCAACTTCCCACCTAGGCCTTGAACCTGCGACTCAGTGATGGAGGACTAGTGATAGTAGACCGTCAGACGCCTTAACCACACGACCGCCGTGGTCCCTTACAGTTACACAGTGGGACCTCTTAGATCAAGGCAGCTTAGGCTTTGTACAAATACCAGGCTAACCAAGCATTTGTATTTACTTTAACGGCTACATGTAGCAATTTCTACTGTCTTTCTCGATTCTACTGAATCTCTTTGAATCTCTTTGTGTACGTTTCCTGACAGGCTTGGCTTATTTGTTCATTAAAGTAAAACCAGTGATTAAAATGCACATTATGTAGTGTACACATTATTACAGCAAAAACTGTAGATTACTTACAAACTTTGGTACACGATCTTACATTTCTTTAATTAACCGCGAAGATAATATCTCGCAGTTTATAAACGTGTATGTACTACAAAATCATAAATTATCAGTACAATCTGAATCTGAAGTGAAATTCTTGAAAAGCTGTAATCTAATTCGCTCTTGAAGGATTATGACAAAATGTTTATACAGTTGTGGGATCGCATAATGTTACACGATGTGCGGTGTGCACTCAATAGATGCACGGTGTCTGCACGATTTGTGCAGGATGTGAAAACGATACATAATTGGACGAATTCTGTCTTATCACATTTGTGCAGACGATGGACGAACATTGTGCGATGATAATCGTGATTTATGTAAATTGAGAAATATCTTCACAATATATACGGTTTCGTGTTTAAACATATAAACTTGACTTTAAAGCATGTTTCCATAGTCTAGCTACATCTATAAGCTTATTTTTCTGGTTTTACTTTCTTTAATCAATAATGGTATTTTCGGTGTATTTAAACGCCCTTAATCGACACATGTACAATTGCAACACAGTCCCATACGTGGACCGTAGTTTCCCTCACCCGGGGCACGAACCGAATGCAAATAACAAATACTTAACGTCCAGTTGTGCTTTTAATACCGTATCAAATAATTATCAGCTCTTAGTATCAGGCACTGGCCAGGTAAAACTCCGGTTATTCATTAAGTTGTTTTTACATGTTCTGTAACCGTGGAGCCAAACTCATTCTTGACAGTCTAACAGTCACTGTGATACTGTTTAACGCGTTTTGTAAAACTGCACAGTATCTTAATTATTGTGATGAGAAATTACAGTAATATATACAGTGTACGTTATTGCATACGAACCTTCCGTATATTATTCATTCCGTAATATTTATCATCAATTTGTACCTAATCGTACAGTTGTGCGGAGGGAAGAGCATAACCTAGCGAACGATTGTTCAATCGAACAGTTGTGTACACCATGTGTGGACGGTGTGAAAACGATGTATGCATGATGTGTTCACGCTATTTTTGGTGCGTTGTGCACACAACTGTATGGACCTGCTTTACTGAAGAAATAAATGTTATTTCCAGAAGACAAAAAAAATGCAGTTGGAAAAATATGTCACAGGTAATGGAATAGGTTACTGAAGCGTAACCTTTCGCTGTTAAATATCAAAACACAAAAAAGTATTTATCGCAGTGCTCTGTATATTTTCATAACAAATGTTCAGTCAGTAACGAACGAGCCCGATGATGATGTTTTAGCTTTATGAAATGGGGAATTGGTCTTAGTTTTGATTCATCTTTATTAGGGGCACGTATATTGATATGATCTTACACTTACCTTTATAATGGCTAATACATGTGTCGTGCGCAAGTAAAGTGTCGAGATCTAAAAGTAAAGAAGAATAACTTTATTAATATCATCACTTGTATGTCTATTGTTTAACTCTCAATTAACCGCGTATTCATAATGTATGCTATAATAACATTAGGATAATAAAGCACGATATGTGAATTCCTGTATACGTAAGTTGATTAAAATATTTCGGTCTTATATTTGTTTTTTAAAATGTAGCTTTTGGTTTGGTTTAACTTTGTTTAACGTCCTATTAACAGTAAATGTCATTTATGGACGTTCCTCCATGTGTTTAGTGCATTCGTGCTTGCGTGTGTGCATGCAGGAGACAGAGTATGTTGATGTGTTTGCCTCCTTGTTATAGCGCGCATCTGATACCGACTTTATAGTGCTATCTCACTGAAATGCCATGCCGAAGACACCAAGAACAGCATTCCCCCCGGTCACATTATACTGACAACGGGTCTACCAGTTGTTGTCATTACCATAAATGCTGAACGTTAAGCAGGGAATAGCAACTTTGATATTTCCCGGCCTGGGGACAGAGCCCATTGCTTTTCTCACCTGTGCCTACGCTCAGCATTCAAACCAAAAGTGAGGTGTTGCAAAGCAAGGCGCTAGGAACTAAAAGGTAGTTAGAAGTAGAAAGAAAGATAAGATCCCAAATATTGCAATGGGCACAGTAGACTTATTTTGGTCGCTTTTGTGTCCCCAAATAGAGGACACCAAAGCAAATCCCGAATTCTGCGAGGGGTCCCCACATCAGTCGCCTCCGACGATATGTAGTGGGTAACAGCAGGTGTGTTTTGTCCCGATCTCCTACCTGCAGGGGCGTAAAATGTAACAGAACTACCCGTAACATGTAACAGAACTACCATCGTATAATGTAACGGAACTGCCAGCGTAACATGTAACAGAACTACCATCATAACATGTAACAGAACCGCCTTCGTAAAATGTAACAGAACTGCCATCGTAAAATGTAACAGAACTGCCATAGTATACGAAAGAGAACTGTCATAGTAAAACGCAAAAGAAATGCCATCGTAAAACGAAAACCTAAGAGAACTGCCATCGTAAAGCGAAAACGTAAGAGAACTGCCATCGTAAAACGTAAGAGAACTGCCATCGTAAAATGTAAGACAGCTGCCATCGTAAAACGTAAGAGAACTGCCATATTAAACCTTAAGAGAACTGCCATCGTAAAACGTAAGAGAACTGCCATAGTAAAACGTAAGAGAACTGCCATAGTAAAACGTAAGAGAACTGCCATCGTAAAACGTAAGAGAACTGCCATCATAAAACGTAAGAGAACTGCCATCGTAAAACGTAAGAAAACTGCCATCGTAAAACGTAAGAGAACTGCCATCATAAAACGTAAGAGAACTGCCATCGTAAAACGTAAGAAAACTGCCATCGTAAAACGTAAGAGAACTGCCATAGTAAAACGTAAGAGAACTGCCATAGTAAAACGTAAGAGAACTGCGATCGTAAAACGTAAGAGAACTGCCATCGTAAAACGTAAGAGAACTGCCATAGTAAACCGTAAGAGAACTGCCATAGTAAAATGTAAGAGAACTGCCATAGTAAAACGTAAGAGAACTGTTATTGCCTGTCATGTCTATAATGTTAGTTGATGCAAAGATATGAACGTTAGCAATGTTTCCATATTTAAAGAAAAGTTTTCTATTTGTGAATTAAATGTAAAGTGAAGTGCTTTTCTGCAAATGGTTCATACATATTTTATACACAAGTCTGATAGTTGGACAATTTTTTAATTTTCAGACGATATCAACGTTTGATTAGTTCGATAAAGGAAGAGCTTGAAATTTGCATTAGCCTTGTTGAACACCGTCCACATCTACTGTTGATAATGACATGACATTACGTCTCGTTGTCGACGTCATGGCCATTTACCAACGTATTTGTAGACATTTGTACTTACGACTTGACTTACATTGGTATTGCGAATACTGCATACACTGATCTGTTGACGTATGATGCTGTGGTGTGTGTGTCGCCCCTCCGTTTCCACCTAAAAGCAATTCACTCAAAAGTTAAGGCAAGGTAACTGTATTTTGCATTTTAATGATGTATACATTAGTCATATACACATTTATGTATTATAGTGTAAAGCAAGAACATGTTTATATATTTTAAACTAACTATTATTCAAAGTAGTTTTGTACATCGAACTTCAGAGAAACACAATAATATCGTATGGACGAGTTTCAGAAAAGATCACAAAGATTACAATGTAGATGTAATTATGCTAAACTTTTCGATCTTTCTGACAAAGCAGATATCATAAGGTGAATTAAAAGAATTTCATCAGCGATTAACACATCAGCATAGCTACTTTGTCTCACAACTTCAATGATAGACTATCTTTTGAATATTATTGGTAAACACTAAGACATTGATAACATTTTTTTTTGTATTTGGACGGCTGTTTGTCGTTGTATATCAAGTTTTGTTTTGTAACTGAAATAGAAACATAATGTGACATTTTGTAGCAAAGAATGCTCTCGCAGAAAAATTGGAATACGTAGTATCTTTGCCTTTTCTCCGTGTTTTACATTTTTAGATTGTAAAAATACATATCCGATACAAAAATACGAAGTATACGTCACTGAATTAAGTCCTTATGAACCTAATGTAATTCTTGATAAAAAATATTTCTAAAGATATCATTTTGGAATTAGTACCATGTATGATATTTTCCTTATATAATACCGCTGACAAGAAACAAATATTTACTTTAATAGAACACAGAATATTTTGTATGCAAAATATGATACATTATGCATAATTTCGTTGTCGAACTGTATTTTACTAAACAAAGCATCAATGGTAACGTTTATGAAAGTAAACCAGATGGGCGTTGCCTCATTCCTTTTTCAAGTAAAACTAGCATTACATGCTGAGAATAGATATGGCGATCAACAATGTATTATATTCACCGTTTGTTATTTGGCAAGAACATCTACGTAAACTGCCATGGCTATGAAAGAACTGTCCTGAAAAAAAGTTTAAATTCTCTATACCAAATTACCAAATGACGAACACGTGGTATTATACTAGATTTCGGTGACCAATGTTTCTGAATTAAATGATGGTAGTTTTACTTTAATCGTTTAATTGAAATCAAGAAATACTTTTTTTTTTTTTTTTTTTTTTTTTTTTTTTTTTTTTTTTTTTTTTACATGTATCTCAAAAGCATTTAATCGTAGATCGTAGATAATCCACAGCACTGCTTACATTAAGCTGTTTGTTATGTTAACAGAGCAAGGTTATTTACTATTTATTAATATTCATACTGTCAAAATGTGCAACCAAATCCATAAAGCAACTGTTTTCTGCTACTGCCGCCAGTTTTCCCATTTCTGAAACAGAACAATTATTTTACTATCAAAACAATCATAATTATATGGTTGTTAAACTAATCAGTCAACGCTCATTTCAAATGCAGTAAAGGGTTTTGGTTTTTGCACCTTACAATTTGTCTTACTTATACGGACAATTATGAATTCGCACATCGCTATTTTCTAAACTTTATTAAATATGTTTTGCAACTTGATAAATCATATCAGCTGTCATGATAAATTATTCTCATCGAATATTCATTTAAATTAACACTATCTGGGAAATCACCAAGTTTGCAACAATATAGGAACCATTTTTCCTTGGCACATTATGTAAAGTATGTAGGCTATTTGAGTATGCAATTATTATTTTGCCTGGCATCTCTGATAATCCCATCTTCTGCTTAATTAGTTAAACATATTTCTAAATAAACCCAATATTTCTAAATAAACCCAGAGTATCACAAACGAAACGTGATAGTTAGGAAAATGATTGCTACATTGACGATATACATTTGTAAAATATTTGATTTGATCCAAATCCGTTTCGCAAGGAGACAAATTAAATTAATGTTTTGAAAAGAGATATCAATGAATTAACGTTAGATTAACTTTAAAACCGTGCTTTATTCAATTTGACACATATTAAAAAGACATCTGAACTAGATTTATCAAAAAGCCACAAATTAACCACAACACAACAATTTCAATTAATTTTATCTTTAATACTAATGTCTTGGCAAGTTATTGTCAAAAACTATAAACTATAAAATTGATGTGCATCAATTTATTATTCAAATGTGCTATAGAAACAGGTGATCTGAAATTGTATGCCCGTTCAATGATAAATTGATGCATATCAATTTTATAGTTAGCTGGAAAGTTAATTTGGGTGATTCTTTGTTCCCACTGGTCACTCCAAATTATTCTTATATATATTTTTATTATATCCATGAACATTTCTCGCAATCACATTGGTCTGATCCTATACACGTGACCAGTCCTCAAAAACTCATGTAGACTGGTTATCCGGTGAATATCGATTTCTAAATATAGCCTGTATGGAAATTTCCCGGAACCTGTCGTAGCGCATGCGCAGTTAGACTGGAACGCGATTTGTCAGACGACATTAGAAGATGGCTGATGGCGAACGTTTCTCCTCCGTTAGGAAAATTACCAAAACTATTCGAGGATAAAGATGCTGTTAACGTAAAAAAGGGCCATTGAACACGCACTGCATGTCCTCCATGCTTATCTTAAGAAAAATAATCTAGACGATGCTTTCGAAAGCTACAATGCTGAACTGTTGTATTCAAACCTGGCTAAATTTTACACGGAGGCTCGCGTACAAAAATCAGAACCTTTAGTTTTGTTTTGTTTTAGTTTATTGTTGAAGCATTTAATTAAACAGTTATGGACTTTTGTGCTGGTAAATATGATGTGATATGAACCTGAAAGAATGATATTAACCTCGGTTTCGCCTCAGTCAATACCACTCTTTCAGGTTCATATCACATCATATTCACCAGCACAAAAGTCCATAATTGTATAATATACCACGACAAAAACTTGCCAAGACATCAGTATTAAAGATAAAATTAATTGATAATAACTTTTAAAATTATATTTTCAAACAATTAATCACAATGCCAAAAATTAATTATGAGTATCTGTTTTAGTGCGGAATGCAAGTGCTGATCCGGATATTGTTTACAGTCATGTTATAATATCCGTTTAATTTATTAGGCGACGTAACAGAACTTCCTTTTTTCTAGAACATTACTATGCGGCAGGCTCTTTCTGTCTCTGAAGACAATCGCAAATTTTACCCTTCCACCAATTAAAATATTTTCTCAGTATTAAAATGTGCAATTGTCTTCAGAGTCAGAAAGCCTGCCGCATAGTAATGTTCTAGAAAAAGGAAGTTCTGTTACGTCGCCTAATAAATTAAACGAATATTATAACATGACTGTAAACAATATCCGGACTAAACAGATGCTCATAATTAATTTTTGGCATTGTGATAAATTGTTCGAAAATATTATTTTAAAACTTAATTGTTAAATTATTGTCATTACGGCGAAGTTTTAATTTGGGGAAGATAAAAGGAAAAAGTAACTTTCAGCAACTCTACTTCTGATACGATTTTGTGTTAGCATCATATTAGACTATTCGGGAATGTTACGACTAAGGTTGCTATTTCTTTGCCGCGTATCCATGGGAAAGAGATATATGTTATTGAATCTCCTGTAACTTCACGCAAAGGGACTCATTTTCGCAAACTTTAACCCTGATTTCTGATTATCAACTTAGACAAAAACAAACTTTTACTATGTTATGTGATACTTATTAAGATGAATGGCGAATGAATTCACGTCTGGGGTAGTACCCAAAATACGTTCTTAAGCTGTATAAACTTGTGTCCAATTCCTTTTGAATCATTAAAATATAAATTGTTTAAACTAATCATATATACAGCAATATTATTATCGATTTTTTTCATAAGAGGTTTTAAGACATGATACTTATATATAGCATGATGCTTTTTCAGTTTTACAAACTTTTTAAATAACAATGAATGTATATACCGTCAAAATGGCGGTGACATATACGTTCATGACTTGTACTGTGGCTATCATAGAAGGTCGTGTCGAAAATATCTGAAAATATCATTGTATTAAAAATTAAAAGTGAAATATACATACGTCTGAGAATCAATGACTTTAAACGAACATGACAATCACCAATATCTTGTATAATATCTATCTTGTAATCATATTTACAATAAAATATAGAAATCGAAAACATCTACAATTGTTTTTGTGCAGACAAATATGCCCAAAATCCTGTACTTTTTATTAATTAAAATGTACAGACACCTACTACTGTTTTAAGGGTATTTACGATATCTTCCTTCAATAATAGTGCTAGCAAATTCATTGTCCTACCATTACAATGTCATCAGCTATTTTGAACGTGAAGACCAAAGTGTATATCGAAATTACAAAAGGTAAAACAGCCTCAGCTGTACAGCACAAGTGTAAAATTCACATTTGAGCTCTTGTACTGTGCTTTTCACTTATCTCTAATGTGTATAGTTCACAATTGAGCTTCTGTACTGTTACTCACCCATACTCTACAGTGTATAGTTCACATTTGCGCTACTGTTGTGTTGCTTACCCATACATTTACAGTGTATAACTCACATTTGCGCTCCTGTTGTGTTGCTTACCAATACATTTACAGTGTGTAAATCACATTTGCGCTCCTGTTGTGTTGCTTACCAATACATTTACAGTGTATAATTCACATTTGCGCTCATGCAGAGCTGTTTATTTACCTCTATATGACAATTACTAGAAAAACGAACCAAATAAGAATTTATTCAAAAATGTTTATTGTGGATGCAAATGCCTTACAAATTTTACTACAATGTATTCTATATGGGCATATCGTCCATTCATGTCTCAGCATGTAGTTATTAAGTTCAGAAAATGAAATATACATGTCTAAATTGCTCATAAAATTATGTAGAATACATCTGAAAGTGAAAGGTGCCTACAGCATTCCGTTATAACATTACGAATCTGTAACCTGGCTACAACAGACAGTGTATGCAAACAATATATGTAATTCACCTCTGATCAACGGTACTGCTAACCTCTTTTAGCTGATAATGCGTATGTTAATAATGAAACTTGACTTACCTCTGTAATTCCTATCTGAGTTCCTGCAGTGATCAAGTGTTTGAGCTGGGAATACAAATGTTAATAAGTGTATATTCAGTTATTTAGAAATGCTCCCATGTGTTATATTGTTACATCATTCTGATTTTTTTCGAGCAACGTTACTTCAAAAGAGTTTGTTATTTACGAATCATGATAAATGTTTCAACAAGTTTCATTTATATTTCATTAAATAAATGTATCAATTGTATATTGAATTAATCTAATTTTTATTGAATATGGTAAAAACAAAACAAATATGTACATATCATATATTGATGATTTATTGCTGAATCTATACTGTTAGAAACATATTTTCGCGGCAACTCATATTAGCACTTATTTCTCGATACCTATTCGTAAAACAGAACAATAACACAATCAACCTTTTTTTGACAAAAATATTACAGAAAAAATTGGAAAAGTATATACCACGCCAAAACGAAGTGATTTACGATATAAAACACAATCTCTAAAATCAAGGAGGAGCCAACAACAGAGTAGAGAGAGGATTAATGACAATAGCAAGAGCTATGTGCGTTTTTTCATTATTTAGATGTTACTTGGAGGTGGGAAATACGTATACTTACAATGTGAAAGGTGTGTGAGCGAAGTGTTTCCGACAGAACATGAACAGTCAGAACGTGCATGGTGGTGTTGGTAATAATCTTCAATGTAAACATACATTTAGGACTCGCATAACTAAATTAGCAGCAGCATCAAGGGTTTCACATGATTGTACTCCCTACCTTAAAGTTCCGGTGAAATACAGTACATCTGAGAAATCTACATGTGTAATTGTTGACACATTTTTATTGAATGAAATATACAGATAATTAACTTCGAAAAAATGTATGGTTTTAGTACATTCTAATATGTGATGGCGTATTTACATAAGGTCAAATGTCAGGGGGTGTTCCCGTTCCGCTTCACCGATTTGTCTCAGAAGCCTGTAGAGCTCCTATTGGTCATTAAACATGTCAGAAGTGTTAAACTTCAAAAGATAAAGCTAAGTAATAACATAAAGTCAATGATTTAGTTGTGCGAGTCATTTAACGAAGAAAAGTATCGGGGTTGTAGATAGACACTGGATGTTCCCCTATTGGCGATAGGTGTAGGATATAAACAGGAAAAATAAGGTCGAAGAAAGAGATTGATTGGTACGATTCGAAATCAACATATATGAATAAGAAAACATGAAATATTTTTGCAGTGATTTTGACATTAAACTACATATTGCACTGCAATTTATCAAACGAGTTTTTTCCTTTTACTGATATTTTATTTATTCATATATAATTGATTTGGCCATTTTTTATTTACGTTTTGAATCACTGCACAAAACTAATTCATTTGTTGTGATTGTTGTAATAAGCATTTTCATCCACAAAAATCTTTTAAATTACGCTGGTCAACTTCACACCATATAATGTATTCTTCCAATAGCCATCCCTGCTAATTGTAATCTGCGTACGTAATTATAGTGGTACCGTTAAGTGGTTCATGTATGGTCATCAGATGAGAGCAATCTTTATCAAAATACAATCTATTGAATAATGACATTCTAAATTGGCATTAACATCAAGCATGAACTTAGCTGTTGCATGTAAGTACAATTGAAACAAGGTAACAAAAACATACAAAATTATAACCTAGAACAACTTGTCATATTACTTTTTTTTACCTCTTATATATTTGGCAGCGTCACGGGCGCAGTGCGCAAGACTTTGGTAAAACGTCAAGTGGTGTAGGTGATACCATTCTGTATAACATCAACCAATATATAAATACACATATCTATAATGAACGTTTACTTGTTGTTGCTTTCAAGTTTGGTTTGGTTCGGTTTGGTATTGTTTAACGTCCTATCAACAGCTTAGGTCATTTAAGGACGGCCCCTGTGTGCAAGATGCATCCGTGTAGTGTTTGCGTGTGTGTTTTGGGAGGCTGCGATATGCTCGTGTTTGTCTCCTTGTAAAAGCGCGGAACTGATGCCGACTTTATAGTGCTAATTCACTGAAACATACTGGCGAAGACATCCAGCAGAACATCACGCCCGGTCACATTATACTGACAATGGGCGAACCAGTCGTCCCAATTTCTGAGCGTTAAGCAGGGGTAAAATCTACCATTTTTACTGACTCTGGTATGTCTCGGCTAGGAACAGAACCCAAAGCCTTCCACACAGGGGCAAACGCTCAACTAAAGGCCAAACGTGGGGCATTGTTAAGGGGGACATTAGGAAGTAAATTGTTTAGAAAGAAGAGAAAAAATACGATTCCAAATTTAGTCGCCTCTCACGATCATACAATGGAGGCAGCAGGTACAATTCTTACGTCCTACTTGCAGGGAATACTTTCAAGGAGTTCTAGTGACAAATTTTTGTATATTATAATCAAACTTTTCCGAAACAGCAAACTTTACCTTTAACCAATGTATAGTTTCCCTTATCATAGCTAAAATTTAAACTGTGACGAACACAAAATAAATAAAATAAGCCAATATAAATTTGTATGAATTATATTCTCCAAATAATATTCTTGGTCATTATATATAATTTTTTTTTATTTCAGAACTGTTCTATTCTTTTTTTACATAATGGACGAAATATGATACATCATGAGATACACAAACATACGCGTATAAACAAAACAGTTTTGAAAGCAGAATAACAGATATTTATATATTCTCATAAGAAGACCGACGAACGATAGTATTTTACATTACAGGATGATGACTTTTACATCTAACCACAGTACCAGAACACTTAAAACTTCACTAATGTCATTCATATAAGAAAACAATTTTGAAAGCATACTATACTTACGATCATCCATAGGCGAACAGCTATTTCCAACTAAGCTTTTTAGGTCTGTACAGAAAGTTACTCTTATTAGATATATGTTAAGCTATATGTGTGATATATTTATCATAAGCACAAACATGAGCCCAGTCTTTGTTTGATCTTGTTTAACTTGTTAGTTCCGATTTTGTTCTAATGACACGGTCACATCACAACTTTAGATTTGACAATTAAGGTTTGTTATCAATATTTCTATGAAAGTACTGGAGGAATATTTCTTAAAATTACTAAAATTACTACTGACCCTTATGAGAATTAATTTCCCTTTTACAGCACTTTATCATGTAAGAATTATAAATTGTAGCATTTTGCATATAGTTATTCAGTTGTTGTACAATAACATTTGCCAAATTGGCAAATGATATATGTTATTACGAGATTTAAGGTATTGTACAAAATTCCCCTTTAGGATTTTCAACATAGGACTGGTAATAGTAATTGTAAGGGCAATGAAGAGCAAAGAAGGAAAAATATCATCTTTTGTAGATCTGGTAAAGATTATTTGATGAAAGGCGCCAAGATCATTCTAGGATCTCTTGTCTAAGGTATATAGAAGAAAAAGAAAAATCTGAGATCAATGCAGATCTTGACTGATCGTACAGGCATACACATAGAAAATATACTTACATCTATAGTGACTGTTCTGAAGACAGTCTTGACTCTCTTTGAAGCTCGTGGTATGAGAAGCTACAAGGTGAGGCAAACCAATATCATTTATATCGAATAACACAAAAACAAAGATTCATGCGGCATTTCTATCAGATATGAATGACAATATTTAATCAGCTTTTATACATATGTTTACGTAAAATAATGCTTCATAAAAATACTTGACTCTCTGAGCATGTGAGACGAAGTTACGATAATTAAGCATTTGGTGATAAATTAAGTATGTTTTACCTTATGTTTTTAAATGTTTTGGTGAAAATTATAATTAAGGAAGTCTATGTTTTACTTTTTTAGCGTACAAACATTCCATTTTGTATTTGAAGCAAAACTGCTAAACATTATATAAGACTTTATTGAAAACCGATTTGATCAATGAATGATGGAATTAATGTTTTAGTATATTGCAGCGTCATATCAGCCCATTCTGTTATTGATGGTATAATACAGTCAATTCTGTTTTGATATAAACAAACTATTTCATGAAAACTAAATAAAAAGGGTGAATCATGAAAAAATCTCATCAGAATGGAAAAGTCTACACATTTCTGTAAGATTAATAATAATAATCTTTATTTAACGTCATGTACAATGGTCAATAACAAACATAAGCTCTGTAGAGCTTTTATTACGATGCCGCTAAGGGAACAAATGGTGTGTGTTTTCGTGGTGGAGGAAAACCCACCGTACTATCGGAGGGATAACAACTAACCCTATCAGACATCACTCTCTTTTTTTCCACCACCGCTGGGGATCGAACCGAAATTCTTCGGAGAGCGAGTGGTCTGACGCTCACGCTTGATTGTACACAGTAGTACAATGACTGTGCGCATTAGCGATCACGGCTACCGAGGCACCCAATTCTATTTTCTTTTATGTCACTACATGAACTAAAGGAAAATGTTTTGATAAGGCAAAAACAGAACTATTTTGTACTAAATAAAAACGAAACCGCTACATTCCTATCAGGATTTTGATATACATATTAAGCATAAAATCGTATATACTATTATTCATTTAAATTGATATGAACCAATTTAAAATATTAATGATTTATGTTTAATTTGGAAAGAAAAACTTGTGCATGCATTGCGCGGAGATACAATAATAATTCAAAACTGGAACCGTGTGATGGGCGGTTTGGTTTGGTTTTCTTTTGTTTAATGTCCTCACAACTAACACTATTTAAGAACGTACCTCCATGTGTGTGTAATGTATGATGGTGTATTTACCTCCTTACGGATCTTATACCGAACTTAAGAGTGCAACTTAACTGAAGACAATCAGCACAGTATTCCAAAATGTCACATCATACTGACAACGGGTGAACATGTTGTTGTCATTACCCTTAAAGCTGAACGTTAAGCATGGAAAAACAACTACCATTTTCAAAGACTTCGCTATGTCTTGGCCTGGGGACAGACCGCATTGCCTGCCAAAAATGGGCGAACATTAAAGCCAAAAGTGAGGTATTGCCGAGCAAGGCACTAGGAAATAAAAGGTAGTTAGAAGTATTGAAAAATAATAAAATTCCATATATTGCAATGGATGCAGCAGATTTACTTTAGTCGCATTTGTGTCCAAAGTAGATGGCAAGGAAGCAAAAAAATAGATTGAGTGTGTGATGAGATGTAGGCGATGACTACAAGGTTGACAACGCATCGATAATGACGAGAGCGACGAAGTAGAAATGCAGATGACGAGGTGACGAAGTATAGACAAAGGTTACGTTGAGTTGACAATGTGACGATTGAACGAAAGTAGATGAAATGATGAACAGTTACAGCTGCGTTGTAGACAAAGATGGTTAAGACAAGGATTACGAATTGGAAATGAACACGACGATGTGAAGACCAAAGGAACGAGTACGAACAAGAAAGTATAAACAAGTTGTAAAAGAGAAATGAAAGAATTCGACGAAAAGTGTGGGATAAAAACAAATATGACGATGTGCAGCGCGAACGACAAGGTGTCGACAGATATGATGATGTGTAGGCAAGAATGAGGAGGTTATATCGTCTATGTATCGGATTCAGAGCGGTATGTGTTTCGGATCGGGTGTATGCGTCGTTTGTAAATTGACAAACTTATTTTATTTTAAGTTTATAACTTATTCATAGCATACAAATTTTCTTATTACTTTTTATCATGCTAAATATCAACCTTTACATGAAAAGGTTGTTGATTTCACTACAGGCCAAACAAACGATAGTATCGGTTACTAACGAGGCAACACCTCTTATTTTCCACCTGCCTTATGTAGTTTGGTGTATTTAAAGGTGTACATAACTACAGCATATTACTTGTATTTTGCTTGGAGTTCAATAACTTATGAATTGTGCATATACAAAGCGTCCAATATTTAAAGCCAAGCGAAACGCTAATATATACCTTCCGAATGAGCAACGAAAGTAAATTTGCTAATTAACGCGATTGCGAAATATAAGTAGTCTGCTATATGGTTTTACAGTACAAGAAACGTCATATAGATGTAAATATTTAGTGAAAATGTTTAATATATGCTTACCCCTTAATGATGCTTGGCTTGTTCCTAATAAACATGTTACTGCAAAAATGTAACCTGAAAATAACAAAACATGTTATAGATTACTAATAATATCAGGTACATATACTAAGATCTTCATAGAGTAAGGATAAAACCCTGCCACAGACAAACCAGTTGATTCGTTTGTTTCTTTATATCATAATCATAGTAATTGTCCCCTTTTAACTNAGATATAGAAGTATTTTTTGAAAATTACACGTTTTCGCCCTTATTTCGCAAACACGAGAGGTAAAAAGGGAAAAAAAATCCTTGCTAACAATAATTTTAATCAACTTGCTTCTTGACAAAAAACCATATCATTTGAATTCAGTGCTTGTAAAATTAAAAAAAAAAATACACACACCTGATGAAGCAATAGATTTTGGTAATAGATACAGTATTCTAAAAATGAATTATGCAGCTAATTCGTCCTTCCGAGACTCCAGCGGTGATGCTATGTGCAAACAGGAATGTATGTCGAATACATGGATCGTATTTAACACTTTTCAAATCGGATAACGTCATTTATCTGATTAAACAGGGTGTCAGAATACGAAGGTGTTATAATAAACAGGTTTTAAACTATTTTATTATAAGGAACACAACACACACAACAGACACATATTCACATATTCACCTAAACAATCATCCTATCCAATCGTACAGTCATTATGTATTTTGATCTGGATCAATGTTTAAGTAAATATCACAATTTGCGTTGCCTTATCAAACCTAACGTTAAAAACTAGCTTGAACGATACTGAAAACAAACCTTACCAAAACAAAAGACAGCTATACCATTCATGGTGGTGTTATCTAAAGCAGTAGGTTATTACGTGCTTACCTTGACATGTAGTAGGGATGGTCGTCTGATTATATTATCTTAACTTTTCGTGACCGGCATATTCTTATCAGTCAGCAATGAATACAATGGTCAAAGACGAGATGACCCACTTCCACTTACTTTTGACATGGTTTAGAAAATACAATCAAGACCTTACAGTAAACCTCGTAGGTTACACGTTAGTTCACGTACAATTATACAATGTCAAAAATCTGCGTTTTATGTATAGTAATAGCACATCATAATCTCCATTAGATTTACAGTTATACTACGTCATAATCTCCCTTTAACCATTAAATGTACAGTAATACATTTGTACATCGTAATAATCCACGTCGAATGGCATTACTACCTCGTAATAGTCTGCATGCAGTTATAATCTCCGTTTTATGAACACTAATACCACATCATAATCCCGGAATTTTGTAACGTAATACCAAATCATTATCCCTATTTTGTGTACCGTAATACTAAGTCATTATCCCTACTTTATGTACCGCAACAACACGACATAAACCCTGTTTTATTAACAGTAATACAAAGTCATAATCTCCGTTTTATGTACAGTAATACCAAGTCATAATCTCCGTTTTATGTACAGTAATACCAAGTCATAATCTCCTTTTTATGAACAGTAATACCAAGTCATAATCTCCGCTTTATGAACAGTAATACCAAGTCATAATCTCCGCTTTATGTACAATAATACCAAGTCATAATCTCTGCTTTATGTACAGTAATACCAAGTCATAATCTCCGCTTTATGTACCGCAATACTAAGTCATAATCCCTAATTTATGTACTGTAACACTAAGCCATAACCTCTGTTTTAGGAACAGTTACATAAAATTATAATCTCCGTTTTATGTACTGTAATACCGCGTTATAATCCCTAATGTATGTACTGTAATACTAAGTCATAACCCCTGTTTTGTACACTGCAATACGAAGTCATAATCCCTAATGCATGTAATGCAATACTAAGTCATAATCCCTAATTTATTTACTGTAACACAAAGTCATATTCCCAAATGTATGTACTGTAATACTTAGTCATAATCCCTGTTTTGTTCACTGCAATTCTATGTTTTATGAACAGTAACTTAGTCATAATCTCCGTTTTATGTACTGTAATACCACGTCATAATCATTGTTCTACGTACTGCAATACTCAGTCATAATCCCTAATATATCTACCGTAATACTTAGTCATAATCTCAGTGTTTTGTACTGTATTATCACGTCATAATCTCTGTTTTATGTACTGTATTATCACGTTATAGTTATTAAGCGAAAACTGCAGATAAAGACGTTTTTCAAGGGGCCATAACTCTGCCAACTGGAGTCCGATTAAAGTGGTACTTGGCCGAGCCCTTAATGCGTTTAACACTGTTACTAAGTTTGAAGACAATCGGATTATATTTGCAAGAGTTAATGAATAGAAACGGCAGAAATGGTCATCGAATTTGGCCAAGCCGTAAAGGTGTTTAATCCTGTGACCAAGTTTGAAGAAAAATCAGTTAACATTTGTAATAGTTATTTCACGGAAACGAAACGCAGCAGATAATTATGTTTTTGTTATTCAAGGGGCCATAACTCCGCCAAATGGGGTCCGCTGAAAGTGGTCATCGAACTTGGTCGAGCCCTTAAGGCATTTAACCCTGTGACCAAGATTAAAGACAGTTGGTTAACATTTGTCATAGTTCTTGCACGGAAACGAAATGCAGCAGATAATGACATTTTTCGTTATTCAAGAGGCCACAACTGCACCGGCTAGGGTCCGCTGAAAGTGGTCATCGAACTTGGCCAAGCCGTAAAGGTGTTTAACCCTGTGAGCAAGTTTGAAGAAAATCAGTTAACATTTGTAATAGTTATTGCATGGAAACGAAACGCAGCAGAGAATTATGTTTTTGTTATTCAAGGGGCATATAACTCCGCCAAATGGGGTCCGCTGGAAGTGGTCATCAAACTTGGTCGAGCCCTTAAGGCATTTAACCATGTGACCAAGTTTGCAGACAGTTGGTTAACATTTGTAGTTATTGCACGGAAATGAAGCGTGACAGACAGACAGACGGACAACCCTAAATTAATATCACCCGTTTCGGTTAAAGCGGGGGATAATAATCATCGATTGATTGCACAGAAACTGTGTTGAACAAACGTTTCATAGGGGGTACATTATAAAATCTGTCACGTATTTGTTTGAAATCAGCGCTTTCAATCCTAAAGTGCTTGACTGTTGATGGCTGATCACTGGCATGATAATAAGATTGGTCTTTCCGATGCAACATGTAGCTATGTGTGGTGTATGTATGGCCTATGCGTGGTCGCGAAAGGACAACTTCCTCTCCGCGGTCCGCTCTACCTTTTACACATGAACCTACTACATCAGGTTGAACTGAAAATAACTTATTGTTTCTTTCTTCAAACCATTTATTTTGCCAATTCGTTTTAACAAAATTAGCTATTGAAGGTTAAAAATCAGAATAAGGTAGTTTAATATATTTCGTATTGAGGTTAAGTGCTGCCTTAGCAGCTCTATCTACTTTTTCATTTCTATTCATTCCGACAAGACCGAGAATCCAAGACAAGATCAGTTGACAGAAAACTAAAATTCTGTTAATACGGAGGGCAATATTTTGAACGAGATTCTTGTTTTATACCACTTGTATATATTCCACAAATTTAATCTGAAAATGGAACTTTATATGGTTTGTTTTGTTGTCATGCTGTTGCTAGGACCTCAAACAAAAGTTTTACATTTTCCCGCGATAACAAGCTGTTCTCTCTTACTGCGTTGCCCCCATGCATAAATAGAAAACAATACCTGTATACGTTTATTCACGTTTGCATCGGAATATTTAAAGCGCTTTAAAAATGTAAATATAAGGAATGAAATTATTTTTTTCAACATTCATCAAGTCATAACACATTGGCTTTATGGACACATTTACGATGAATCGCGTTCGGTCAAGATTTGGTCGTGACATAAATTCATGATTGTTGTTATGCCATGGCTGTGCTTTATTCTTTAGATGGTTTCGAATAATCGTTTGATCTACGGGATGACCACCTGTCCTGTTCTTCTTGCTTGACCTTCGCTTTGTCTTCCTCTTACATTGAAACTGTTTTAAGACTTCGGATGCCAAAGTGTTTTCATTGCCCAATATTTTGGTAAAGCATTTTGCACTGTTGGTCTATTTAGTAACGTGCTTACCAAGCCCTGCCTAATGTCTGGTACAAAGGACGGTGCTATTTGAAGTTCAGACGCTGGTCCGAATGCTTTGTTATTGCTTTTAGACCAATACCCCCACGGTCGTTGTCATATTACTTGTACATGTATACACGTAGACAACAAAAACGTTCAAAGGTACGAAAAAGTCTTTGTCAGTTAATTAATCCGATTGTATACTTATATATAGATATTCTGTAAAGGCAGGCTCAAGTTAAACACGGCCCTTCATTTTGCCTTTCTTAATCTTACTCAAGTTATAGTTTTATGAGGAATTTGTCACAGGCAAGATTTCACAACAAGCACGTCGTTGTATAAAACATGTAAGATTGTATATTTGAACAAATATAACTTTATCCTCGTCTTTTGAAAATGACAAGGTAAAATGATTTTGTATCTTAAGCATAGTATACATGTATGTATTCATGAGATACAAAAACAAAATAAGATAAAATATCTCTCCCAGTTTGTTTAATATATATACGCAATCACATTTTAGATATTCAGACACAGCTTTCCAAATTGCAAATATGGGAATACTCGGATAATCCATCTTAAAGCATGTCACCAAGTCTTTATATTAAGTTTATAAAATCCAGGCAGCATGACAAGGGAGGCAGTTAGTTCTTGAAAGATCCTATTACCATGTTAGAGTGAAGTAGTTAACGGCGGAATGGACATAACTATCTCTGCTGTCCCGAGGAATGGAAAACACGGACAGTCCATGTGTACAATCTTCGGAGGCTATCTGCAACGGAAAACAATATAACACCATTAATGCTTGCCCGTAGACTGCGGCATTATACTTTATATCTGTAGAGGGTGAAATCAAACTATAGATGTATAGACCAGGAAATTGTGTTTAATATCTATAGATCCTGACGTTATACTATAGACCTACGGAATCATACTTTAACGCGTGAAATCATATCATAGACTGTAAAATCACACTTTAGATCTATAGACCGTGAAATCATACTTTAACGCGTGAAATCATACCATAGATTGTAAAATGTCACTTTAGATCTATAGACCTTGAAATTATACTTTAACGCGTGAAATCATACCATAGACTGTAAAATCCCACTTTAGATCTATAGACCGTGAAATTATACTTTAACGCGTGAAATCATACCATACACTGTAAAATCACACTTTAGATATATAGAAAGTGAAATCATACTTTAACGCGTGAAATCAAACAATAGACTGTAAAATCATACTATAGATCTATAGACCGTGAAATCTTACTTTAACGCATTAAACATACAATAGACTGTAAAATCATATCAAGAGCTATAATTATCATCATTACTATGCTATTATTAACGGCCCACTAACACATAAGAGGTCATGAGGGCCAATACAAGTAAACAAAACATGTTAAAGGGGAAACAATCATCATACGAACGAAAAAGGTATAAGGCAAACGTCAACTTAACTAAATTGTAAAAGTGGCTATGATTTAATTATATCTTTTTGAACACAGACCGACAGTCTTGGACAGGACAACCTTGTCTCGGCAGTTTTTTCTAAAGCGCTTGGATACCACTCACCGATTTTCGGTTTGACACGGTTTAATGTCTTGTCTACGCATTGATTCTAATCATATTGCCACTTTGACCTTACACAATTTGTTACTAACGGTTTAAAATCTGGAAAATGAAGTTTAAAATCAACAAGTGGTAGCAATAAAGCCGCTTTGGCGGCGCGATCTGCCTTTTCATTGACCTGGTATTCCCACATATCCGGGAACCAAGCATAATGTAATGTAACATTTTGAGGTAATACTATATATAATAGTGTTAAATATTTCCTAATTGAGATATTCTTTAAAGTTTTGTTGCGAATGCTCTGTAGAACAAATAAAGAATCAGAATAGATTATTGACTTCGGTACACCACTTGATTAAATGTGTTCAAGGTCAAGACAGAAAGCGTGGGCTTCTTCAGAAAATAGTGATGCATCATTTTGTAACCGGCATCCAAAAGCGGCGTCTGTTGCAACTATGGCTGCAGCGACTTGACGATCGTCTCTCGAACCATCAGTATAAAATGATTTAAAGTCCTTATATTTCAAATGCAATTTAGAAAAAGGATGAACGACAGGCAACAGTTTCAGTGTCATATTTTACTGTTTCGTGGAATGTAAAGTCAACCTTGGGCGAGGTCAAAATCTACGAAGGAACATCAATTGTTTCAAATGATTGAATAGCATCAAAATTTATTTTGGCGGGTTTTTTTTGCGAATACCAAAGGTTGGAATACACGTTGGTTTGTTTTTAAATAAAGTTTCATAATTTGGATTTAATAAGAGTGAATAGGATAGATTTGAAGGATTTGATTGAATTGTATACTTCAATTGCATTTTACGTAATTGATAAAAATGCATGCACACCGTTTTGGATTTATGGATCTATAGACCTTGAAATGATAATATAGATATTTAGACAGTGACATCATACTTTAAGGTGTGAAACCATCCTATAGACCGTGATATCATACTATAGATCTTTAGACCGTGAAAACCATACTATAAGGCGTGAAATCTTTCTATGATACGACCTAGTTAAGTTATATATGTAACCATGCTGTTTGTAAATGCTACAAGATATGGAGCAGGAGAAAAAGCTTTCATTTTATTTATCGATAAAACAACATTATAAAACAAAAGGTTCGGTGATGTTATGCTATTTCCTTTCTTGAATGAATTCATCTCATGATGATTTATAAAGAGGTCTGCTGAACTAGTTCAAATGTATTCTTTGTGTAAAAAAAAGGTAATAACGTTTAACATAAAAAAACAAAAAAATGCCGCCGACTAACAAATAGATCACGCAGTTAATTAATTCCCTGTAACTTACAGAAACATGTGTACTGTTGCATCCAAGGAACACCCCGGCTAGACCATCATGAGTGTACACAGGACCGGCGAACGACGCGATGGCGGAGTACAGTGGTATACTGTCACAGTGGGAAGTCACCTGGAAAGTGTCGCCAGGATATACAAAATAAGATTGATACTTTTTTGGTAGGTTTACATTTCACTTTGATAATATAGCTCTAGTTGAAAATGCATGTACCAATGTCCATAGGTACATGTATACATTTAACTATTGACACTATCTGCTAGAATGGGCCTCATAAAAACATATACACAATGGTGTTCATTAAAACCTCAATACGTCGCAGAACGCCTTTATAAGACCAACGTTTTTTTACTAATGATGCTGGTGTAAAAAGATACCGCCAATGTGTTTTTGGTAGACGACATGTTTGGACAATGAAAATAACATGTGATTGGTGTAAATTTGGGTAAGCATTTTTTAACAAGTAGACATTTTATATGATATTGTTCAAATACGGTTGAACCCAATTTTAAACACAAATGAACACGAACATATCGCAGCCTCCGCAAATACACACACATACACTACACGCATGCATCTTGCACACAGGGAAGGCCGTCCTTAAATGACCTTAGCTGTTAATAGGACGTTAAACAAAATCAAACAAACAAACAAACAAACAAACACAAATGACTGATATGATTTTTAACCGCGTACCAAAATGTAATATTTTATTTGAAACGGTTGTTTCCGTTTTACGAAGTACCTGTTGACCTTTGATCCACGTGGAAGAGTCTGTGGCGTTGCACAATCTCATTGGTGCAGCTTCAGAAAGGGCATGGCTTCCATCACTGCAGGTGAAGTTTCCTTCTTTTAAAACATCACCATATACAAGGCCAACGGTCAAGGCGGTAGTACTGCACATTTTGATATCTTTGTGTGAAATATAAATCACAAATTGCAATGAGAAGTCAAAAAATTCCTGTATTAAACTTTTTTTCTTATATGGATTGTAGGAAAAGGGAGTTAATAGCATAGTAGAAAATGCAAAAAATATATATGTCCGTATCTTCGTTTTTGTGCTATGATCGGTCAAAGATACCAATTTAATACAAAATGTGATTTTAGGTCCGTGTGCTTTTTTTTGTCCCATTATCATTATCAAAATCAAATCTAGTGTCACAAAAAGGTGAAATTTTGGCCTTTTTTGAAGCGCACGAAATACACATTTATATACATTTTCAAAATGGCCGCCGATTTTTTTATTTTTTTAATTCTTGTAAAAAAAGATCTACAAACAACAGGCATCTAGGTTTTTTTGACATATTTTTCAGATGCACGTTTGCTAATAAACTTGATCATAATTTGTTAAATATTACAAAAACCCGTTACACCAGATCAAAATTAGACTTGAACGTGATGGAAACCTCAGAAGAGCACATCCTTAGCTCATGAATGTTTTAATATGCATATAACAGTAAAGTATCATAAGACAATCTTGAGAACCATTTTCAACAAAGAGTTTTGGAAGAGCACATTTTATTACATCTGATCCAAGTCTTCTCATCAATTACAGAAAGCATTCCCATCTCGCTACGTTGTAAGACTAATAAATAACTAAACTAAATGTATTGCATCGCAAGCGGAGGCACTTAAATAGTGTACACCTATTACAATTTATTTCATCTGAAGGGGAAACTTACCTGGTGAAGTAGGAGCAATACTTGGTGTCACTGTTTGAGGTAATGTAGTTGTTACTGCGAATAGAATTGATCCTATTATAAAGATACTATGTTTTACAGTCATCATTTTATCGACGTATATGCAATGTATGTATTTGTAGTACATTTGATAAACTGATATATTTCGGGTTGATCAGAGGGAACGCCGCTTAAACAAAAATCTTGTAATCAAAGAAATGTTACCGTGTGGTGTTTCCTTGTAATCGGGTTCATTGTTAAACGATGACAACGGATTCAACATGATTTTTTCAATTATCTGTCTTTGAATGATCAATAATTTATTTGCTGAATGTCATTTGAAAAAATTATCACGGATATTATATCTAAACTGATATTGAGAAGATTGATGCTGTTACAAGCAGGATACAGTATAAGTAGAAACTTCTGAAAACTATATTTAAAGTACTTCAACATGTATACCGTATTTTCTTAATTTAGTTATTACTTTTTTTATAGATGTAATCACAAGCATGTTTCTTACATGCGGCTTTAAAGGTACAACGTGTTAGACTTTGCTGGAGAATTTCCTTATTCCCCGAGGATTGCCTGTAGTTTGATGGCCACAGGTATCACCTTTTAGAAGTGGCAAGGTTCAAAATATACACGCTTTACTTATGATTAAACTTGAATATTCATGTAATGAAGGGGTTTTATGACTTCCCCGTCTGTTTCAAAATCAGTTTAGACCAATTTAGTCTTCCACCTTTTTGGCTGAATGATGCAATGATTCATTTTTGACATACTGGATAAATTACAAAGGTTTAAAAAGGCAATCACATAAGCGTGTGTTTTGGTAATCTTTTATGACATGTTCTCATTTACCGTACAGGGAAAACATCAGATGAATGATACCGTCAATTCAAATACGAATTAAATTAACTGGTTAAATTTATTAGTGTGCACAATCTGGTAAACCATTAATAAGAAAGTTAAATGAGAACCGTAAATGCAAAATAAATGCCTATTGTTATCAAAAAACGCGATTTTCTTAAGATAAGTTCATGATAAAATCTCGGTTTACAAAATTCAAGATGTTACATTAATTTATGACAGCCCTCTGCAATGACGTAGAGAAAACATTTCAGGTCAACTTCCGACGTATTTTTGAACATCAACACGTACTTTGATTTAAGAAAGAGTTTGTTATAATATTGAATATTAAAACATCGTCCCCAATTATTTACCATTTTTATCTTGACTACCATACGCCTAACACTTACCATCACTGACTGGAACACATCTGCATAGGTTTTGGACTTGTGCAACTGAATCTGAAAGAAAAACGCATCCCGTTCCATTCTTAAACACACGGATTTTAAAATATCTACTCGAGCTACTATAAAGCAATATCATTTCCTAAAAGCAAGATAAGAAACAATCAAAATGGAAACAAAATTAAAAAAAACCTACGTAAGACATATCGGAGACGATACCAGTTGGCCATAACAACATGTAGCACCAGGCAGGAGCATAAGGCAGACACGAAATAGATTGAACAATTTTATTCTTTAAATCTGACTTGTGAATAACAAAGACCCAATCCACGTTTATATCAAAGGCTATGGGATTCAACATGCATTTATAAACAAGAGGCCCATTGGCCTTAACTGTCACCTGATATATTAATACAGACAGTTGATTTTGTTTTTAACACGAACAGAAATATTATTCAAAGTGACAAAAAACAATAAAACCACCTTATTCAATATCTAGCATACAGATTTAAGACTAAAAAGTATTTAAAACTATCACCTCTGATTCCAAACAAGAGAAAAGGAGAAATTTTAGCACACTGACTCGTCTGGGCCCCACCCTACAGCCCTTGGGGGTAGGACTGACTCGAAATGTTCAAAGTATCAAACTGTCAACTCAGGGTTATAATTCCAATCAAGTTATTTACATGTAATATTCAAAGTATCAATTGCAATTATAAACCATAATATATGTTGCCCCCCCCCTTCCCCAGGGGGTAAACGTGAGACCCTAGGGCCATAGACCCTTTCATCTATGAAGAGTATTTGATTCTATCATATCTGGGTCTTGAGAAGAGTTTTTTTGGAATTTCAGTCAATTCGACCCTTTTTGGCCCCACCCATCAGCCTCTGGGGGTCAGTCAGGGCTCATATGTGCATACTATCAAACTGCTACCTAATACTGATAATGCTAACCTAAATTGAATTACTTCCATTGGAAATTAAACAAATGTTGGTCCAAAATGTGATTTCCCTATATAAACTATTGTAAAATTTACCCCTACCAAGGGGGAAACGTGAGACCCCAGGATCAAGAAATTCACAATTTTGGTAAAACACCTTAAGACCCTTCCATCTATGAAGAGTATTTGATTCTACCGTATCTGGGTCTTGAGAAAAAGATTTTTGAAATTTCAGTCAATTTGACCCTTTTTGGACCCGCTCCTCAGGCACCGGGGGGCTTAGGACCAAACCGGCCACTATTTTTGTTGACCTTTGGCCATGGAAAGTTTCAGCAATATTTCATTGAAATTGGTTCAGGGGTTTTGGAGAAGAAGTCGAAAATGTAAATTGTTTACAGACGGACGACGCCGGACAAAAGGCGATCGCAATTGGGTCACTTGAGACTTTGTCCAAGGTGGCCTAAAAAATTACGTCTTCATGAAATACCATCGATTTTATCTACGTCTACATGAAATACCATTGATTTTATCCACGTCTGCATGAAATACCATGGACTTTTCCCACCTCTACATAAAAGCCATGCTACTCCATGCACGTGTACACTAAAACCAGTTAGATAATTTACGTTTCCGTCAGTCGCCATGTGACTCAATCTAAGCCTTTTTGAAAGGCTAGGTGACTCATTGAATACATTTTTGAAAGAAAGAAAAAACAATTTACCAAGTATATTTGCTTCACAAACATACAAATATGTACTAATATTATTTATAACCGTATACTAATCGTGGCATATCGAAATGATTGCCATATCCTAAAGGCATTTTCTTGAATGTGATGCTGTCCATACAGATAGTTAATTAGGAGTATTGTTCTTGTATTTTCTTTCAACGCAGCAAATTTGTTATTGGAGGAAACTGTGGCAAGTTAAAATTAAGTCCTTTGAAATTAAAAGTTATAAAGATAGAATAAAAATGACAAATGTCGTTGTCTGGCATTATGTTACAATCTGCAATTTAATTGTTAGTTGTGACTATAAATGAATATTTCCTCAACCACTATAGGACTCCGCTAGGAGTTGGTAAATATTGTTGGTTATCCACTGGGTAACACCCTGGACATGATTACATTGGTCATTTTTTTTAATTCAAATGCGAGGTGACAATACTTACCGACGTCAACTCCCAGTGAGAGGTCATAGTAAATGGCAATTGTTTTCCCGATCGGAAGCGGGAATAGTTTATTCCCGAGAGAAAACTATGGTTTTCTTGATATAATATCTGAACGTTGAGGGGGAAGATGTCCCCAAACTAGTGTGGGAACCTCCATAAAACCACACTTATTGTAACTTGTAAACTTACCTGCTAAATGTGAGATTGCGTCTTTTTGACAGAAGTGATAGTTGCTATTGGTGTAATGTGGTATCTGCGCCAAGTCCTGCCACACTGATAACCAAAGCACATATAACAATCATATCTCATTAACGACATACTACATTGTACTGTGCGACACTGAAATACGAGTATCATTCAACAAAGACATGTTCCAAAGAATAGAATATTCAATATTGTAATCAAATTATTTGATTTGATTTCATTTTCGTCCTATATTTTAGCCTGAAATAAAAAAAGGTTGTACCTTAGTGAACAAGTCATATCTCAATAATGAAATACTATATTCTTTTGTGTAATACTGAAATTTCACACGTATCGTTCATCAAGGCCACGGTTCCATACACTGAGTATTCAATAGCGTTATCGAATATATTATTTCATTTAATGTTCGTAATATATTTAAGCCTGAAATCAGAAATATAAATGAGATTGCGTCTAGTGGTACAACACAAAGTCATATCTTAATAAAGATATTCTACATTCTACTGTGCAACACTAAAATGTCACCAGAATCTTCAACAAAGTCATTTTTCCAAGCACAAAAAAATCAATAACTTAATCGAAAAATATCATGTGTTTTAATTGTCATAAATGATCCAAAAGTAAAATATCTAATGAGATTATATAAGGTGCAACAACACAGGAACGAAATTGTTAAATGTTACAAAGAGCTTTTTATCAAACGAGAAAGTGCTATCATAGCTTCAGTGCACTAGCTCAATCGAAAGACACATGGAAAGACAATGACTAAAATAAACAGAAACCATGTATTTCCTTAACGCTAATCAAAATACTAGATATTGATTAAAAGGTATTCTTGGTATATTTTTACAAATATTTAAAACTGAAACCGACAAGTTTTGTTACTTATTTAACACACTCACCGATATGATGAGACGAACACACTTGATTATCCGAGGAAATCAACTTCGACGTTAGGCCTACACGGCAAACACAAATGGATACAAAATTGTCTATAGTGTTTTTTTAGCATCAGAGAATCCAAAAGTAGACTCGATAAGAAAACAAAAACAGAGATTATCATGAACGTAAACAACGATGAGTTTTGCCATTTTGCTACCAAAACTTGGCAATACCAACATGATCTGAAAGGTTTTACTATTAAGCATGCCGGATGCTGTACTCCAGTTGGGATTGAAAAAGAAAATGCTTAATCAGTTAACCGTTCATAGTGTTATTTTAATAATAAATGTTTTTTAATTATCGTATTTTTTTTGTATTCCGCCAAGATAATGATATTGACTTTGACTTCCCTCGGGTGAACGCAATTGAATTCTGCTAATCCACATACCAACAAATAAGAATATAAAAACGATAATTAGAATCAGAAAAATAAAATAAAATAGGAAACAAAAAACATTGTTTTTATTCCGTCAATATTACGAAATTGACTTTGACTTCCCTCAGATGAACTTACCTAAAAGATGTTGGAAACTTTATAAAGTTCATCGTCTGCTTAGCCACATACAAAAAAAATCAATAGAAAAAGTATGATGAGGATTTGAAAAGTTTTAAAATAGGAAAAATAATTTATTATTAGGAATTAAATCAAAGTGTTCGCTTACCATTATAATGCGATTCGTTGGAACAATATGGCCAGTGTCCTGAAAGAGATTTTTTTCCTTTTAAAAGACCCATTGGTTACAAAAATAAACTTGCATCAAGATTTAAATCGAATACGTTGGAAAATGCAATCTTTATACAAAAAAAGAAAGACTCATTTATGCATATTTTCAAGTTGATGAAATACAATTCATATTTTGATTATACATTTTCTTTTCTCATTCAGCTAGTGTGATATATATAAACATTATTGATTTTACAACAATTACGAAACAAGTTATTTCAACTTATATTAATCACACTTGTTGGCCCGAATGTTAGCTCGCAGAAGTCTTATTGTGGGAGTGCGATACCTTAATCTAGTTTTGTATTTTCCAATAAGAAAGGACACTTTCAAAAAATGAAACAGCCAACAGTCAGCATTGTTTAGTCAATAGTTTGATAAGATAAATGTTGAAATATCACTTTCAGCTATTTATGCTTTTCTAATTTCTAGTCAAGTCATTCCAACATCTCCTATAAATAACTATATTGTAAATTCAATCAGACTTATATCCTGCTGTTAAAAAACCCCATTAGAGTTGAATAAAACAAATTAAGGAAACGTTTGTATCCGGGACCTTGGTCTCATTATATATACAAATACACCACAAATTGGTCTGAAAAATTACCGATCTCTTTTAATGGAAGAGGAGGTGTAGGTGTAATTTTGATAACATTGTCACGACACGTGCCATATTGTCAATAGTAAAAATGAATAGGAATGTAATGTTGCAACGATTACGGTAGATAAATTTCTTTTCGTTAATTTCTCCTATCTCAGAAAAGTAAAACGCCCGAAAGAGGAATGTATATTAATAATTTACACGTGGAATTTATTTTCAGGATAGGGATACTTTCCCCAAGTTTATTAATTCGTACTTTCATTTGATGTTATACATAGTTTTGAATTATTCAATTATCTTGCATTGTATTACAGCCTTACATTCGAAGACCATCATTCTATTGAAAACCCTCATATAAAAAGTGAAAGGTAGCAGTAACCATGCAAACATAAAAGGTAATTTCAATAATAATTCAAAAACACAACGTCAATTGATATAAGCAATTTAGTCGAGCAAGGAAAAATTATCGATGAATATATATATTTATACCTACCGTGCGAGTCATGGACCATCTTAAGGTGATCAAAATTGGTACCACAAGTGCAATTGGAAGGTGTTTGTGTATAATGTCCATATGCATCTGGAAGTCAATTAGTCAAACAATATCATTTTGCAAAATTTCGAAGACATAACGCGTCATAACATTTAAAAACATATTGGTCTGCAAGATCCAAACTAAAATTGTATATCATGACCCCACCCCCTATTTCTCATTTAATCTCGGTTACTTTCGAAATATTTCAAGGTTCACATTTGCTTTTTTTCCCCTAAAACGCTCCTTATATATGTTTCCTTCCATGTAACAGCAAACAATGAACCCACAAGTAAAATGGTCCTTTTGCAATATATTGGGTCGTTATTGTATTCTAAATTTATATACGTGATGGTATTATTTAATTTTCTTAATTTCTTAATTTAAACTATTTTGTTCCGTGCAATCCATATTATATTTCTATGTACATATGTATAGCATAGTGTGTAGCATTACAATTTACTGGTAGAAAAATTGTCTCGTATACAGTACTATTAATTTACTAATGCAATCATAACGGTATATTCACAAAAACACCCCTTTTGTATTTATAGATTACAACAATATGGATTTCCATCTTTTTGATTCCTATCGTCCTAGAAGGACGAAACATGTATTAGAAGGACGAAACTTGTGTATGGTACGATGCAAAGTAATTTCATTTGACAAGATGTTTCCATTATCAAATCTAACGGGGAAAAGTTCGCATCAATCCTTCCTATTATCAGAGTACAATGTAATCCGGGACAAAACCATGATGTAACGGTACATTTAAATAGTGAGGAACTACAGCAGCACTTAATGTAAATAGATTGAAAAAACAAAATCAGCAAAAATAAGTAATATGTCTGAAAAAATCACCATTTTATATAGCTAACTGTTACTGATGAATCAAGCGGTCGATCGGCATTTCTGTTAAAAGTTTTGTTTTAAAGTTTCATGAAGTTACAAAATGTTTTAAAATGAAGTGAGTGTATCTCATTTAGCAAAAACAATCTTTCAATCATGTTTCCATTATCATACGTACTCTGTAATCTGTTTATAACTTTTATCCGGCACGAAGGACTGTATGAAGTCAGCTGATCGAGATAGCCCCACACTGAAAACAAACAAACAAAACAAACCTTAAATACCCAAACCTCCCTTATCAAAGCAGTATTGGCCTCATATCAATACAAGACTAACTTAACATTCTAGTTGACTAGTACAATATGTACGCTGTCATCTTCATCAGACAAATGACCAGTGAAGCATATGTACGCAAAGGTGTAAAATGTGTACGAGTTGTCCACAAAATTGATGTCGAATTCGGCTACGCTGTAAGCGTTTGTACAATAGTTGCTATATATGTACCGAGATGACTCAATTCAGCTACGATTTGTAAATACTGGGTCCTAGATGTGCGAGTCTTTAAGCCCCCTCGTCTCGATTTAAAGACTCTCGCATGCAGGGTTCTCTCATCATTCGCCAACTTTGATATAAAATGAGAATAAATCATGAGGCGTCAGATCGTGAAATAATGATTGAAATATAAGTGGTTTACAGTACATGCCGTATCATGCCACACATCCTCCATGATGCCACTGACTTCTCTGCTTCAGCGGAGCTTCATATCGTATCGTTTACCCATCTTACGACAACTATGGAGATTGTAGTAACATACTAGCCTCTCCCACATATGGAGTTGAGATATTACAGAGCCTGTTATCATGAGTTTCTTGCAAGATGCTTACTGTTGACAAATACGTTATGTAAATAAGCAGATGTGTGTACTTGTGAGACTGCAATCAACGCTAAAGAAATGGTACGATCGCTATTCAGATCTTGTTTCCGTCTATGGGATTTATGTATCTGTTATGATTAATATCATGTTCAATTTGTCTGAAATGTTTACTTATATTGCCTGATGTGTCGGGAGACATTATGGCGGGTTCTACACGCGGGACAAAAGCGTATTCATCTGGAACTCCTGTTCTCGTCTTCGGTCCATGATTTTTTCTTTTTAATTTTTCCGTGTTTGTCCGTCTCCAGCAAACTTATCAAATAAGTATTAGTCAGTTGTTTTTCATTTTATTTTGCATGTTAGTATTAAATTGTTGTGTGGATGTGTTATCCATGTCCTGCCATAGTCTTTTTTTTTACTGTGGTCAGTGTATCAAAGCCACCGATACACCTATACACCTGTCTGTATACGGTTGAGCTATATCCAGTTGTACTGAATGAAATGCGTATAAAAGTAATGTTTTGTTTGGGTAACTTGTGTCTCGTACTCTTCTATCAACACAAAACATTGTTTCTTAATGGTATTTCTATTCCAATATATCATTTTAAATGTTATGCAAATTAATAAGAATTTTCAAAGATAGTGTATAGCTCCCTACGGATAAACTTATAAACTTATGCGTAAACTTTAGAGGTTTATTTTTAATATCTCTATAAAGACGTAAAACCGGAACAAATCAAATCAAACTAGTAATTATTGACACGTGTACGGCTGGTTCCGTTTCTTCATTTTCGACTCGTATTGTATACATTGTTCACCTCAAATATTACAGCTTAACAGTTTCACAAACACTTAATTTAGACATCCAATATTTCTGATATTTATCGAAATGATGATATACAACACGTGTATGTTTTATAAACTGTATATAAATTATTGGTTTTATTATACCGAGATTCACAGTCGATATATATATCGCAACTGTACCTAAGCATCTATATCATGTAACGTATAATCGAAATAATCTTTTTACAAAACGTTCACAGAAACTCTCGTGAAAATCTGTCTACTAAGAATTTAAAATATGGTCACGTTATATGCTAGGCAGGAATACGATTTCAATCATCTTCTTTATTGTATCATTTCACTCCCACCAGAATAAGTAATAAATATCGCAGGAAACGGTAGTGACATTTTAAATTTAACCCTTGACTGTTGAATATCAAAACACATTAAATACAAACCTTTAGTCAATGTACTTGCGTCCTTGTAACAATATTTATGTTACATTAAATTGAAATCAAACGTGAAATAAACATACAATCGAGTAGAAAAGCCCTAAGGTAAGGCTATTTATATAGTTATTATTTTCTTCTTGACTGTTTTTTTCTTTTTCTTATTTTTTTTAAGGAAAGGTACTTATAATAACCGTTATAAAGGACACCAATGTTGAAATGATATACTTACCTTCATAATGACTAATACAGGTGTCGTGTGCAAGTAGATTGTCGAGATCTGTATGCAAAGAAGATGCATATGTATGTAAAGAACAAGATAAATGTAAAGATACGATTGTTAGAAAGTTATTTTGTCCTTCCTTTGATTTTAAATTGAAACAGAACTGCCATCGTATGTCATTTTCTTAACGTGATGTAAGGCAAATTAATTCACATGTTATCCTTCCGGAACACCTGGTTTGAATATCCTTGTATCGTTTTCAATTGTGTAAAAAAAAAATCCTTTGTTCATATTCTGCACTAGTTTTGTCGATATGAGTTATCATTGCAATTTCGCTTACACTGGTATTGTGAATACTGCATACACTCATCGCCTGAGGTCTGATGATGTGGTACTTGCGTGGTTTGTCCGCTTCCTCCTGCGTGTAAGTCAATCAACAGTTAAGTCTAAGAAATTCCAGTTGGTATTAAATAATTATAGATTATCACACTGTATTTTCAGTGTTTGTCGTGAGAACAATTTTCTCATCGCTAGCACGTGGATAAAATCGAAAGGCTTCCGGAGAGTTTATCTACGTGCGAGCGATGAGAAAATTGTTCGACCGACAAACACTGAAAATACTGTTTGATAAACTAGTTATCATCTATATACATGTACTACTACCTTATATATTTATCAATTAAAAAAAGTCAACTAAACACCATGTTTTCCAAACGACTTCTAAGCTCAATGGTCAACGATCACCTGTGACAAACGTAAACAATAGATGTTTTGCACGGAGGAATACAATGGACCTTAAAACTACGCAGACAAAACATTTTTTAAACAATCCTATCGTCATTGGCTTTTCCATATGCACATTTACACCTGAAATGGTGTTGTTATTCTCACAATATTTTTTCGTAACTTTGTATTGATATATTTATGACGACGCGGATCACTTTTGTCTGGACACTATATCCGGTTTCGGACGTCATCTAACGCGAGCAGACGTTCTGAGTTGAGAAAAAACGTTCCCAATTGCTGGGAAATGGGAAAAATCTCTTAAGTTGTTCACAACTTTTTCTAATACTGATAATTTATCATGGTACCGGTAAGTGGTATAAAGAAGTATATAGATGATAATGGTAAATATTATCACATTCATACATAAGCTTACTAGTGTCAGCTTGTATTGGAAAAAAACGAGCGCTCATGATAGACGTTAACCTGTGTAGAATTAAACGGGTTTCAGTAAAACATAACATGTGCCTTTATATTGTTTTAAAACCTTTGACGAGCCATCAAAATATAAATCAATTCAACGTGTCTTTGCCACTTTTTAGTATACAATGTGGGAGTTAAGTACCTATCTATTAAATCATATGGTCTTGTATCTATACTGGATATAGTCCCTCTTCCATTGTAAAAAAATCACATTTATCAGGATCAAACCGTTTTCCAAGCAGTAAATAAGAAAAAGTTGCAATACACGCTGTCAACTTCATTTCATATATCTTCTGACAAACATTTTTTTTACATTGTGTCACCTTCCCACTGCAATCAGAGTTTTCTAGCTATCTTGATTTGGATGTACACGTAGCTGTTCAACAGTTATGCCAAGACACATTCGTTGACCTGGTAGCTTTGTTGGTTAAAACGATAGTATAATAACCGGAGATCCAGGGTTTGAATTAATAATACTAATAATTCGAGGTTCTTTTATACCGGTTAATCACAACCTAGTTGGTAGGTCGTCTCAAGCGGTTCACAATTATTATCTGTGGTTATAGAGCCTTTGGAACCAGCCTATATCTTTCTCAACTTCTGGGGAGCATACAGCCGGTGCTGCCATTTCAGCGCTTACAGCTAGCATTCTACAATTCTAGCACTGCCCCACCACGTACTCATTTCCAGCTGAGAAGACTGGAACAAGCGGAGTAAAGTATCTTGCTCAAAGATAAACACAGTGCCGTACCGTGACTCGATTTCTTTTTAGCTCAGAACACTTGTTCATTATGTTTATTTAATGTTTAATGTGGTATGAAATGATATAATAAAGCTGTTGCTATGCAGGGAAAAACGTTTCCAATGTGTAGTTACGGTTCTTGGTAACGGTATGGGGATCCTTAAAATGAAGCAAAATAGATTATATCCAGAATAGCATACTGTATATTGCCTATAGTCTCGATAGATATATGTTGTTTGTTTTAAAGCAGCACTAGAAATGTCTAGGAAAGCATAGATAGTAAAGATAGAAGAACAGCACTATTGTTTATCAGGCAAAATTATAATCCCATGCTGATGAAGATTAAGGTGATAAATAATGCATTATATTCACCGTTTGTCGTTTGACACGAACACCTTTCGTCATGATTCACAAAGAGTTTTCCTGAAAAAGAATTCAACTCAACATACTCATTTTGTACCAAAACCGAACGAACGGTATGAATTTTACCCATTTCTTTTTTAAATTAATTTATTATGATTATTTTTGTCACTATTTGAAATAGTGATATCATAATATCAAATGTATCATGCAGGAATTTGAATTATAAAATTACCTTTATCATAAATTTACTTGTTTTGAAGTCACAAGAGTAGATTTATATTCAAAAAGTAATATTCATACTCCCAAAATGTTGAACCAAATCCACAAAACAACTGTTGTCTGCTATTTCTGCCAGTTTTCCCCATTCTGAAATACAAAACTGATTTTACTACCAAATTAGTCATATGGTTTTATGATTGCAAATGAATGTCTTTGATTCGCACCAGTCTACGTATTTCAGGATCATGAAATATGGTGTAATTTGACTTGTTTCTTTTAATTTGTTATTGTTTCCATTTTCATAAAAAATAATCGAGAATATTTTTATTAAACTAAGTCTGTACCTTCAGCATGGCGTAGACACATGCGCACATGATGCGTGCTCTGGCTGTCATAGAAGGTCGTGTCGTAAATATCTGTAGAAATATAAAACATATATACCACATATCAATTCGTATTTAAAAAACAGGTCCTGCATATACTATGCCGATCTTTATGAAAATAACAGCACTATACCGCTGCACTAATACTAATAAGTCACTTATCCATATACATGCAGATTCTCGCGGGATTATCTCTAATACTTGAGGTATTCCGTAATCTTAATTACAACAGAAATCCCTTTTGAGTAGTTACACGGTTCGTAATAAACAGAAGTTACCCATTATGTTATATAAAATCAACCAGTACTTCTGTTAATTTTGAAATCAGTTAAATTAGAGGGTTATTATGTCCCCCTCCCCCTTTTTTCTGTTTCAACAGTAGTTTAGACCAATTAAGATTTTCAACTTGTTTGCTCCTAGCATCACCGTCGCGTCCTAGAAGGACGAAATAGCTATATGATGCAGTGCACACATTTTTGCTGTATCTATTGTAAACGTTCTTAGGGTTCATCCACATGGGTGTGTTTATGTGTGTGTGTGTTTGTGTACCGTTTCATCATAAGTGCGATGTCATGAACCGTAAATGTCAACACAATTACAATAATAGAATCAGGATTTGGAAAATATGCAATCATTATATACATGTATATAGTTCATTGTGGCGAAACTATTGTTTCCACCATACACCTGGCACACTACAGTAGGTTAAACCTTACATTTCTGCATAGCAAATTGCTGTTTGCAATCCTGCAGGCAAAACTTAATATTTAAATTACAACACCTAAAGCTGCTAAAGTGACAAGACGAATAATACAGTTATTGACATTCAGCATTTATTATGAAAAAGTGTACAACACAGTTTTACGTACATGCTTAGCAATGTGTGAGAGAAACAAAGATAGATAAAGAGACAGAGAGAGGGAGAGAGACTGAAAGAAAGAGACAGAGAGATACAAACGAACAAACAGAAAAACACAAATAGAGACGCTAAGTGAAAAGCGTTCGTTAGTGTATGTGCGAAGTTGATTATCACCAGAAATCTAAGGAAACGTATTCCGTCTTTTCGTATTGCAGAGTTATCTTCTCTTGGGAGCAGGTATTGATTGTTACGTCGTTGGTTTTAGCGAGATGATTACGTCGTTTTCTCGAAACATGATGACGTTACTCTCAGAAACAAGTGACGTAACAATCAATACCTGCTCCCAAGAGAAGATAACTCTGCAATACGCAAAGACGGAATAGACAGTACCTACCTCTATAATTCTCATCCGAGCTCATGCACTGCAGAAATGTGTTAGCTGAGAATACAATTTGTATTGGGTTAACTTAATCAGTTAAAATCAATTATTTAAAATAAATCAATCAATTGAATTTTGAATTAAGAAAACGGTTAAGAAATAAGAACAAACATTACAACATTATATTCTAATTATGAAGTCATGCTGATATATACTTTCTATCAAAATACATATTTTTAATTCCGTGGCGACTTCTTTTTGCACTCATTTCAGAAACGACCGACTCGCGAAAATGCTACTTTGCGAAAAGAACCTTTTAAGGTAGATATGAACATGCAAACAACATTTTTCTCGCCATAAAAAGTGGTTTCCTAGTATAATCACCTTTAACCAAGAATAACCTTACAAAGTAATGACGTTTACAAACGATCAAAGGCGAAAACAAGACTCGAAACCCTTTCAGTTAAATTGACACTATAAGATCGAGGTTAAATATGTATATACTTACAAATTACTGAGTGTGTAAGCGAGGCGTTCTGTATAACACAGGAACAGTCAGATCTCGGAGCATGGTGTCTGTAGTAATCTACAATACAAGGCTACATTTAATAATGAAAATATAAGCTAATAGCTCTTACTTCTTCCCTAAATGGATGGAGTATAAAATCGAATAAATATGGTCGAGGCATATGATTGCATGGCACGATTTGAAACAAAAATCTCATCGTTCAAAACACACAAAAAACATCCTTTAGAATTCTTTTAAAATCAGTCCACACTGCATTATTTCGAAAAAAAAAATCTTCTATATATATTTTTCGTTTAAACATTTTTCAGCCATTTTGTAAACTCAAAATTACGTTTTTAATCACCGTTTCATTCATTCCTTAACATAACTTAACAAAATGAAATGTATAATTATATGATAAATGCCAATGATGCACTGTATCATGTGCTCACACAATAGATGACCATACTACTTGCGAAATATCAATGGGGCACTTAAAAATAGTTTCTGTGTGGTCCCATCATCAGATGGCGTCATTGTTATTAAACATGTTTCAATGACTTAAAGCAATAAACGCGATCGGTTAAAAGGTCAAGTGCGATCTCCGTAGTTATAAACACCTACAACTCAAACAATGAAACAATAAAAAGCATGCAAAATAAATAATAACATCGACAATCATGTCATGTTTCAATCATTACCTCTCAGATATCTGGCAGCGTCTTTGGCGCAGTGTGAAAGAACGGATGAACTCACCAAGTGGTAAAGGTAATACCATTCTGTATAACATCAGACACTATATAATTAAATATCTTTGCATTGCTGTTTCACTTATTGTAACAGTAAATGAATTAATCTTGTTTCGAGTCCCGTTATAGTCTAGCCATGCGTTTACCGCAAGTAAGTTTGTATTTTTCATGTCGAAGCAAATTATAAAACTGTGCGAAACTAAAAATGGATAAAGTGAATAAAAACGTGCAAGAACTTCAGGACGTCTAGTCACAGTCTAGAGTATAAGTTCATCAACAATTAATATTGTTTGCGTGGAACAAACATCTACAGCACATCAATACTGTTGGATATTCGATATACTGATTTCATAACTTTATTCCATAGTGGGCGAGATATGGTCCACACTCTTATAAGATATTTATAAAAAAACCATTAAATATAGACACAATCGTAATGAAAACTGTACGATGGGCATTTATAATGTCAGTTTCCGATTATTAAAATATATACGAAGAGGCTGACCAACGGTGGAATTCGATCTTTATCGACTGATGACTAATACGTCTTCAGAATATTCACCCAACAGTTTATTTACCAGATACCATTGACAGTGGAGAGACGTGTGCTGTTATGAAAATTTGCAAAGCTTGTACTTACGTTCATCCATAGATGAACAGCTGTTTCCAATTAAGCTTTTCAGGTCTGAACAAAAAGTTTAATACAATTAGTTATGCATTAGTTCTGTTCTATTGGGGAATATTGCAATTCAAATCTTACTCATTGTTTGATATTATCACAGAACATTGGAAAAAAATATGCGTGAAGGTTCGCATCCATTTTAAGTATTTTGCTTCTTACTCGAAACTTATGCTCTGAACCCTGTTATTGTTCGAAATTGCTTAGCTTTTTTTTTGTTCTCCTGCCAATGTCGCATTAATAATTGGAGTCGTACATTGTATGTTGATAGTATGTCAATTGCTATTTAAGGGGCATCACGGTGAAGTAACTTTATTTTTTGTCTTTTTTTCAAATACTACATAAACATATCAAGTGAAACTCCTTATGGAAAATAACGATCGGATTTGGCTGAAATAGATTCATAAAAATGATTAAATCTAAGAAAATCATCGGTATTTCTACCTGTCTGACCAACGTTTTGTTCAGGGATTTCCCTCTACCAGCGCATTCGCATAGCACACCATTTCTTTGTAAACAAAATGACTGGCCGTGTGAAGTAAGCGAAAGAAAAGTGTTGTACCGTGTCAGCTACGAAACGAAAAGTTGCCAAATGGTCAAAAGATAGCGCAAGGAGTACGTTACGGAATCATTATTGCAGGTGGGCAGTATTCAAAGGAGAAAATAACTGCCNATGTCCCTTTAACATATTTCGAAATTAAGCAATGTGTATTTATAAAGCTATAAAATTAGAAATGGAGTATTATTAAATTAAAATTACATTAAATTATGTCAATGTTTCCTCCGCTCAGAATGATGCAAACTTGCTTTAAATGCTGTTGTTACCCTTTGAAAATATTATGTACAGATTGTATAAAGACTGTGTGTCAGAACGTATTCTATACCACTACCATATTACAGATATTGTGAGTGTATCAAGCACAAAGACAACAATGTCTAATGCAAATAAAGATTATCATAAATTTTATTTGTATAATATATTTAACAAATAGTAGCTTACATAATCTTAGTAAGTTTAGGCAACTGTTTGTAAAACAAGAGGCCCATGGGCCTTAACGGTCACCTGATATATTTATACATAGAGTTGATTTTGTTTTTAACACGAACAGAAATATTATTCAGTGACAAAAAACAATAAAACCACCTTATTCAATATCTAGCATACAGATTTAAGACTAAAAGGTATTTGAAACCAGCACCTCTGATTCTAAACAAGGAAAACGAAGAAATTTTAGCACACTGACTCCTTTGGGGTAGGGCTGGCTCAAAATTTTCAAAGTATCAAAATGTCAACTCAGGGTTATAATTCCAATCAAGTTATTAACATGTAATATTCAAAGTTTCATTTGTCATTATAAACCATAATAATTCCCCCCCCCCTCCTTCCCCAGGGGGTAAAAGTGAGACCCTAGGGTCATAAACCTTAAGACCCTTCCATCTATGAAGAGTGTTTGATTCTACCATATCTGGGTCTTTAGAAGAACATTTTTGAAATTTCAGTCATTTTGACCCTTTTTTGGCCCACCCATCAGCCCCGGGGGGTCAGTCAGGGCTGATATGTGCATACCATCAAACTGCTCTCCAATACTGATAATGCTTACCAAAATTGAATTACTTTCAATGGAAATTAAACAAATGCTGGTCCAAAATGTGATTTCCCTATATAAACTATAGTAAAGATTACCCCCTCCCCAGGGGGAAACGTGATACCCAAGGGTAATGAAATTCACAATTTTGGTAGAGCACCTTAAGACCCTTCCATCTATGAAGGGTGTTTGATTCTACCATATCTGGGTCTTTAGAGGAAGATTTTTGAAATTTCAGTCAATTCAACCCTTTTTGGCCCCTCTAAAGAGCCCGGGCTCATATGTGCACACCATCAAACTGCTACCCAATACTGATAATACTAACCTAAATTGAATTACCTCCAATGGCAATTAAACAAATGTTGGTCCAAAATGTGATTTCCCTATATAAACTATAGTAAAGTTTACCCCCTCCCCAGGGTGAAACGTGAGACCCCAGGGTCAAGAAAGTTTGGTAGAGCACCTTAAGACCCTTCCATCTATGAAGAGTATTTGATTCTACCATATCTGGGTCTTGAGATGAAGATTTTTGAAATATTAGTCAATTTGACCCTTTTTGGCCCGCCCCTCAGGCCCCTTGGGGCCGGGGACTAAACCGGCAACTCTTTTTGTTGACCTTTGGCCATGGAAGGTTTCTACAAAATTTCATTGAAATTGGTTCAGGGGTTTTGGAGAAGAAGTCGAAAATGTAAATTGTTTACGGACGCACGACGGACAAAAGGCGATCGCAATAGGTCACTTGAGACTTTGTCTCAGGTGACCTAAATATATTAAGAATTGACAAGCTACCCTACTTTAAATGTAAAACAGTAGTTTTAAGGTCTAATAACCAAACCTGTTACACACAGAAGATAAAGTGATTCATATCAACAGCAATGCTATACAAGAAATAAAGTTAATGCAAAATGTTGGTAGTTTATACGGTATGTTAGTGGGACAAGAAATCCTGAGATGTCGCAATGTTGACAATATGTAGCAGTGCAGATTTTGACAGAAGGAATATGCACACACGCATACATTAATGAAATATACTTACGGTTATAATGCCTGTTTTGAAGGCAGTCATAACTCTCAACGAAGCTCGTGGTAGAAGAAGCTACAACACGATTCAGATGAATTATTCATTACAAAGTACACCCAACAAAACGTCCGCGTGATATTCTCATCAAATATGTCAATATGATCATATATATTTTTTATATTTGTATTTAAGGAAAACAAAAAAAAAGGAAAACTAATCTACTCTTTGTGTATGTGTTGTGATTGAGATGAAACCCATCACGTTACGATGATTGCTTAAATGTTTAATAAGCTTTAAATGGTGTTCGTGTTTGTGTTAGACCCATCGTTTGTACAAAATTGATTCCCCTTCACCCAAGGGTGCTTCATCTCAAATTTAATCAAAATCCTGTCATTCCTACAGTAGGATTTTGAAGAATTTGCTATGTTTCTCCTATAGGGCCCCGCCCCTCAGGCCCCAGGGGATTCAAACCCACCATTTATACAAAATTGATATCCCTTCCAAATAGTATGTTACTGTTCACATTTGGTCAAAATACAAAATACCTTCATCCCAACGGAAGACGGAAGAAGAAGGATATTAAAACTATTCCTCTACATCCTTTATTGGGCCCCGCATCTCTGCCCCAAAGGGGTGGGGTGGGGATAGAATGGGTGGTCACACCCACCATTTATACAAAATTGGTTCCCCTTCACCCAAGGGTGCTTCATACCAAATTTGGACTAAATCCTGTCATTCCTACAGAAAAAGTATTTTGAAGAACTTGCTATGTTTCCCCTATTGGGCCCCGCTCCTCTTCCCCCAGGGGGCCACACTCAATGTTTATACAAATTTTAGTCCTTTTTGCCCGAGGATGCTCCAGATCAAATTGGGATGAAATCCCTTAATCTCTATGGTAGAAGAAGGATTTAAAAGATTTACCTCTATTTCCCCCAATGGGCCCCGCCCCTCTGCCCCGAGGGGCGCCACACCCACCGTTTATACAAAATTCAGTCCCTTTCGCCCAAGATGCTCCAGACTAAATTAGAATAAAATCCCACCATGTAAGCCAATTTGTCGAGGGTTTATAATGTTTATCCTTAAAAGAAAATTTGATAATATCAGAATTGAACATTAACCTTAGCAAAGTTTTATACAAATCGAGATGACTGTTTTTCTGTTATTTTCACGAACACATAAATGTATATACATAAACAAAAAGTAGTTCTGGAATTATGTGATATGCGTGGCCGATATATTTAAATTGTCAAATAAACATGGCTATAATTGCATACCGCTTGTCGAAGAACACAATTTACATGACAGACGACATTGGTGCTTCACGCTTTGATAGGTGTGACAAAACCCGTTGCTAGCCCAATAGTTACAGCTATAACTGGTGTCTGCACAAGTGTGATCTGTAAGAGAACAATGCCTGAATTGGATTATATAATACATAAATCTTTAAATATGAACAGCATATGACTAGTTTTGCTTGAAATTCGATTATTTATTTCTGTGCATAGTTGAAGGCACACACCAATAAGAAAATAGAGAAACAGTGAGCCAGCTCACAAGGATACAACACTCACGCCATGTTTATCTACCTATTCAAACGTTTTTTGCAGGTGGTATAATTCATACCTCAATCACATATCCCTTCATTCATACACATCTACATACCATGTACTTCCAATGTGCCAAGTAACAAAAACAACATCAAACGGCTAAGGATGAGCTGCGCCTTCAAGTTTTTTGTAGAGGAAATTTTAAGTTTCAAGAGGAATAATTCCAATAAAAAAACTCCATTCTTCATGCACATCTACATGCACTTTCATTGTGCCAAATGACAAAAAATAATCAACAAACAGTTACGGAGTTAAGGAGTTGTCCGAATAAGGTTTCTTGAGAAGAAAGAGAAGAAAGTAAAGTTCCAATGACCATAATTTCCCGAAAAATAGTCGAATCGAAAATACCATATTTCTTCCCCCTTACATAATGTACTGTCACTTTGCCAAGTTACAAACAAATCCGACGAACAGTTACAAGCTTCGTGGACGGACTGGGTCACTCCTATCTACCCCGCCCACTACTATCATCCCCAAACGTCGTTTTCGGGGGCTGTAAGTGCGAATTGATGGCTTTGCTTATATTATAAGTACAGAAAGTCAGATATATTAAATAATTTACGATGTCTGAAAATGTGCTTACCCCTCGATGCTTCTTGGCGTGTTTCCACTAAGCAAGCTAATGACAATAAGCCCCCTGAAAGCAACAAAACATGTCATCTACATGCATTGCTTACAATGCCAAAAACATTATAATTACAACTATTGGGTGGTACAGAAAAAACTTGTTTTTGCAAAGAGAGCTGATGTCTTCAGATTTTGCTTAAAAGCACGTTGGCCGAGTGGTTAACATGTGTGACATCAATGATCACTAGCTCGCTACCACCGAGTAACGGGTTCGAGGCCTACGTTGGCAGTCGCTAGGAAATGGCCACAGTTCGTTATTTTTTCTCCTGTTTTCCTCCACCACCAAACCCTGGCTCGTCCTTAAATGACCATAGATTGTAATAGGAAGTAAAAAGAAACCAAGCTAATCTTCATATTATTTCTCTTCATAACATAAAAATGGAAATTAACGTTTTTAAACTCACTTTAATTGTAACGATGTGGAAATGGTTTTCATGTTGACAATGCTGTTGCAAATAGTTAAGCATATTTCCCTGATTATTTGGTAAGCACGATACTAGAAAATCTAAGCATTATAACCACAATCTTACTTACTGTTCACCAAATCTACATTATTTTGATGTTTTGGCTCGTGAAACGTTTGTGCTATTATAATATCATTATTATTAAATGCCTAACGGCCTATTAACACAGGATAGGTCATTAGATGCCATCATAAGTTAAAGGAAAGGTATCGGGATGAGCTGTTTGTAGCATAACATATGGGGTTTTGTATTAGACAGGGATTTTAGAACACGAGATACATTTAACAATTTCCATATCCCATAAGATTCCATTGCCATGTTATGTAACACCTAAGTATTAGAGCCAGTGTCGCTGTAAACTTAGGGCTGGGTCGATAGAGGGTCCGTCGATCACGGTCTGGCCATGCATTGTTCCTTTCCTGTTACAGCGGTACCTGTGATATAAATAGCGTTGTCTTCGAGAGCGATGACTTAAAAAACGAGGGAAGAATGTAGTGGAACTGGACATGGCGATCGCCGGCAACCAGGTAGCTCAATTGGTAGATATTCCTTCTAGAGTTCGTAGGGTCCCGGGTTCGAATCCTTGTCTGGCCGTGCATTTCTCTTCTCTTGTTACACGTTATAAGGTCACTTCACACATAATATACAAATACAAACTCAACGCACTAATTATTAAATTTGATGTGGACCAATATATCCGCCAACGTGACAATTTGATTTGTTGCGATGAAGTTAGAGAGTAGGTGTGAAATTTACAGTACAATACTTACCTAAAAGAAAGAAAACTATACCATCCATGGTGGTAGTGTTTATAACAGTAGGCTATTCACTAAATTCACAGTATAAAGAAGTCAATGTCATTATCTAACTTTTCCGTGACCCAGGCGCTCTTATCGTGTAGGAACTACTCATGGACGAGACGACCGAATTATGTTTTTTGGGTTTTTTTTTCGCTTATACAATTTTATATTTTGCTTTAGTAAACAGATTTACAGTTAACCAAATTAAATACCATGTTTAAATCCCTGTTTTATGAACTGCAATGCCATGCCATAATCCTTGCTTAATGTACCGCAATATCGCGTCATAATCCCTGTTCTATGTACAGTAATACAATGTAATCCCTGTGTCAGGTATGGACATATCATGTCATTATTCCAGTTTTAGGCATTATAATATCACGTCATAATTACAGTTTAAGGTACAGTAATATCACGTCATAATCCCCGTTTCATGTCATTCAATGACGGCCTCCCCGTGTGCAAGATGCATGCGTGTGTGTTTTGGGAGGCTGCGATATGTTCGTGTTTATCTCTGTGATAGCGCCGGAACTGATGCCGACTTTATAGTGATACCTCACTGAAACATACTGCCGAAGACACCCAGTAGGACCCCACCCGGTCACATTTAACTGACAACGAGCGAACCAGTCGTCCCACTACTTAATTGCTGAGCGTTAAACAGGAGTAGAAACAACAATGTGTACACACTCTGGTACGTCGCGGCAAGGGGACAGAACCCATGGCCTTCTTCACAATGGCGAACTTAGTCGACACTACGATCATGCAATGGGGGCAGCAGGTACAATTCTTACGCCCTAACTGCAGGCCTCATAGGAAAACCAAACTAACTAGTCACTTATCCCTTCCTTTCGCATAAACTACTGTATATAGAAACACAAAGTAAACTCTCTCTGATCATGCCCATTACAATAACAAAATAAGTCCATATGTGTACCAACTTAGACAAAGATACTAGTGAGGTAAATAGTTTTAGATATGTGTTCATAACATGAACAGCATTTTCATTTCAGTAATAATTACCATAACTTTAGTATGCGTAAACAATACCTACACCCATCTTTGTATCCCAAAATCAAAATATTCAAATATCCCTACCGAGACGTAATAAGGTGAGAGCTCATGAGATCAGGACCTTTTGTGAGTCATCGGCCCTCCTCAATGGGTCCATCTTTCAGGAGGTCATTCCGCGGCTTTCTGGCGCGGTCAGACTACCTCCGATGGATTGTATGCACTTGGACCGGTGGTGGTTGCACAGTCTGTGGCTGTTCCTCCACAGTAATTCAGTGAGTTAATTTAGTATGCTATCAGGCAACACGGTGGCTCTGTCGTCGGGATATGGGTTACGTCACGGTAGGGATATTTGGATATTTTGTTTTTGACCTACAAAGATTGGTGTAGGTATTGTGTGTGCATACTAAAGTTATGTTAAGCATTACATCATGAAACTTCTGAAGATTCCATTTTAGCTTTAACCAGCTATCCGGAAGAATATATGCACCGTACTAACTGCTAGGGAAGTTATTTTCTCATTTGAATTCTTCCCACCTGCAATAACGATTCCGTAACGTAATCCTTGCGCTATCCTCTGACCATTTGGTACCTTTTCGCTTCGTAGCTGGGGCCGTAACGGTTTTCACTAACCAACAACTCCCATGGCTAGTCATTTTCTTTACCATGAAATAGCGTGCTATACGCATGCGTTGTAGCAGGGAAATCCTTGATAAAACGTTTGTCAGACAGGTAGAAATCCCGATAATTATCTTCAAATTATTCATTGATATGAATATATATCAGTCGAATCAGATCATTATTTTTCAGAAGGAGACTCTCTTGATATTTTATGCAGTATTTGAAAACATTATTTAATACCCTGTTATAACTCCCGTTTTGTGTAGCGTAATATCACGTCATAAACCCCGTTTCATGTATATCATAACCACGCTATAATTCCAGCTGCAGTATGTTCATTTCGTCATATTAAAACCACTATGTAATGCCTTCCATTAAACATAAACTACTGGCTACTTTTTCTTTAGTTTCTTGTTTTAATTTTTAACAAATGTTACGTATGATTTCCTTAAAATAATTCCAAATGCCTTATTAGCGCAAAAATATATTTTTCGCAAAAGATAGCAGAACATAATTTTGATGTACATGGTGAGTTGACGACTAGTATAATTGGAAGTGGATTATGATAACAGTATGACGTTTTGTGTAATATCGTGGAAAATATATTCACAAAATACAGATGACCGATTGCAGTTACTGAAGAAGAAACGAGAAAAAATGTTTCAAGCAGCAATTAATAATACGACAATAAAATAACTTTTCAGTAACACGTAACAAAATTTTAAACCCCTAAAATGATGACGTTTGTTTGTAAATAAATATGGCTGTATATATGAGATAACATTCAACGTTCTACTTTATAAAAAACTTATTCTTCAACGTACACGATGACATTTGATCCATGCGGCAGAATCAGTGACGTTACACTATAGTCTTAATTGACCTGTCCGTGACCTGTTTATCTTTCAGGAATATATTATATTCAAATTATACTGCTCATTCACTTCACGGCCGAAAACAGTAATCTTCGTTGAACATCTCCATTTCATCTACAGTAAAATCGTGTTAGGCTAAGGTTCATCTGTTATGTTCATCTTCTAAGAGATACAATGTGTAGCAGACTGGTGGATGTCGTTAGTACGCTAAGTTTCGAATTTTTATGGCCACAATAAGGTCTTTTGAGTAGCGGCATAGTTCATAGAATACATTATTATTCTGAATCAACCTGCAGAAATCTACTCTTATTTCTAAAATTCAACTTAGTAAGGGGTTTTATACACTTCCCCTTCGGTTTCAAAAGTAGTTTGGGTTTCCGTATTTGAAGTTTTTCAACCTGCTAATATATTTTGAAGCCGAGTTTCCAGTCAAGATGTTGGATAGTGAGTTTGACTTCGCACTTTGGTGCACACGATAACAGTAACGAGATAATCGCTGAGAAGGTGAGTGGTCCTAGTGTAGTGTCTTATAACCAAAATTCATCTGGCGTGCGATAAGAGATAATTTCTGTTTCAATGGTTTTTATATGTTATAGGGAAAGGTAGGCTAAGCTCAATATTTAAAAAAAATAGTATTATTAAGTGATATTGTTGGCGATAGGCACCCCAGATCAGTGGTTAACTGCCAGCTCTTCTCCCTCTTGACCCACAGCCAACTGGATGCTTTCTCTGCCGACTGTCTGAATTAAAGTTGAAGCAGGGCAAGTGCGTTAACCTAATTAGTTGTAAGTGCAGCAGGGTTATATTCTTGCTCCTATTTTGATGTAAATATGGGTGTGCAACAAGGTTCTGTTCTTGGTCCACAATTGATAGAAACACATACACTGCATCTTTAAAATTTACAATTTTCCAAAAGAAGGGAATTACACTGCATCCGACGCTTTTCCGGGTGCTTAAACCGCAGTGCTTATCAAGCACTAATGCTCGGTATTTAACTGCCAGCTCTTCGCCCTCTTGATGCACCAAGTCTCCTAACAACTCGCTTTCTGTCGCTTCCTTCGATCCCTAGGGCACTTAGCATTATCAACACAGATTGTGCATGGAATCCTCTCGCGCAAATCGTATTCGGGAAAAGCCATGTTTTTCAACTGCAGTCCATATCACAATGTATGGCCTCTTTGTGGTCTGAAAATCTCTGAGAAGACCCAACTTCTTTCCTTAGTCGACCCTCATCTCCCACTGGTCGGACTCGTCCAGGATCGAAGCGTTAATTAAAACTGGCTTCATGCTTGTCTCCTTCTTGTATTGCGAAGTTTATCATGGTTGGTGCTCTCTTCTTTGTAGATCTTGTCTTCCTATTCTCACGCTCCAGTGTGTCTGCTCACTCCCTATGGACTTTATCATTCCTCCACCTGTACCGGCCCTGTGTCAGTGATGTCTGGCACGATGCCAGGATATGTTCCATGTTACCTAGCTCGTACTGCCAACTGTCTGCCCAAGTCAGCGTCCGCTCCGTTGCGGTGCACTGGTTCCATGTACATATTCCTCCGATTTTGACTGATTGAGCTCGTCTGTTCTCTTCTTCAGTTTCCCTTATATCCTTCTGTATCGTCTTGCTCTTTTCCCTTTGACTTGCCGAACCCCAGCGTTGCGGTTTGGACATTTTTTGCTTCATTTTGGTTTGGTTTTAACTTTGTTTAACGTCCTATTAACAGCTAAGGCAATTTAAGGACGTGCCTCCATGTGTGTTATATATGCGTGCTTGCGTGTGTGTATGCAAGAGTCAGGGTATGATGGTGTGCTTGCCTCCTGGTGATAACGCGGATCTGATGCCGACTTTATAGTGATTTCTAACCGAAATACCATCGATGGCACTCAGCACAGCATTCCACCCGGTCACATTATACTAACAACGGGTGAACCAGTTGTTGCCATTTCCATAAATGCTGAATTTAAGCAGAGAAAAACAACTACCATTGTTAAGGACTTTGGTATGTCCCGGCCTAGGCGTATGTTCAACATTCAAGCAAAACACCAGGTGTTGTCAAGAAGGCGCTAGGAAATAAAAGAGAATTTGAATCAGAAGTATCCCTCCAACGTGTCCCTAGAAATGCCCACACGTGGCTACTTGGTGACTTTAATCTCCCTACGTATGACTTGCAACAACAATGCTATAAAAACATTTGCAATACTGCACCTTATTCCGACTTCATTACCATCATAGAAAATCACAACCCTGAACAAGTTATGAAAATACCTATTCGTAAAGAGAGTACACTTGATCTCTACTTTCTCAATCAGCCATCTCTTGTCCACGTAATAATAACCCTGTCAAGTCTTGGAACTGCTGATTACGACATAGTTTTTCATAAAATCCTTGTCATTTTTGGCCGACAACGGAAACAACCTCGTCAAATAAAAACTACATAATAAAGCTGACTGGGATGCCATTAAGACTGACCTAAAAAAAATTCACTACTTTATACCTGTGATCAAACCAGAATTCCAAACAGAAGAAAAATTGTCAATCATAAAAACTTAACTAGATAGTATTATCCAATTACATGTT